CCAGCAGATGGTCGAGAGCTTGGGTCGCGCCAGCGAAATTGTTAGCCAAGTTCAGTGACGAAATAGTGGACTTGGTCGACAGACGATTTATCCAAGGAAAACTCATCCCCATTGACCGCTGTATGATTGAGCTATCGCGTCGGCGCAGTTGGACTCCTCGCATCTCTCTGTGATTTTTGCACTCCGAATATCTTGACTATACTCCGTTCTTGCTTTGCCGTTCCTACCCTTGGTTAGCGACTTGTTCCGTTGGTTTAGATATTGATCTCGGTGGTCTGGGTTCGGGGGTTCGGATTTCGGATTCGTGTCCTTGGTCTTTAGTTTTGATACGAGGGGGGAGTTCTTTGCTTCTTCCATGTGGTTTTTTCGTTCTTATCCCCCAATTTGAGAGCTCTATACCGTTTCTTTTTCTCATTACTTGGTCTGTTGTCTGTGTTCGCGGACCTTTCATGCCCTGGACGCCCGGATGATTGTATCAATTAATTTCTCTGCTTTATGACTTAGCTTAGAATTCAGATTTTGACTTTTCAATTTATTTGTATATCGGATGTCTACACTAAATGGACTAATTTGAAGATGAACTAAATGATTGTACCTTTTGTATGTGAAACCCTGACACGGTACCTTTCTGGATGCATACGGGTATTCCAAGGCCACCGCTTTTGATGACATAAGATCAGTTCATGTTCATCACCTCTAGGGCTCCCCCGACTTATCCTTCTAGGTATGATTCGATGGCTCTCAGCATTTCCTACCTGTTAAAATCTCTTATTGTAGATAGATTACTATACGTTTGTTACTCTTAACTTTTGTCTTACAGCATAGCCCCTCAATTGGTTGGCTATTGCAATGTTCTTGGAGATTTAACGCTAGTGCCCTTATACAGAGGGACTTTTGTCTAAAACACATGCCTCATTTTCCCCCTTTAAGTCTACTATAGATACGAGGAATCCGTAATCGTCTATCAAACTGAACTCTCTTATCATAAAAATGCCATCGCATCCACTATCTCCGCAAGTCCTCCAGGCGGACACCACGCCAGTCACGCACACCCGTGTGGTCACTGTGGTGGTACATACCCTTGGCCCAGCCCTAACACCAGCGATAACCATTGGTCGATCTACTTGCTCCATCCTGATGGGGTGTCGTCGACTCGCATCAACATGAGGGCTGAGTTTGATAATCCAACGGGGATTCTTGATTGGACCAAACATGGATACATCCAAACTACGTCGGCCGTCAGGTATTGGGATTTCCCAGTTGCTGCAGGGGTCACTGTATTATTCTTTGCACGTGTCATATAACATCTTCGCCGTGATCAATATGAGATGTCTGGGGGAGGCTCAGGCTGCCGGTGTTGGGTGTAAGTAAAAAAAAGTCTTTCGAGGGTTCCGATCTAATTTATTGAAGCAGGTACACCGTCATGTCCGACATGGCTCAGAATAATATATTTATCAGAATGCTCCAAACGTAATCTGGCCCAGCCTGTTATATCTATACCACACACGAAAGGAGCCAACGGCATTACACATGATTCAAGGGGAGTTTTTCTAGTGTGTTTCCACCATCTGACAGGATGGACTGGGATATTGATAGCTGTAATTGGACTTGGTACTATGTAATCAATATGGCGTATGACATGTCATCCATTTTGGACTTCTGCGGGTTTTAAGTGGCAGAAGTGATTTCTAAATACATAAACCGGGAGTAACTTCCAGTAGATACAAAAGAAACCCAACTCCCTAAGCAAATGTCGACACATGGAAGTTGATGATGCATGCCCATGAAAGCGAAATCTGAGCTGAGCTTTCAAAACTCAGAGTCGGTTGCAAGGTGTAATTACCAACCATTCTCCTCCATGCTTCCTGTTTCATGCATGCAAATTCATTTCTTCTTGCCCCTCCCCCGTGCGTTCCCTTTCCCCCATTCCGATTTAACATGTCCCTCTTCCCCCCCAGATGACTATGTTGGGATTTATGTTGATGGTTGTTCGAGGCGGGTGGTTGACCAGTCTGCCGATTGTCCTGAAGCTGAAGCCCGCCACGGTCAGACTGGAAGTAGTTGATTGAGATGGATGGTTAAACTTGTTGATCCGCCAGTCTGCCGATTGTCCTGAAGCCAAAAGGCCCGCCACGGTCAGACTGGGAGTGGATGGTTGAGCTCGTCGGTTGGGTTTGTCGGTTGATAGATTGTTTCGTCGACTAGTCTGCCGATTGTCCTGAAGCCAAAGGCCCGCCACGGTCAGACTAGGAGAGATTGGTTAGGGTGGATGATTGAAACGGTTGGGTTAGCTGGATCGGATCGTTCAAAGGGGATAATTGAAGCGGTTGTTCGTGCAGTCTGCCGATTGTCCTGAAGCCGTAAGGCCCGCCACGGTTAGACTGGAAATGGTTGATCGAATTTCGTCGGTTGAATTGGGTTGCTCGACCAGCCTGCCGATTGTCCTGAAGCCGTAAGGCCCGCCACGGTCAGACTGGAATTGGGTTTGGATTGGTTGATTGAATTGAGTTGACTGAGGATGGTTGTTTGAAGTGTTTGACTGTCCAGTCTACCGATTGTCCTGAAGCCGAAGCCCGCCACGGTTAGACTGGAAGTAGTTTTGATTGAGATATTTGATCGATTTGAGTTGATCGGAAGTGTTTGTTTGATTGAGGTGGATGGTTGAAGTGGTTGATTGACCAGTCTACCGATTGCCCTGAAGCCGAAGCCCGCCACGGTTAGACTGGGAGAGGTTGGTTGAGTTGGTTGATTGAATCGGGTGGTTCGACCAGTCTGCCGATTGTCCTGAAGCCGAAGCCCGCCACGGTCAGACTGGAAATGGTTGATCGAAGTTCACTGAAGTGACAGTTGCTTGATATGGATAGTATATTGAAGTGATAATTGAAGTGGTTGCTTGTTTGAAATGGATGGTTGATCGGGGATTGATCGAATCGAAGTAGATGACTGAAGTAGATGACTGAAATGGATGCTTGATCGAAGGATTGGTTGAAGCAGATGATTGAAGTGGACGCTTGTCGAATATGGTTGTAGATCTCTTTCTCTCTTTTTTTTTTTTCTTTCTTTTTTCTTTTTTCTTTCTTTTTCTTTTTCTTTTTTCCTTTCTGTTCTCTCTTTTCTCTTCTTTTTTTGTTTTTTTTTTTTTTTTTTTTTTTTTTTTGTTTTTTTTTTTTTTTTTTTTTTTCCTGTCAAATTCACCGTGCTAGCCTGCCAATGTCACGGCAAGACTACTAATTGAGGTTGATGAATGGTAATTGGTGTTGTTTTCTTTTTTGTTTTTCTTTCTTGTTTTTGCTTTTGGAAGGGGGTTTTGGGGCTTGGTATCGGGGAGTTGTCATGAGATGGTATGGTAGGCTGAATCCGAAGGTAAATCAGGTTTGTTGCACATAGGCATTGTGCCAAGTGGGTGGGATGCGTGCATGGCCTTTGACTGGAGAAGTTGCGGCAGTCACATGCAGAGAAAGTCGACAAACATGGGGGACGGTGAGAAATGGGATTCCTGTGACAGAAGGCACCGAGGTGCATCCACGTCAGCCAACGGACTAGTGAGTAAGACCTTCCACTCGTCATTGCAGAGCAGAAGGAACAGAGAGGAGGGGAGGGTTCTGATGCTGGGGTTCTTACCTGAATTGCTGCAAACCACAATATGAATTGATGTTTATGGTGGTACGTTGCTACGTTGCAAGTAGCAACATGCAGATGAATGGCCATTGAGGTCTGAGTGGAAGGCCTGTCCAAATGGGACAGATGAGTAACCTTGTCACATGTCTGATATAGTCAGCTTTGTAAAATGAAGGGCTGGAGGTATGACATAAGTGATGTTGATGTGGTGATGGAATGCTGATGATAGGGCAAGTGTGTGACAGGGTAATGGAAGGTTAAGGACCTCGTGATAAGACAAGGTTGATGATAGGGCAAGGCCCTGGCATCATGTTGGAGAGGTAGTGGATGGTCAAGGTGCGATGGAGGGGAAGATACTCACTGTGTGCAGCAGAGATGGAAGATGAAAAGCCATATTGGTGAAGGACATGTGGTTTAGGGTCTATGAGATAAGTGCATATATGTTAGTGACTGAAGGATGGTGACATGTGATGACAAATGGTCATAGGTAGTAGGCAGACTTACTATAGTAGACATGATGGACCATGTGTGTGGGGGTTGACGTGACGTGGCATGTCGCGACGACACGTTGTTGGCAGTCAAAGGTGGTGATAGGATCGATTGCAGATAAACCTTGATGCAAGATACAATGGGAGGTTTAATGATGGACTAGGTATCAATGAGACCCAAGTTGATGATGGAATGTACTTGGGATTGATAGAACCCCTAATGAAAAGGGGGGATTGATGAGGTGGTAGATGAGAAGGATGGGGAGTTGAAGAAGAAAGAAAGAAATGGGAGGAGGGGGTATGGTATTTATAGGTAGGAGATTTACCGTTTAGGAAGGTACAGCAGTGCTGTTCTGGGAAGGAACAATGGGAGACAACAGGACCCCTCGCTCCTTCCCCCATTGTCTATTGCCATAAAAGGTGAGATCCCGCCTCCCCCACACCCACCTGCCTCAACAGACTTTATGCGGGCTTGACCAGGCACATGCGAAGCCATCAACGAGTGGGCGTTATTAAAGAAGGCATGAAGAACTGTAGCTTGCAAACCAGCATTGGGGATAAATTAAAGCTATTCAGAGCACACTAAAGATGTGACCATGCTATGTTATTCTGTTTCCGATGTATTTATATCCTGTACTCTAGACTCATGTTTGCCTTCTTTCTAAGGGCTCAGTCTCCGAATCATCAGATAGAGCACCGAGACTCGTAGTGTTTCCATAGTGCAGCGCCCATCGATCAATTTTTGTAGACCGAACACCCAAACACAAGCACACTAAGCCAGAAGAAAGATACCTATAAACTTCAAAATGAGCAACACACGTTGTGAAGTAAATTTGTTCTGAGATCTATGAAGCTTTTATGTACGGATATAGAGCTGAAGATAAGCTTTTGACGCTAGACAATGTTCGGAATAGCGTATCCGCTCTTCATGCGGCCTCCTGGGGTTCCCGAGGTCTCAGGCATGAGCATCATGGGTAGAGTCCTTGGTAACGTTAAAAGCAAGAAATATTCCGTATAATTGACTAATGTCTAGTATCACCCGGCATGTTTATAAGAATAATGCCATTCCTCCTTGTTCATGTCCTGTCGCACCTTGTAATTCCTCTCCGCGGCGTCAATAATCGCCGTATCCAAATCGGCGACGATGAACCCCTCCTCGGTCCCCATCTTAGCTACCGGCCCCACAAGAGGAAGTGTAATCTGCGACAAGCCCAAGAAATCCTCCGATGGCCCGGCTGCGTTCGCAAAGACAACCCCACACGTGTTCTCGAAGCAGCGTGATATAATGGTCGATTGGACGAACAGACTTTCACAATCCGGTTTATACGCGCGGGCCTCGAGCGAGGCATCGTGGGGGGTCCCTGATAGCAGTTTCAGTTAGATCCAATAACACATACAAGTACAGGCTAGGAAGAGTTCAACATACAGTATGTAGGCACAATCACAATCTGCGCCCCGTCAAGGATCAATTCCCGGAATGGCTCGGGGAATGCTAAATCCCAGCAGATCAACATCCCCACACGGCCGATTGGAGTGTCAATTGCCACATGGCGCTCTGACCCTGAGGTGAGGTAGGGCCGTTCCGGATGCCAGAGGTTCATTTTGCGGTAGGAGCCAAGGATAGTGCCATCATTCGAGATGAAGTAGGCTGTATTGTAGAACAGGGGTGACTGGTCAGGTGCTGTAAACTTTTCAATCATTGTACCCGGTACGATGCAAATTTGCAGTTCCTTCGCCAGTCTTTGGTAGTTTTCTAGGTACTGGGCCGTTTCGCCGGCCTGAATTGCCCAGAGGGGGTCTGTGGGGACCATTCCGTTGATGTGATATCTAGTTGTCTTGAATCAGCGAGTGTTCGTCTGACTGGGGTCTATTGTGTTGGACAGGTCTGATGTCACGTTTCTTACTCTGGAAGGACGGCTAGCTCAGCGCCTTGAGCAGCGGCCTGACGGATGTAGTAGCATGCTTTCGTATGGTTGTGCTGGATATCAAGCTCCTGAGAAAATGTAAGTCAATCCGATTGGCATGAGACTACACGCGAGGAGTGGGTTGAAGCTTGGGCACGGCCCAATGCGATGCACCCACCTTGATATGCCATTGAATAACGGAAATACGATGCGTAGGAGCCATAGTATGTCAGTTTTACAGGTATGAGAACCTATTTAGAATGAAGAGAAGAAGTAAATTCCAGAATTAAGTACTATCAATGGTTATATACTGGCTACCCCAACATGATGTTGGAGAAATTGGGGTCGATGAACAATGCAACCCCAACCCCACTATGATCAGCTCGTCAGTCCAACAAGGATTAGCATACTCAATACAAGAATGGTCAGCCGTAAATGGTTGCGAGATATAGAATATGTTGGGGCGAAAAGGACATAAATTTCCTAAACTAGCCGTTCCATCTACCCACGGATGCAGAAGATATATAATGTCATGACGTCATGATGTCATCCAGTACCCTATAAGTTTATATATAGCACCCAAAACAAACATTATACGCTCGCAATGCTGTAAGATGAGAAACGTAGTTGCACAAAAACGAACAGCCTTGGGAAAATCACCAGTCTATTGCACAGTAGCAAGCAGTCAATACTTGGAGACACTACACATCAGGTACACGCTACGTAGCGAGTAGTCAGAGACCATCAACATTGTTTATAAGGTAGCACAATCACCAGTTTGCCAATTTGAAGTTGCAGACAATTACGGAGGCAGTACACGAAACGTGTTTCATTGCGCTGATTTCTTAAAACCTGGCGTTCACGGCGCTGAAGGTACGTAGTGTTTGCTGCCTGACGCAACCCCTTTGATCAACCAAGATAATCCATACACACGGGCATGCCACCGAGTCTGCGAGGCGCAGACATTCATTTTCAACTAAGCTTAGTCCCAATCTACGCAAATCAGCCTACCGTGAACCGAACCGAACCGACTCCCGGTCGCACGAATATCTCCCACTCCCCGTCCGGCTTGCGCGCACCGAGTTCCCAATACCCCTAGCTTGCATCGACAGCCTCCATAAATTGAACCAGGGGACTTCAGTAGTTCTGGCCACCAACTGAGAATTAAGCAGGGGACCCGAACTCCCCTATCCAGCCAGGGGCAGTATCTTCGAACACAGATTCATCGCTTTCGCACCCTTATCGCTGGCGATTGCACGCCTAACAGGACATTCGCTGATGAGATCCCTTCCCCTAGGCAACATCAGTTAGTGCGGCTTGGTTCTTGATGATTTCTCTAGGCCTTCTCTGCTAACACCGCATCGCCCAGTCGGGATGATATTGGAAGTACTACAGATACAGATGGGAAATAGCCAATACTGTTTCCACTATACCCCGCGTGTTGTTTTATCTAGAAGAAAAGCACATATTTAATAGGCAAAGCCTATGGAACAGCAGGGTACATGTATTTATGCCCTGTAAATGTAGCAAGCACTGTAGTAAATAACACAGATCTCAGTCTGAAATCAGACTAGTAAGCAGCAGGGATAGGATATTCCAACAAGGATTCTTCTAAGCGGATAGCGCTGACGACAACGGCTCCTCTAATCAACAATCGTGGCGACCTCCCGCGAACTCCCTCCGCCAGACCCGTGGCGCTCGGGATGTCTCCTGATCAGCACGACACCGGAACAAGTCTTGTCCCAAACACAATTGCACGGTCATGCCATCAAGAGGCTGGGTGACTCTACCAATGGCCTGGGGATAAGGTTCTCTGTTCCTAGCCAAGGCTGCTCCTCCTCAGAGGACCCGGATATCAACGTGATCATTTCTTGCCGAGTCTCCCAAGGAGTCCCCTCGAAGGAAAAGCTGAGGGGACTTCCACCTCCTCTGATTCCCTTGACAGTTCTTCCAAAGTCGCGCGTCAAACACCTCCCGCAGTGGACCGGCGTTCACTCTCGATCTCCGCCTGATGATGTCTGTTATAGCTGTTCGGTAGGGGATTGGTGTTCTTGATCGGGAGACGGGCGGCAGAGGAGAATTGGGACAAAGCGAGGAGGACGCCAAATTTGAACTAGATGGACTGCATTTTGATGGCCAGAGGGTAGTAGTATTTGGAAGAAATAGATTCAGATCGGACTGGAGGTTGAAAGGGGAATGTAAGACTGGATGGTGAACAACTTTGAAGTGAATGACGGGTGGAAGAGACCTTAGCATGGAACATTACTTGAGATTGTCGTTAGCCCGATTCAATAGGATTTTCTAGTTCTAATTTCTGCTTGGCTCGAGTTCCCGGGGATCCTTAGGTGATGTAGCGAATGATCTTATATACCGAGTCTCTACGGACTCATGAATTTTAGAAAGCAGTAGAATTTTTGTGCCGGTTCATGAATTGCTTAGGGGTCGCAATGCCTAAATGGGCCCATCTTGGGACCAAAACGAACATTTGATTATCCCAACTATATCTTATTTGTAGGCACAGTAGGCTCATAAGTTTGACGGAGCCTGGAAGGAGGAGGATTTAGCCCAAATAACTCTACAGATGATAGAGGTAGTTTCCCAGACCAAGCATTTTTAGGCTCCACTCTGGGGGCAACTTGTCGCCTACATAGGTATGTCTTGAACATCCAAGTCCAGGGGGATTCACGGGATCCACTGGGGCTGAGTGAATGTTGAGAGTTTTAATATCAGATTTATGGTACGAAATATAGCTAAACAAGTAGGTTAAATTTTTTTAAAAAATATAGGGGGTCACATTTGAGGTATTATCTGTAGCCAATTGTTGTTGGTTATCCATGCCAATGTCTGTAGAATAATGGTCCCCCTTGCGTTTCTACCATGTCCTCCACGCGAGGTTCTCAAGCTAGTCCATGCGTCGTGGGGGTATCATCGAGAAAGACTTGAGCTGTAGAATGACTACTCCGTCGTATTCCATTGTCCGCGATGGTGGCTCTTGTTGCCAGATCCACCAGAGATGATCTACTTGTGTATGATGTATTTATTAACCGACGATCACAAAGTAACCAAGCTACGGAATCAATAACTTACCTGCCGGGCCATAAAACGAGTAAAAGTTGCCCCAACCTCCATTAGGCATGGTGCTACGGGCTGCAACTGTGATGGTGATAGTGGCTTTAATGATCAAAAGATTTACAATTAGAAATTACTAAACACTTAGTTGAATGATAGTGACTGTCTCGAAGTACCAGATACACATGGTGCAAATCGAAAGGTAAAATATGTGTGTTTGATCAAATATGCAAATTCTCAGCTATTAATCCCCCTAGGCTTTTACAATTCTCTATTGAGTGAACAATTTGGTTAGTAGACAAGGTAGGCATATAGATCGGGATTTCCTTACCTACGTACGTACTATCTAGGTAGGTCTACGCGAGAGACGCTCTAACTACCGGAAATTCAGAAAATCAAAACAGAGCCAAATTGTTCGAGTCCACGGACCAGATGAAGGAAGGCACAATATGATGCTATTATATTATGTAGCTATAGAACAACGAAGAGGGAGGAAAGGGTAGAACACAGGGACAGTCATTGAGATGAGTTGAACAACGGCAGTCTCGAGTTAAACCAACGTCGAAGTCCAATTTGAAATCCAACTAGATATTACACACTGCCGGTTACTTCTAGACTCTCAAGCAGATACAGAGTGCTCAGTAGAGGCTTTTGCTAGATCCTCGCAGGATTTTAGAAAAGCGTGAGAAGGATGCTGGCCCTAGGATATTAGAAGTTCCAATTGCTAAAAAGAATACTATGCTGCTATCTTTGCTGATAGTGCCAATGGCCTAGATCACAGATTTTCAGCACATGGCTTAGTATCCGTGAAAGATCATCACTTCGAATAAAGAATGTCGAGCCGCCAGTGCCGACTAATTCTCATTTTTTGGAAAGATGAACCCCTCGCGTTCAATGGATATCTTGGCTTTCTTGAACCTCGTGTCTGTGTTTCAAGTGAAAAAAAGCAAGTACAAGTAGGAAGGAGTGAGATACGTCGATACATAATTGTCGAAGGCGCAATACCCTTCCTTTACCAAGTATAAGACGGCGATCTTATCGAAGATGGAGAAATGCCCGAGTTCTCGACGGACCAATAAGAAGGGGTATATAGCGATATCTCGGCAACCCTAACAGCGTAGGGGTAACTCAGCTAGGAACGGCCCACAACATAGCCGGGATGAAAAGTGGGTCGATCTAGAACCTTTAATCTTAAGCAATTAGGCAGTTAGGCAGCGACCTTAAAATTTTGAGATGGTGATGGGCAGTTTCAGATTTGGGAGGGATGTATCAGATGCCAAGATAAAGTACACTTCAACTTCACGTGCCAATGCACGATCCAGACTGCATCTGCACCTCAGGGATGTACACTCGGCCTTGGCCGAGTACATACTCTCCGTACTCCGTAGGGGATGCCGATTTGAATCCTACCGAGTAATGTTTCTGTAGAATAATTTTAGGAAGAATACTTAAAATCAACGAAGCTCTATACCATATGTACTATATCGTATTATTTTATACAACATATTTTATGATACATTGAAACGGGTTATATCCCAAATAAAACCTAAATAAGTCCAGTTCCAAGGTTGTGGCGAAGTAAAGCCTTGGAAAACCCGAGACGAAAAAAGATCGGCGGTCCCACGTTTTCGGCAGCTGACAATACTGTTACCCCCCCGTAATGTAATATTCCCGCATGCGTGATTTTCTTATCACAGCTTAGGTTTTTTTTTTATTTCTTTAGTCTCACATTGAGATTTTCTACATAAACCTTTTGACATTCCTCTTTTCTTAGCTTTTTTTTCCCGTTATGCTCTTGATCATCTCTACGAACAATTGTGGCTCAATGCCACGCGGCTAGCGGTAGTCTTTTCCTGCAAACTCTCCGCTTGGTAGCGATCGACAGGACCACATGTATGTCACCCCGAAAAAGAAAGTCAAGGTGTCAAAGCTAACAGTTCTAGGTTGGATAAATTCCCCTCCTTTCGGGAGCAATCCATCTCGACATCCCCTCCTCGGCCAGTGCCAGTGGTCTCCGCTCGGCAACGGTCTGGCCGCAGTCCGTTCAACATGTTCTCGGCCTCTCTTCGCCAGGTGACATCCCTCAAGCAAAAAATCCCGTTTCTAAACGAACTTCACCTCAATTTCATTCTTCTTCACTATGCCTACATCATATCCTGGGCTATCACCGGTTCCATTATCGTTTACCTCGGGGGTAACATCGACTACGTCGATGCCCTCTTCCAAGCCGCCGGCGCCGCCACTCAGAGTGGGTTGAACACCGTCAATCTCAATACACTCCGGCTATATCAACAAATCGTCCTATACATGATTACATGTTTGTGTACGCCAATCTTCATTCATGGCGCCTTGGTGTTTATTCGGCTGTACTGGTTCGAAAAGCGATTCCAACATGTGGTCCGAGACGCTCGTGCGATGCGACGGACCCGATCCCGAATGCAAACCGTGACCGATGATGGAGACAGCGAGGATATCAATATCAACCGCGCGGAGGGTGGAGTCAGTGGTCGACCCATTACAGTGATACGGAACGATTCAGGGGATGCCCGGGACGCTCGGTCGACGGATCCGACTAGCAAGGACTTCGCTCCCGGCATCAACACACCAGAACGCCGGGAGAGCAGTGTTGACTCTAGCTCGGATGGAACAAGCGCGAGCAACGAGCCCCGTTTTGGCCTCGGTAGCTTGAAGGTGCCAACCCATTTGAGCCCTGAACACCACATCGCCTTCTTGGAAAAGCAACGGAAGGACAAAGGAGCTCTGCGCATTCCAAGTCCTCGGGAGTATGACCGCGGCGGTGCGCCTGAGGCGTTAGAAGAAGTGGCAAACCAGGATGGTGAGCAGGCTCAGCATTCCAGTGACCACGATGACCAGGACGACCAAATCAGCCCCAATACACACTCCGAGGAGCTGGATCAGCTTGGTCCACTTGAAGGACCACACATCACCATCAACGAGCCAGATATTTCACGAACCCGTCCACGTGGTAACACGTTCCCTCGTCTGGACACTCGCCCCACTGTCCGGGAGACTAAAGATGGGAATGAGACTACTACCCTGGCCCCTACTAATACAAGGAACCCCGTCAGGGGACTTATCCGGTCTTTGACACAAGAGCGTGACATTTCCACTCAGCCGTATCTCAGCTGGAATGCGACAGTGGCTCGTAACTCTAATTTCGTGGATTTGACCGAGGAGCAGCGTGATGAGTTAGGCGGTATCGAGTACCGTGCGCTCAAGACGCTGGCTGTCCTTCTTATCATTTACTACCTCGGTTTCCACCTCATCGGCATGGTCAGCATGATCGGCTGGATCATGACCAATGACAAGTGGGGTGATGTTGTCCGGGCTGATGGAGTTGGGCGGCCGTGGTGGGGAATCTTCACATCTGCGTCCGCCTTCAACGATTTGGGCTTTACCTTGACACCTGACTCGATGTACTCCTTCCAAAGGGCCATTTTCCCTTTGCTGATGCTATCGTTTTTGATCATCATTGGCAATACCGCATTCCCCTGTATGCTTCGCCTGATGATTTGGGTTCTGTCCAAGCTCACTCGCCAGGGGAGCGCACTATGGGAGGAATTGAAGTTCCTTCTAGATCATCCCCGGCGATGCTTCACTCTGTTGTTCCCTCGTAATGCCACTTGGTGGCTATTTGCGATTGTCGTCGCATTGAACGGCATTGACGTGATCTTCTTTCTCATCCTAGATGTGAGTTCAATATCTCTGCTTTCGGGTGATTTTCACTGACCACGATTCTATAGCTCCACGATTCTGCCGTCACTGATCTACCAGTCGGGATTCGAATTCTGGATGGCTTCTTCCAAGCTGCTGCAACACGAACCGCCGGTTTTGGAATCATCAGTCTTTCAGAACTTCATCCGGCCGTACAAGTGTCCTATATGATTATGATGTACATCTCAGTCTTTCCCATCGCTATCTCCATGCGCCGAACCAACGTCTACGAAGAGAAGAGTTTGGGTATCTACGGTTCCAATGATGATGATGACGACGAAGAAACGAATGCACCCACCTATATCGGAGCTCATTTGCGACGCCAGCTGAGTTTCGATTTGTGGTATGTCTTTTTAGGATTGTTTATCATTGCTATTGCAGAAGGATCAAGATTACAGAATCGGGAAGACTACTCCTTCCAGCTATTCACTGTGTTATTTGAAGTTGTCTCGGCATACGGTACTGTGGGTCTGTCGTTTGGATACACAAATGTCGACACCTCCTTCTCGGGACAGTTCAATGTGGTCTCCAAGTTGGTGATTATTGCCATGCAAGTCCGTGGTCGCCACCGTGGTCTGCCTTACGCACTTGACCGCGCCGTCCTTCTCCCCTCCGACGCCCTCAACCGACACGAGGCAGAAGAGGGAGAGCGCCGCATGCGCCGCCGCACATCCAACCTCAGTGGCGGTGGATCTTTCGCCCAATCGCAATCACGTACCTTATCTCAGGCGAGGAACGATGCTGGTCTGTCTTCGGGTATGGAAACCCGCGACTGGCAAACTAATCCTGCACCGAATGGAGATTCACTGGTGCATCGTTCCTCGACTATCCGATCCAATCACTAGAAATATCACTAGAAAATGGGTGGAATTTTTTGATGTTGAATGTTTATACCCACAATGGCTTGGCTCTATCCATACATACTTGCCCTGGCGGTTCAATCTTAATTTCACTGCTACATAATTATGGAAACATTGGACTTTTGTGACTTGGTAAAATATGTAAACCCGGGTTCTTATACCTGATTCCTCAAGGGACAAATATACCCTTTCAATCTAAATACTCTAGATAATCATTGTTTTAAGGAATTGTAAATCTGCCCAAACAGGAAAGTGTACTTGGACCCTGCATAAGCTGAAATAGACTAAGCTATTTATAGCCAAGTGATCCATGGCTCGAGTTAAAATTGGCGCTAGTCCAATTTTGGACAAAATAGATGTGAGGTCGATGACGACAAACACGATAACTTCAAGGTTTTGGAATATGACAAGGTCAGATTTGACATAGAAACATCTCATCTCCAACTACACATTTTCCATTCTTTATTTCATATCAAATATCATCATGAATAACCCATATCTAGATCGTTACAGCGGGGTCTTAGTCCCCACTCTCGAAACCAAATCCCCAATCACGACCTCCACCCAACCAGAACAAGATACCCCAGTCCAAACACCCTGGTATAACCCACGAGGCTGGTCTCTACGCAAGAAACTCATCATCAGCACAACAACCATAGTAACCATCTTGGCTACAATTCTGATCCCCGTCGAAATAATCCAAAACCGTTACCCAAACTACACACCCCTCAACTACACCCTCGCAGACACATACTCAGGCCGAACCTTCTTCGACCAATTCATCTATTTCACAAACGAAGACCCAACAGACGGCTTCGTCGTCTACGTCAACAAATCAACAGCAACACATCTGAATCTCACTTATGCAACCGAATCCTCGGCAATCCTGCGCGTCGACGCATCAACCCCAAACACCCTCTCCGGTCGAAACTCAGTCCGCATAGAGTCGAGAAGTACATATGATTCAGGCCTTTTCATCTTCGATATCATCCATACGCCATTCGGTTGTGCGACATGGCCTGCTTTGTGGTTAACGGATGGTTATAATTGGCCGATGAATGGGGAGATTGATGTGCTTGAAACGACCAATCTTGGAAGTCGGGGGAATGAAATCACTATTCATACTACCAAGGGGTGTAAGATGGATGTCAAGCGGAAACAGACCGGTCAGGGTATTTTTACGAATTGTGATAATGTCACGAATGGGAATTCGGGATGTGGGGTTATCGGTGATGAGAATACGTATGGAGAGGAAATGAATAACCGTGGTGGGGGTGTTTATGCCCTTGAGCTTCGTGATGCTGGTATTCGGACTTGGTTCTTCCCGAGTGGAGCTATTCCTGCTGATATCACGAATGAAAATCCGGATCCAAGTAGCTGGGGGATTGCACTGGCGGATTTCCCGAGTACGAATTGTGATATTGCGACCCATTTCAAGAATCTGAGTATCATTGTGAATATTGATCTCTGTGGTGAGCTTGCGGCTCAGAAGCAGTTTTATGATACTCTGTATCATTGTCCGGCGACTTGTTCGGACTTTGTTGCTAGCAATCCTGGCAGTTTTGTGAATGCTTATTGGGAGTTTAGGAGTTTCAAGGTATATCGTGCTTATTGAGACAATGGTTGACAGCTAGAAATTTCTTCGTTTTCACTTTGCTATTCGCTACACGGCATGATTTGGAATGTTTCTCACGGCGTCGTCCCTTTTTGGTGGGCTTTTGCTGGAGTTTGATATTCGGATTTTATATGGGAGAAGTCAATGTAGGTAGTGTCCTAACAGACAAATTTGACCTATTATTTTTCATCATGTTTGTATTGTCTGACCCGAGCGACTCGTTATTCCCTAAGTCCAAAGTCTGGATAATGGTGTCCTGGAGTTGAACCTACAGTAAGGTATACATATCGGAATACCAGATCCTCACTCCCACATCTTGTAGGGACCACCCACAGAACTTCTCATTAGCAGAATCCAACGATCTCTCGAAGAAAACTAGAAAACTCACCTCATGCTTTCGGATCATCACTCTCCTCGCTATAACGCTCTTCTCCATTCGCCTCATACTCCATATCATCAATGTCACCCCACCACCCTTCTCCAGTGGCTTCGATTGTCTCACCGATGCAGTGAAGTAATCTTCCAGAGAAATGAATAGCTCCTCCTTGCCACCAGTAGTTGGCGTAAATCGGACCAATCAATGCCTTGAACTCTTGGCAGTGTGGTTTGTCCTCGGCGAGATCGAAGTATTCCACGTGGGCATTATTGACAATAAGATCCAGTTCAGTGTTGATAGTACCGGAGAAATAATGTCTTTCTCCATCACTGGTTTGTATCAAGGCTCGTATCTTTCCATCGTTGCAGGTGATGCTTCCTGGTGATATATGCGCCTCTCGCGCTTGGCCATATCCTTGATTCATCTTGGAAAATTGCGTAGTAACGAGTAAAATCAGAATAGTCTCCGAGGGACTGTGTTTTCCTTAAATGGATGGGATAAGGAGCGGGTAATTGGATGGATACTTCTTGGTGCGGTAATGTCACAGTAAGTCAGATGGTGCCAAACCCTTGTCAAATTCTTCACTGGAAATGTGCGAAATGTTAGACGATCCTTGGACGGCTGTGAGATGTGAAGATATGGCTTTAGAAATAATGCGGAATGAAATATGAGAGATATTCAGTTTCACTTTACTAAATACTAAACATGAAGGGTATCTCTAACAAAGATGAATCGTATAGCACAATCAGCTATCAATAAATCATCTCCAGATCAAAAGACACAGAATACGTCAACACAGAGATTGGACTCAACCTCACAGTATTGCAGTGTAGGGAGCCAGTGGCTCGAATGAAAAACCCCTAGGTATACCAAAATCCTGCGTAATAACAATCGTAATCATCGTGAAGATAAACATGAGAAAGGAAAGTAAAACAAAAGCAAAGCTATAGCTGCCGAAGCAAACTACCATCTGCAAAAGGGTTCTCTGGGGACATATCTAACAACGGCCGTGTGGCATTGCGATCACCTGTTGCGACTCCGTGTCCGCTGCGCGGATTTCGGTGACTAGCCGTGCTGGCTGAATGTGCTAGCAGGCTGTGTGGGGTAAACTGGGCGGGGAGCGCCGGTGTTCCTTCGGCAGAAGGTAAGGGCGCGTATGTGTTTGGGTGATGACGCACGCTTCGGGCGGTATTTCGTCGCTGAACTGAGGCTTCTGCGGGTGCAGCCGGCCGTCGCCACGAAGTGGAGGGTGGGATGGGGATTCCCCCGGGGGTCTGGTCTGGTCCAGTGGCACCGTCGATCAATTGCATCCCTGGTTGAACTTTGACGCCGTGGCCTTTGCCCTTGCGGCTATGTTGCGGTGGCTCGGCATAGACTGGGGTGAGATCGACCAGAGGCTTCTGCTTTAGGGATGGAGCTCGATTGGAAATGGATGAATCGGGAGCACGAGTCATGGTGTTTGTTCGGCTGTTGGGACTTGAGTCATAGCCCGGGGTGTGTGTAGATCCTCCGGCCATAAAGCCACTACCTGTAAAGGCTTCCTGTTTAGCTCTCTTATCACGATCATCCCGTTCCCGCATAGCAGCTTGGCGCTGAGTATAAGTTCGGCCTAGGAGTCCGGATGGTGCAAAAGTGGAAGTTTCTACTTCTTGGGGCGAGATGCCTGAGACTAATGCATGTTTGTCGGTAAAAGGCCCGTCCATATCAGTATCGAGCGTCAGGGCCTGTGGGTATGTAGATGGAGGGGGCCCGTGTCCACGAAGGGTCTTCTTCCGGGTAAAGATGTCTTTGGAGCTTGCCGGCCTCGGTTGGTCGGAGCTCTCACGCTTCGGGGATTCAGTTGAGGTCTCCCGTTTGAGGAGTGGAGCGTCGTTTGGTACATTTCTCGACTGATTAGTCGACCTCTTCGTCCCTGCGCGCTTCATAGATGGTTCAGTCTCTGGTTTCTGGCCTGCCCCCTTCTTATTGACAAGGTACCAGCTTCTCCACCTCTGTACTGCCCGGTACCATGTATCTGCAATGGACTTGTCGCTGGTCGAGAAAAAGTGCAAGAAGTTTTCGGTGGACAGAAACATGGATGACTTCTGCTGGCTCTTAATTGCAAAGCACAACTTCTTGGGAGGCTTGATATCCTTGTTTAGCGCTCGAGCGCTGGGGAAGTAGATGTCATAGTCGGATATATGGCAGATATTGGTTTGGTCTTTGGCGTTCTCTTTTTTTGAGACTGTCACTTGTCCGTCGGCGCGCAAAGTGACATATCGCTTATCCCACTTGTGACGACGCTGAGAATGGTAAATATGGACAGTCACCGGGGATGGTTGCCCACTGGGGGCATGCCCTGCATCGAGCTGAGTTAGGGCGTCCACACTAGAGGGGGGAATAACGATGAACTGGTTGTCCGCATCGTGTGACCAGGAATTCATGACTTCCCGCACATGCTCATAGCGTCGCAGAGGACGCTCTAGGCCAACCTGAGAGTAAGACTCCATTAGAATGAATTTCTCTGCATCAATGTCCCGAGATAGGTGTTTGGTGGCATCTAGTAATAAATCGTGGACTAGAGTTGACGGAGTGACAGTGAGATCCGCGGTAGCATCACCATATTTGACAAGGGCATGGCGCTCTCCGGCGTTAACGGCGCTGACAGGAGCATCAAGCCCTGGAACCACTCCGGTTCCGCCCACTCCAATGTAGTTCGGGAGCTCGGTCTTCTTGGCGTCCTTGGATCTTGAAAGTTTGACCTTCTGAAAGAATGATTTGCGATGGCCATCGTGTTCTGAGTGGGAACTTGGCGGTGGATGCGCCGGGGGATGCGCCGGAGCTGGTTGCGATCGGGGTAATTGCGCTTGTTTTGGAGGGAAGGATACCAGAGGCTTTCGAATGTGTTCTGAGTTATCCCCTCCAGTCAATCGTTCCATCGCACGTTGTCGATCCAGCTCGCGTGTGCGCGCTTCCTCATCTGTCAACCCGGTTGCGTTACGTTCACTTTCTCGCTCACTTTGGTCCGGCTGGGTTCGCACATGGCTAGGGATCGCGGGTAGACGTGGTACACAATTTCCATTTGACGTTGGCCGATTGCGACGATATCGAGACCTACTTCTTGCGATCGAGGGGTTCTGCTCGCTGTTGACAGGCGCAGGCGCAGGCGCGGGCATTTCAACGTCACCGGTTGTCGCACCTCGTGCACGATATCGAGAGAACTTCCGAGTAACGGACTGCGCTGTACTATTCTCAGCCATGCTGAAGTTTTGTTTTCGACCCCAAAGGGGCGTTTCGTAATTTCCACGGTCTCAGGTTCTATCGCCAGGATAAGGTTAGCGTCTCCAAGCAATTTCCTAGCCCCTTTGCGACTCGGCGACTATGCGACTCTTTAAAGATTTTGACAGGAAAACACAATGTGGGAGAAGAGTAGGAATACGATCAAACCGACCTGTTGTCAATCAACCATTCGCGCCTTTGGGGGGCAAAAAAGTGACCCGCACCGATCGTCAAATGGACCGGGCTAGGCTGAGTGTGCATGTAATTTCACTTTTCTTCGATAGATCACATATGAATTGAACTCACCGAAGTACTTAGCAAGCAGAGTCTGTTAAGACAAATTGTTAATCCCGTGGGGGCTAAACAATTTCCGGATCTGGCAGACGCGCCGTATGCGGTTTCACGCGACAAACTACGGAGTACAGAGTATACGGAGTATATAAAGAAAATATATGATCGACAGGTACTATTGACATTATTTAGATTGATCAATGCATAATGTTTCATTATTGGATGATCTGGGGTCCACAAGGCGATCACATACTATATCACTCCAAGTACAGGTCTATTGTATTGACTATTCTTCACAAATGGTCCAGATGATGTTCAGACATGGATGGAATGCTACTGACTAGAATCTCTTAAATATCCTTTCTGGTTTTCAATTTGGACCTAGGTCCTTCTATATCTCAATCCATTCTTACATAAATTTGTTTAGGTCAAGCTTATTTCCTATAAGCACCCAATTCCCGACGCCTGTGAGTGGTTAGCATAGACCTACAAGTTGTACATACAGATACACCATATGGAGAGAACTTACCACCACGCGATGAAGTCCACCGTCCGCACATCAATCCCAAGCTCAGTCAGTGCCTTGGTAGAGAGATGTGTATCATAAGGTCGCATGACACCACCGTTAGGATCATTACCCTGCTTGTTCGGGATCATTCCGGGAATGGCAACACCCATCACCTGAGCCAACTTCTGGCAAATCTCATACTTAGTCATACGGTCCTCAGACGAGAATTGTAGAATACGAGGGAAGTCCTTGCGCTTCTCCTTCTCGCGCAGGTACTTGATGACAATGTCCCGACACACGCGCGCAACGTCATCGGTGTTGGTTGGGTACCGCATGGCCCAGTCGTCCATCTTCACACCGGCATTTTCATCCGTGGCCTTCTGAACTGCGTCGACAAGGCAGTTGATCGCGCTCTCCGAATTCTCCTTCGCGTTACCGTACAGCACCGGTACGCGCAGTACAATTCCCATGCCTGAGGCACTAGTTGCTTCTAATACGGCCAGTTCGCCATCCCGCTTCAATTGTCCGTACAGGTTCGGTGGCTTGGTCTCGGAATCGGCCTCGTAAGGTGCTTCGCCTTCGGTGCCGGGGAAGACGTAGTCGGTCGAGATGTAGATGAGGAAGGCGCCACGTGATTGGCATTCTTGGGCCAGTGTTCGAGTAGCTTCGACATTGACCTTGCGGGCTTGATCTGGGTTCTTTTCACAGAGGTCTGGGGACTTGTTTGCGGCGCCTAGAAGCTGTCAGTCAATGATGAGGCGATCCAGTGGACTAATTAGCTTACAATGGATGACAATTTGAGGCCTGTCAATAGTTCAAAAATCGATTAATATCTCTCATTGAGATCTAGATTGGAAAATACATACTTGACTTCATCGAAGAGCATCCGAATGTCTTCTTCCTTCTCGAGATCGGCCTTCAAGATAGTTGGCGGGGCAGGGCGGGAGAATCCCTGACCAACAACCAACACGCCCGAGTGCTGAAAAGTGTTGAAAACAGCACGACCAAGGAAGCCACTGGCTCCAGTAACAAGAACTGTAGATGTCATTTTCGGATGTATGTTGTCAAATTGAGGAAGATGGAGGGAGGTTTTTTTTTTCTTCTGTAGACGCGGGGAGCCACTGTGACGTAACTGACTTCTGATGTGGATAGCTCCAGGTTCACTCAATTGACCTTGTGATTCTAGTTAATTCCATAGTAATTATTCGATTGGATCAATTACACTCGTTTCTGTGATTTATGTATGATCGCTAAGGATATGCATCATAATATTATGATTGAGCACTTGGAGGTTCAATGGCGTAGGTATTAAGATATATATATACAATTTTGACCAGCATACTATATTTGAACTACTTGCCAATATTGGAAAAGAAGTATAACATAGTATATATATAATAACAATTTAAACCAATAAACAATATAAAACTGTTTTTAAAGACCCTGCAAGCGTTGAATGTAAAATGCCGAAAATCTCCGAGACCGAATGAAAATCGGCCGGGACCTGGTTCGGAGGCAGATCGGAGCATCGGCGCATCTCCACTACTTGACATTCTAAAAATTGTTCTTCCAATTCCCCAGCCATGTCCGGTACTAGGAATCTCACAGCTGCCTTGCGGCGGGCCCGAGTGCCTCGTCCTCGTCTTGCTATTCGACCCCTCCAATCCATCACACCTTTGACTGTGCGCGCCTTCAGTGTCAGCTCCACTCGCGACTCCGATTCCCGCCAGATCAAGTTCACCAGTGACGCCTACCCCAACCTCAAGCGTAACCCCAACTTCGCCGAGATCTCCGCCGATGATGTTGCACACTTCAAGGAGCTTTTGGGATCCCAATCCGCCGTGATCGATGGCGTGACCACCGATGCGACGGACGATATCGAACCCTTCAACAGCGACTGGATGCGCAAGTACCGTGGCCATACCCGGCTTGTTCTGAAGCCCCAGAATGCACAGGAGGTCAGCAAAGTGCTGGAATACTGTAACGAGCGCAAATTGGCTGTCGTGCCACAGGGTGGAAACACTGGTCTCGTCGGTGGCTCGGTGCCGGTCTTCGATGAGATCGTCATCAACACTTCCCGTATGAATCAGATCCGCTCTTTCGATCCTGCTTCCGGTGTGCTGGTCGCTGATGCCGGTGTTATCCTTGAAACTGCCGACCAGTATCTCGCCGAGCGGGAACACCTCTTCCCTCTGGACCTGGGTGCTAAGGGGTCCTGCCACATCGGTGGAAATGTCTCCACCAATGCCGGTGGCCTGCGCCTCCTCCGCTACGGCAGTTTGCATGGTAGCGTGCTCGGCCTCGAGGCGGTCCTGCCGGACGGGACTATCGTGGATGCGCTGTCTACTCTACGCAAAAACAACACTGGCTACGATATCAAGCAGCTGTTCATCGGCTCTGAGGGCACTATTGGCCTCGTGACTGCTGTTTCTATTCAGTGTCCCCCCCGCCCTAAGGCGGTTAATGTGGCTTACTTCGGTCTTGAGAGCTTCGAGCAGGTTCAACAAGCTTACCTCGCTGCTAAGGGCCAGCTGTCGGAGATTCTCTCTGCGTTCGAGCTGATGGACGGTCGCAGCCAGAAATTGGTCATTGAATCTACGGGTAACAAGCACCCTCTTGAGGGTGAGTATCCTTTCTACTGTCTGGTGGAGACTAGCGGTTCCAATGCCGAGCACGACATGGCCAAGCTGGAGTCGTTCTTGGAGAACGTGATGGGCGATGGCATTGTCGCCGATGGTGTACTAGCTCAGGATGAGACCCAGTTCCAGGCCTTGTGGCGCTGGCGTGAGGGTATTACCGAGTCCCTGAGCCACTTGGGTGGCACCTACAAGTACGATGTCTCAATTCCATTGTCCGATCTGTACCTGCTTGTAGAGGACTGCAAGGCTCGCCTCACAGAGAAGGGTCTAGTCGGTGACGATGACTCTTTCCCTGTTCGTGCTGTTGTTGGTTACGGTCACATGGGTGATTCCAACCTGCACTTGAACGTTGCCGTGCGACAGTACAGCAAGGAAGTGGAGAAGGCAATCGAGCCGTGGGTGTATGAGTGGATTCAGAAGCGCCAGGGCAGTATTAGTGCTGAGCATGGACTTGGCGTTGCTAAGCGGGAGTTCATTGGCTACAGCCAGAATGAGACGATGGTGAAGTTGATGAAGCAGCTGAAGAACCTTTATGACCCGGTAAGTGGAGCATCACTGCTATGTGGAATCAATTGCTAACTTTTATTCTTAGAATGGGATCATGAACCCGTACAAGTATATTTAGAGCTATGTATAATTTTTTTAGGGATCGGAGCATAACAAAAGCCATTCACCGAGAGTTATAATCACATGTACAAGCATGTAGATGCATGAATATATGCCTATGCACCAAGTAAATAGAAAATTAAGTAAATGATAATCCTTTCCAGCCCATATTAGTGGACCCCCTTACAGATATACCCCAGTTGTTGCCTGAGGCCAACCGTTGCCATGTGAGACGGAGCTTGTTTGGGGATTCTCCACCCCTTGTCATTCCCTTTACTATCTTGACCCTTCAGTCCAAAGCTATTTCATTCAATTACTTGGATGAGCCCTGTCGACATTTTCTGTCCGACCGGAGTAGCTGGGCTGAATTACACAATGGACGACATGGCAAGCCATTACCAGGTGATGGAGGAGCTGGGGAGTGTGTTGATCAAAGCTCGTTTTTTTTTTTTCATGTCGGCTAACCGTATTCTCCGTTTGCAGGTGGTAGTTTCGGAGTTGTTTACAAGGCCATTGACAAGAGCGACGGCGAGATCGTTGCTATTAAACATGTACGCTTTCATGAGCTCCGAGTTTCAATTCCCCACCCTTTTGTCTCATAATTGACCCCCTTTTTTAAGATCGATCTCGAGTCCAGCGAGGATGATATCCAGGAGATTCAGCAAGAGATTTCTGTTCTGGCTACCTGCGCTAGCCCCTACGTTACACAATACAAGGCCAGTTTCCTTAAGGGGCACAAGTTATGGATTGTTATGGAATACCTCGGAGGTGGTTCTTGTTTGGATTTGGTGCGTCCCTTGCTGCTATCCATTTATCGCAACTATATCGCTAACTGTCCTAGTTAAAACCTGGATGTTTTAACGAAGCCCATGTAGCCATAGTCTGCAGAGAACTTCTCCTGGGCTTGGATTACTTGCACAACGAAGGCAAAATCCACCGCGATGTCAAGGCCGCCAATGTTCTCCTTTCCCAAACTGGAAAGGTGAAGCTAGCAGACTTTGGTGTCGCTGCACAGCTGGTCAACATCAAGTCACAGCGCAATACATTCGTCGGAACCCCATTCTGGATGGCACCGGAAGTCATTCAGCAGGCTGGGTACGACTTCAAGGCAGACATCTGGTCTTTAGGTATCACAGCAATCGAGATGATCAACGGAGAACCCCCACATGCCAGCACACACCCGATGAAAGTGCTCTTCCTGATTCCAAAGAACCCCGCCCCTCGCCTCGAAGGCAACGAGTACAGCAACACATTCAAGGACTTCATTGCACAATGTCTGACGAAAGACCCGGATCTTCGGCCAAGCGCAAAGGAGCTTTTGAGACACAAGTTCATCCGGAATGCGGGCAAGGTCGAGGCACTCCAAGAACTGATTCATCGTAAACAGGACTGGGATGGTGGCCGTGGTGAGTCGAGAGATGTAAAATACTATGCGGAGTCTCTCAACACCATGACCAAGCCCGGTGATCTTGATGATGACGACTGGGTCTTTGACACTATTAAGCCTCCTCCAATGTGGAAACCCAAGGGCACGGACTGGATGACATTCGATGAAGAGGACGAAAATGTCCCCGATCCAGCCAAAATGATGGAAGAACTGCACATAAGCCCACCACCACCAGCACCGCCTAAGCACCAGGCCAATTCCACCGTCCGCCGAGTTCCTACCGACCGATCTCCGTCTGTCAAACGGGCTAACACTAAGCGTCGCTCAAGTGGTGTCAAACAACCCCTTGGCCTGGACTTAAGTTATGGCAACAGCCCGTCTACAGTTCGACAGTTCCGCCGGGTGTCGGACAAAGTCCCTACCGATCTCAACACAAAGCAGGGCTTTGATGAGAACCAAAGCCCGAAGACGGTCCCCATCGACTCTTCAAGCAAGGAGGCTCAGATTGGACGACGTGCATACAGCAAGGCAGTGGGACTTTCTTGCCAGGAAGTCCTATCAACAACAGGAGATGGCGATAAACGAGAGGCAATCTCCAGACTCGCTGAAGCCTGGAGCGACCTGGAAATGGTCGATCCCGAAGGCCTCTATCACATCGTCAGGATCATGAATGAGAAGATTCAAGCAGACTCCCGCCTCTCTAGTCTTCTCCCACCCACACAGCCCGACTCCCCTTCGCGGCCACGCCTAGTGCTGGCCCAAAATAACCCACACCTCAAAAGCCACCGTCGTCGCCAATCATACGTCCCCGAATCCCAACCCCAGTCACCCTCATCCATCCCCGCCCAAGCTGCATCCGCTATGGAACACACCAAACAACTGTCCGATGTCCTCTACCAGCGATGGTCAGAGGGTCTCCGCAACCGCTGGGGAGGCGCCTAGTCTCACCCTCAACCATCCTCCCACCCTTTCCACACCAACCTCAACGCACCTTCTCACTCCTTCTTCCATTCGCTGTATAGACCCAATTTGGCGTTCTGACTCTTGTACAATTCTTTGCCATTGCCTGCATCCATGGTGTCCGTTCGTTCTGTTTACTGTCCCTTACTCTGATGGGACTGGTCCCGGAGTTTCTAATGATCTGGTGAAATCTTTTTGCGTTTTCTTCTGTACTCTCTTTCCTCTGATAGAATGCCGCCTGTGCTTCTGTCCTTGTCTATTGACCCCTGGTCTTTTGTGTGATTTTCTTTAGGTATTTTCTACGAGTACTGGAACATACTATGTCTGAAATGTGATACATGTCTTGATTTTGCTCATTGTATCGCTTCATTACTAGTTCTCCTTCTTTCAGTAGCTCACCTAACAGATTTTTCAGGCGTAAACTCCTCCAACGCTCTACAATAGGCACCAAGCTTCTCATTTTCATAGCGTGTACAACACCCCGACAGATTCTGCTAATACATCAACCCCAGCATCGAAGATGGGCTGTATCCTATGCTTTATTTATATCCGTTGCCTTTTGACTGCTGTTTCTACCAGCTGTGCTTTCGCCATGGTTCTACTCCTTGTGGTGCACCCTGAAGAGCAGGGAAGAACTTTGAATATAAAAGATAAAAAAAAAGAAAGAAAGAAAGAAAGAGGGGCCTACCCACGAACCCTGTCCCGTTAGGACCGCCACCCCCTTCAGGAGAGAGACCCGATCATAAATACCGTGCGGGTGTGGAGGGTACCTCTATAAACCTCGTCCAGCCTTAACAGGCAACGCCGAACATCCGAAGAAAGTTGACGCACCCAGCAGTCCAGGAGGTAGATTTCAGATGCTCCATCCGCTCCTAACCGGGGTGGATTAGCAAGACCTTTTGTTGCACATAGGGCTACATTGAAAAAATAAAAAAAGAAGTGCATCATCCGTGAATCGAACACGGGCCTCGTCGATGGCAACGACGAATTCTACCACTAGACCAATGATGCTGAGATACCAGGCGAATCAGAACGCTGATTCGTTGGTTATATTTGGAGACCCCTAATGGAATAGACAAGTTCAATAGTTTCTAAGTTTGATATAAGCGTTATCAGCTAACCTTGGAAAGGAGCCCAAGTGGGGTTCCACGTTCCAAGGGATCCATTTTCTTAAATGTTGTGGGTCTTCTCTACTACACATCACATTTTTTTTGCGATGGAAATAGGAAACCGATTTCAGACGGTGCAATATTTTGCGGAGGAATCTAGTTTGTCTACCCGGTCGTCCCTGGTATTGTGGTTTGAGTCCTAAAAGACGAGGATTTCTCAAAAGAGCAATTTCGTAAAGAACTTGAGATCTATAAAATCTTCTCCCAACAAACAGCCTGCCAATTTATCACGTAGTGTTTCTACTACACGGATAATGGGATCTTCCTCGAGCAGATGAGAGGTGATACTGTCGATGTCTATAGTTAGATGAATATCTTTACTGAATAGATTTTTGTTTTTCTACCCGTATTCAACAAAATAGTACGGCCGACCTCAAAACCTAGTTGATTATCAAAGTGAATAAATTGGAACCGCTGCACCTGCGACTGGAATGAATGAGTGATATTACCCAAGCCATCGCTTTCCTCGAATCACTTAATCTTGCCCATGGTGATCTCAGACGTGAGAATATTGTCCTTGACTGCAACAGAGTCAAGGTGACAGATTTTGGCAATACAGCACCATTTGGAACACCGTTCCATACTTGTCTAGAGCCGTGGGAAAAAGAGCTGAGGATGGATGAGTCGGGATATGACAGTAGAATTTTAGCTGGGCTTCTGGGACCTCGGACCGAGCAATTCGCCCTTGGACCCATATACTACTACGTCAACTACGGCGTGGCAATATATGAGGATAAGACTCTCACGGAGGTTCCGCGTGACCGTGGTGTTGTGCTCAAAAATTGATGAGGGGCATGCAGTTCCCAGACTTGGACTGTGATCCAATGATCGATGAACTGATTCACAAGTGCTGGTACAACCAATTTCCCACTATTGCAAGCTTAGCCGTGACGACAAAGGCATTTCTCAACAAGAAATCTAACAGTGAAGAAGACCAAGCTGTAAACATTGAAATCAACACCACGCTAGCGACAGATGGAGGCGAGTCACATATCGGCAACCTGACAGAAAATAGCACGTCGAAGGAAGCACTTTGTCGAGAATTTGGCGAGCATGGACTCATTGACTTCATTCGCTCGTCGAGATGTGGAGGTAACAGGTGTGAAGGCAAGATAGTTAAATAAAAAGGTCATGTCGTGCAGGAATCGAACTTTGGCCACACGCAATAGCTGCGTCCTAATTAGGAAGGAGGTTCCCTTATCTGCCAGTTAAAAGATTCCTTACAAGCCAATCCACCCCGGTTAACTGAGCGAATGGAGCATCTGAAATTTACCTCCTGACTGCTGGGTACGTCAACTTTCGAACGTTCGGCTGAACGAGGTCTATTGAGGATCCTCCACACCCGCACGGTATTTATGATCGGGTCTCTATCCTGAAGGGGGTGGCGGTCCTAACGGGACAGGGTTCGTGGGTTGGCCCCTCTCTTTTTTTGTTCTTTTTTACATCTTTTATATTCACGGTTCTTCCCTGCTCTACTGTCAAGGTCTCTATGAGTGGGATATGCTGAAGGCCTGGTTTCGATGAGAACAATTGAATTATTATGAAAAATCTCTAGTGCTGACTATGGAATTCTAATAAATACATTTTCTGGTTCAAGTTCTAGTTCAACAGATCTGTCACATTGAGTGGAGCTTCGATCCTATGTACATGTAAATATACAGAGCATGGATGGCATACGACACGGAACCACTAGTCTCGGATGCTCTTGTCAGATACATCCATACCATCCCCCTCCGAAGGCTCCGTCTTCCGGGACATCCACTCATGGCGCAAAAGTCCCAGAGCCGTTGGCCGATCTTCAGGGTCCCATTGTAGCGCTTTTCGCATCCACTGCACAAAGCCTTTCACGTCCTCGCCGTCGATATTGTTAGCTGCCAGGCTCTCCAAGCTTCGGTCTGGTATGGGAGCTTGACCCGTCCAATTCCCTTCTTTGTCCCAGAACATGGAGGATAGTCGCATCTTCTCACGGAACCCCGGTGGAGGTGGGCCAAGTAGAGCAACCAGCTCTGCGATGTGGACCCGGTCATCAAAAGCCCCGTCTGAGTTTCGTCCGTCGATGAGCCCCTGGGAACTGGTGTAATTCCATGCCTAGATAAACTGTGTAAGCTTCTTTCTTTTTTGCCTCGAAGGGGAAATACCCACAGCAACAGCAGCAACCCAGACGTCTGCCTTGTGATCCCATTTCGATTTCAGGACCTGTTCAGGAGACCTGCAGTGCTTTTCGACGATACCGGGCATGTCGTCGTCTGGAAAGTCCAGATGAAGGGGAACACCGTCGCCTGGGAGTATCATTGGGGTGATGAGCTCGATATTGCTGGGTCCCAAACCTCGTCTGTCACTGGAAGAAACGTCGAATGCTTTGTTTGGCATTATGCCTGCCTTAGAATCAGTCATTTATTCTTCGAAAACGATGGCGAGGGACGATACGGGCAGTCAAATAACAATCGGTGTGTAGGAAATCCATCAGGATCAACATTTGTTTTATTGTAGACCTCATCGCTTCGAGACCCAGCTTGTCGTCCGAATGCATCTGTTCTGGATCGATCTGGGGAGCCTCGTGAACAACACAAATATGAGGGCCGCGAGGACCCTTGATGGGAAAACGATCGGTAACTTCGTGAAGCGGACACTCGTTTTGCTGGTATTGCTTTGGTGGGTGGATCCGTCCATAAGCCTTGAGCATATGGTCCACAACATAGATCTTGAAAACAACCATTCTGGGCTGCCTATTATTGACTGAGTATTAGAGCAGTATCGTTCCCACTCGAATGAGGCACTCACAGTAAGTCAATAGCATACCAAACAGTCGCTGTTGGCCCATAGCCGATTTTGTGTAGAATTTGGTACCTGTTGTTCAGGATTTCTTCCTCCTCGGCGGGGTATGTGTATGTCTCGTTGGGCTCATGCCCCATTGCAAGCTCTTCCTCGATTTTGAGCGATGAATCCAGTAGCCCGAGATCGAAGACTGGGAAGGCTCGCGGGTTGGACGTCCATTGTGATGAATATCGACGCGACCAGGCTGTTTTTCGATCAAAGGGGGAGATCAGTCGGTAAGTAGAAATGGGAAGTTGGAAAGAGATCCCCCTGTAAATAACTCTGTTAGAGTAAATACGCAGAGTCGCTCGCCAATTCATGACGCGGTTGGCGAATACGCGCTTGGCTATGGAACAGGTGTAGTTGAACGGACGGGACCCTGCATATTACCGAGGTCTATTTATATCCCGAGGACTTTTTTTTTATCACTAGAAGGATGACTTTTTTTTTCGAGAGACTTAAAATAAACATTATGCCACTAAAAATAAGCTTAAACAAGTTCACCCGAGGTGTTCTGGGAGACCCCACAACATTTGGGGTCGCCCAGTGTATAGGTTAGACGATCTACATGAAATCATATCCTAAAGCATCTATATGTACATTAGTCTAGCTGGAAGTTGAAATCTATTTAAGGAACTACAGTCTACATGTACAATGAAAGAGGGCGGGGTTAAAAACCCCTCCTATTCATGTATTCCGTGGGATCTGTCAGTGACTATCGAACTCTTGGAGTTCAGTCACCAACTTATCAGGACTCGCACGAGAACTGGCAGTTTGATTTGTATTCGGACCTTCGAAGGCCTCAACAACTTGGTGTTGATGTCTTTCGAGGACCACCCTCTGCGCTGGCTCTGTGGGCTACGGTGAGACAGGGAGGATTGGGAAGAGGAAGAAGAGAAGAGGAAGAAAGGTGGGAGGAATCCTTTTATACTCTCACGTACCTTCCTAAAATGGACACTTGCCTACTTGTCCGACTTGCCCCTTCCTTCTTTCCACTTCTGCGACTTCTCAGCATCCCAATCCCAGTCTCATAGCCATATCATTAAGCGGTATTTTAACGTGTCCACGGGTAATTTAAGAGGTTTTACTAAATCACCGACTTAATTGAATACAGAAATATATACTTCTTTATAGAGGCTCATTCTTATACCTGACCTATAAATTTCTAAAGTAATGGATCAATCTTGAATTGGATTTGAAATAGATATCTTCAACAGCTGAGATCCATGCATTTACATACTTAATTCATTATTGAATCTGTTGCATATATCGATGTCGATAGCTAAAAAAACCATGCCAAGACCACTAAGGCTAATTAATTCCCCCTGAAACATAGGACTGTGGGGATCCGCTGTGGGCTGGACTCAGGAGACCAACAGCTATTATTTTTCCCTTTCACAACTCTCCCTTTTTTTTGTTTATATGACTTTTTAAAAATCCCTACATTCTGATCTCTCCTACTGGCTGGTCCACAATGGAGAGTCTTCCGGGAGCGGAGAGCTTAGTCCATGGTCCATTTCCGGACCAAACGGACTCTGCTTCCGAGCAGGCCTCCCATTCCAATCTCTCACGCTCATCATCTCTCGTTCAGAAAAAAGCGTTACCTCGCACCGCCCGTCATGCCAAACGACTGACCTTAAACTTCCCCATCAACTTGAACGAACCTGAAACATCCGATTCCAACGTCACCTCTCCCGGTTCCATAACCCCAGTCACACAGTCCGCAACTCGCCCCTCCCCCGCTCAGCCCCCGGGAACTCCTATGGCATTTGATGTCCCCGATGATGGCTATGATTTCCTGCGAGCCATTGCCTCGCAGGAACGGAAGGTCATGGAGCTCCGCGAGGAGCTCACACGAGCCGAGGCAGACCTAGTGACAATCAAGAGGCAATGGGCACTATCTGAGAAGTCCAGAAAGCGAGCGGAGATCAACCACGCGGAGCCATTAATGCCACTCCGATCACCTGATCCCGCAACACCCGAAGTTTCGAGTTCACATGGCCGGGAACAGAGCATGAGCTCAGTTACAAGCTCTACGGTATCACAGGAACGGGTGAGCCGAGATCTAGACAGACGGGCTAGTGTGCGTGCTGCCGCCGCACCAGGAACCAAGATTGGGAGTAGTGGTCGGCGAGTGTTTCATGGCACACATACACGGACTTTGTCTCTTTTGTCGCCAGTCTCCGGTCCCTGCACTTCTTCCCGAGAACCAGGTCTCTCAAATGAACGCGTGGGTCGCACTCCGCGGTCTGCAACATTACCATCAGTCGACCGTAATAATGCAGCCATGATGAGTGCACAACTAGATGAGAGTCAGGTACCAGAACATCTGCTCGCACAGTGGCAAAAGACTCTTCCTCCCCCTTCGCGGGAGGCCTTGGTGCGCACAGGCAAACAAATGGCATCCGATCTCCGCGAGGGTCTGTGGACATTTTTGGAAGATATCCGACAAGCTACAGTGGGCGAGGAAGGGATCAACGGCACACAAACAAGAACCTCACCATCTAATTCATTGGCACCACCAAATGGTCGCAAGCGGGATTCGTTGGCGACATCTCGAAGTCGAGAACGGTTGTTAGCGGACGGCAAGCTATCACGATCATCGTCGTCGTCTTCGCGGGGGAGGGGGCCAGCGGCCGAGACAAAAACTGGTAAAGACACCAAGCCGGCGGAAATTTCCACATCTTTCTGGAACGAATTCGGCATTGATACACCCGCTCAGAAGTCTCCGAGCGCTCCGCGCACCCCCTCCGGCAACAAAGCCGCCAACCGAAACGGGGCGAACGAAGCCGAACCGCGCGACCAGCTCTCCAGTAATTCAATCGACGCGCAAGATGAAGATCTCGACAACTGGGATAGCTGGGACACGCCCCTATCCGAGAAGAAGACGCACACGCCCTCGTCGAGCCGATCAACAGTCGCATCCAAACATGATCACTCACCCACCACACAGGGTAGCAGCCCTCGAACCAGCGCTAGGTACCGTTCGACCTTTTCTGATTTCATCTATGACAACCTCGTCATGCGCTGACCACACGCTCCTAGCTTTGGCGATCTGAACCCGGCTTCCTCTGGACTCGATCCTAGTGCCTCCGAAGGCATTCCCTGGCCTGCAATTACCAAGTTGGCCCCCTCAAAGCTTCAACGGACTGCATCCAATTTGATGGCAGAATGGGAGCGCTCACTGTCACCTTCTCCAGAGCGAAATGCCTCTCCTTCGCTCAGCCGCAAGGACAGCAAGAAGGACTAGTAGGGTTCTTTCTTTCTGCTTATGTATATACTTGCTACCTCTTCTTCGGCCCTATCTACGGAATTACGTAGGGCTACGACCTTCAACTTATACCATATGAGAGCGTTGCTTCTTCTCTTGTCGATAAATTTTCTTTCCTTTGTTACCTCTGTGAATTATCTTGCAGGCTTTGATTTGCTTTGAAGATTCTCAAATACCAGTTGATTTGGTTCACGATGATTGCTACGTATTTTTTCTTTGCTTCGATGTGTCTCTCTATCTTTATGAATACAAATGAGTTTCGAATTTTTTGCTATCATTTATTCTTGGAACGCCACTTAAACAACACCTCGCAGGTTCAGTGATGCATCCATACAGCTTCCATGGTTTGTACCGATAACGGCACGATGATTTTGCGGAGCCGGAATATCACGTGCAGGAATGCGCTTTAGGATTCTCTAGTCCCCCGTAAAATAAATTTGCGGTTCAGTTACTCGCCTCCGCAAGATCTCCGCGTTGTCTATTTTACTTGCTTACGCGAATTCTTTTCTCGCCGAGGTCCAGTGGATTGATCATTCAGGCCAGCTTGGATCCGTTCCAGCGAGTACTATCTACCACTATATTTAATCCAACGCCTACTCACGTCAACTTTCAACATGGCCTTTCCACTCACCACAGGCACCGCCGCCATGCCGATGGCCTCCCTGGGAGGTAATCCGGCCACCCAGGGAATGAATGAACAAGAACAGGCTATGGTCAAGATGGTTAGTCCTCGAGTATGATGTTGATTACGTCCAATTCTAATGAAGCTCTGTATAGATGCAACGAGGTATGGAGTCTTGTCCTATCAAGACAGTCATCTCGGGTACCATGGGATTCGGTCTTGGTGGTGCTTTCGGTCTCTTCATGGCCAGTGTAAGTCGGCAATTACATCATTGATGTCGAAATTTCCATATCTAACACCTACCCGCTATAGATGTCCTACGACTCGACCTTCACACCCCAGGGCCGCGCCATCGCCGACCTCCCCTGGCGCGAACAAGTCCGCCGCGGTTTCAAGGACATGGGAGCCCGCTCCTGGTCGTCTGCTAAGAACTTCGGTATCGTCGGTGCGCTCTACTCCGGAACCGAGTGCTGCATTGAAGGTCTCCGCGCAAAGAACGATCTTACCAACAGCGTTGCTGCTGGTTGTGTCACTGGTGGTATTCTCGGTGCAAAGGCCGGTCCCCAGGCTGCTGCCTTTGGTTGCGCTGGTTTCGCGGCGTTCAGTGCGGCTATTGATGCCTACATGAGAATGCCCTCTGAGGAGTAAATACTCCATTCGGATCCGACTTGATTGCACAACCTTGTTCCGTTGTTTGGCGCCTTCTGTTGCCAATCGGCCTTACATTGTTGCGCTTTTCGACTTGTATATTTCTACGGCATCTGGCGTTCTGGAATAGAACGGAAGCATTGCGGGCGTTTTGGTTGTTCTTATCTATTTTGCTCTGGAAGCATGGCTCTTTTGGTCTGCCTCCCTTGCGTTGCATGTCTTGTTTGACGCCTGCATTGCATGGCCTCGGCATGGTGGTTCACTCCATATTAGATTCTTTTGGGTCTGACTATTTACTCTTTTGTACAATACCAAGCGTGGACATACATGACTCACCTCTCACAATTGATACCAAGTTATTTTATGCTTATATTATTAACTAAATTTCAAAGAAACTTCAAAATCCTCTACCAATTTCACCGGGATTAGCACTAAATCACAATAGGCATGTCTCATTTATTCCTTTATAGATTCAAAACCTCGGCGAGAATACAGTTTGTTCAATTTATACACGGTCCTAAGGCAACACGATATACTTCTGCAGGTGCTTGGGAATGGAAGCACGCAGGTTCTTGCTCTCGAGCCAGGTGCTAGAGAACAAGCGATCCGCATACCGATAAGCACCATCACAGAGAATGGTCACAACGGTATTACCCTTGCCCAACTTCTCTGCGACCTCCTTGGCGGCCACCACGTTCATCGCGGAACTGGCACCAAGGTACAGACCCTCTTCATCCAGACAGCGGTAAACCATCTCAATGGTCTTCTCATCACTGATGCTCACAGACCCATCTAGCAAGTCGATATCGGGCTGCAAGTTATCGGTCACACGGCCCTGGCCGATACCTTCGGTGATACTGCTACCAGAGCGGTCGATCAATGTACCACCACTTTGGATATAACTGTGGAGAACACTGCCGGGAGGATCGGCGAGGAAGCTCTTGACACGTCCATCACTGACAGTCTTCAGATAGCGGGTGGTACCAGCAAGGGTACCTCCGGTTCCGGTAGCGCAGGTAAAGGCGTCGATCTTGCCCTGGGTCTGTGCCCAGATCTCAGGCCCGGTAGTGTCGATGTGTGCTTGACGGTTCGCAGTGTTGTCGAATTGGTTGGTCCAGACTGCGTTGTCCAATGACTCGGCGTGTCGGCGCGCCTGGTGGTTGTAATTCTGGGGGTTGTCGAAGGCCACTGCGGGGACCGGGTATACTTCCGCACCGAGCAGACGGAGCAGGTCGATCTTGCCCTGTGACTGAGTGTTGGGCATATAGATCACTAGCTTGTAGCCCTTTGATCGGCACACATGTGCCAGTCCGATGCCAGTGTTTCCGGCCGTTCCTTCGACCACGGTGCCGCCGGGCTTTAGGAGTCCCTTCTCCTCCGCATTTTTGACCACGAAGAGCGCTGCTCGGTCCTTCACGCTACCTCCGGGGTTTTGGAATTCTGCCTTGCCAAGAACATTGCAGCCGGTCTGCTCGGAGAGTTTCTTCAATCGGATAAGCGGGGTGTTGCCAATCGCTAGAGTATGCAAGTTAGATTGAGACTGTATGCAAGGGTGCGCTGGGAGCTAAACATACCCTCGGTCAGTCCATTGACAACGCCCTGGGCTGTTGACACTCGGGTGCAGTATGCAGTGGATCCCTCGGAGGCAGCACGAGTTGCCGTAGTGGCAAACCGCCGGACACTTTGACGAAACATCCTGAACTGACTTGCAATACAGGAACAAATGATCCCATCGACCCTCGGGGAATGACGAGCTCCCGCACCTCCGATGGTCGGCATTAGTCAGATCACGTGCTATGACTACCCTTATCGGCTATCGGTCTCCCGTTTTGGGCTGTTTGTTTACTGCCAAGGCCGCCTCCAGTCCTTTGATCGGTCCCGCAATCCGCGATGCTTTTCGCCTTCGAATAATCAACGCCCAACAACAACACAACAATGCCTGGCAGAGTCGCCGCCCGTTCGACATCTGCAACAACACGCAGGTCGTCAGCACAACCCTCTGCGTCTGGGCGTGCTGGCTCCGTTACTCCGTCGTTTGCGATCCCCGAAGAACCAGCAGAGCCAGAATCATCCCCCACTTTGCGTCGCGATGTGTGCTTGCTCTTTGCAGATGCCCAGCGCTCAACTACCGGTCACCGAAAGCTTGTTGTTCGACTACGCAAGCTCCAAGAGTTTTCCTGTGGTATCTTACAAAAGAAGAATAGCAAGGGAAATGGGCAGGAACCTGAGGAGGCATTGATTCCTGGCGAGGAAACGCAGGCAGAGAAGGAATTCAACACTGAAGTCGGCCGTTGCATGCTTAGGATCCTCACAATCAAGAAGAGCGAGCCTGTTGGAGACCGAGTTTTGCGTTTCTTGGGTACTTTCCTCGGTCATGCTGCGGAAAAAGATAATGAGATATTTGCTTCTGGTGAAGACGAGGACCACAGCCCCGATACACCGACTGCCCGCCTCACATCTAGTCTCGTTGCGCTAATGGGGCCCGTCATGAGTGCCAAGGATAAAATCGTGCGCTTCCGCGCAACCCAGATTACCGCCCACATTGTAAACTCGCTGGAATCGATCGACGACGAACTATACCATATGATAAGACAGAACCTTCTGAGACGACTCCGTGACAAGGAGGCCTCCATCCGAGTGCAGGCGGTTCTTGGGTTAGGACGTTTGGCAGGAGACGATGGAGAAGACGACGGCAACGACGACAATTCCGCCCTTCTCGAAAAGCTGATCGAAATTATGCAAAACGATACAAGCGCCGACGTTCGTAAGACGCTTCTCACAAATCTTCCCCTCGCTCCAGTGACTCTCCCTTATCTTCTCGAGCGCGCCCGTGATCTGGATGCCCCTACCAGACGCGCACTGTACTCGCGACTTCTGCCTACCCTGGGCGACTTCCGCCATCTGTCTCTATCTATGAGAGAAAAGCTCCTCCGGTGGGGTCTGCGTGATCGTGACGAAAGTGTTCGCAAGGCTACAGCCAAGTTGTTCTATGACAGATGGGTCGAGGATTGCGCTGGCACGAACAATGACCCGAATCAAGGACCAACTGGCCAGCGCTCTGAGCCCGATATCAACGCGCTACTTGAACTTCTAGAGAGAATTGACGTTGTTAACTCTGGAATCGAGAGCGGAATTGCACATGAGGCAATGCGCGGGTTCTGGGAGGGCCGTGCAGACTATCGTGAAGCTGTTGTCTTTGATGAGCCCTTCTGGGAGAATCTAACTGGTGAATCTGCGTTCTTGCTTCGGTCCTTCAACGACTTCTGCCGTGTGGAGAATGAAGGCAAATACGACAGCCTAGTAGAGGACAAGATGCCCGAGGTCACCGCGATGGCCCATTACCTAGGCAAATACATCACTAATCTCTTGGACCGGAAGAAGATTTCAAAAGAGTCTAGTGAAGCGAACGATGATGATGCCGTCGAGCACGAATTTGTTGTGGAACAATTGCTACACATCGCCATCACTCTAGATTACAGCGACGAGGTCGGTCGACGAAAGATGTTCTCTCTGCTGCGAGAAACTTTGGCCGTGCCAGAACTCCCGGAAGAGAGCACAAAACTTGTCGTTGAAACACTCCGCTGTGTCTGTGGACCTGATACTGCGGCTGAAGCCGAATTCTGCAGTGTTGTTCTCGAAGCTATTGCCGAGGTTCACGACACCATCACCACCGAGGACAGCTTTGTTTCTGCTAGGTCTGAAATCAGTGACGACACTAGCAGACGATCCGAAACTCCAGGGGATGAGGAGGTCACTCCCTTCAATAAGGAAGAGGCCAAGGCCAAGATCGTCCGCGAGATTGTGGTTAACATGAAATGTCTGTTTATTGCTCAGTGCATGTTGCAAAATGTCCAGGGCCACTTGCAGCAGAACATGAACTTAGTTACTATGCTCAATAACCTTGTGGTGCCCGCTGTACGCAGTCACGAAGCTCCAATCAGAGAGCGTGGTCTCGTTTGCTTGGGCCTTTGCTGTCTGCTTGACAAGGTTAGTGTCTTCTCTTTTGATCGAATACGAGCTTTTGCTAATGACTGATTTCCACAGAATTTGGCCGAAGAAAATATGACACTCTTCATTCACTGCTATAGCAAGGGTCACGAGGCATTGCAGGTCACGGCTTTGCAAATTCTCTGCGATATGATCACGACTCACTCATCCCTTCTCGCTCCTGTTACCCAGGCAGATGGCGAAACCGTCACGCCACCTGCCATGCACAAGCCTTTGCTAAAGGTTTTCGCCCGAGCTCTGCGTGCCAACTCTCCCAACAGCGTGCAGTCCGGCGCAGCCGCCGCTCTCTGCAAGTTGCTACTCACAAACACATTCACTCCCTCTGGACCGAATGTTCCACCCGCAATCCAGGAGCTCAATCAGACCGCTGTTGAATCCCTATTACTCTCCCTCGTAGTCTCCTTCTACCACCCGCGCACTCGTGAAAACCCAGCACTACGACAGTCATTGGCTTATTTCTTCCCTGTCTACTGCCATTCTCGTGTGGAAAACACACAGCACATGCGCCGAGTGGCCGTACCAGCCATCCGTGCTGTAATGAATGCTGCGGAGGAGTACTACTCACTCGAGGCCGAGGAGGACAGTGATGGTGAGATCGATCCAAGCGTCGGCGAGCGCGAGGTCAAGGCTCTTATGACTGGTGTTGTGGGTATGCTTACAGAGTGGACTGATGAGCGCCGGGTTGTTGGCCTTGGTGGTGAACGAATTTTGGCTGGTGGTACCGCAAGCTCCAATGTTTGTGGATGGGTCCACCTCGCTTTGGTTAAGGACATCCTCGAGCGTGTTCTTGGTGCCAGCGCTGCCGCTAATCGGTGCTCACGCGAGGAACGCAAGCTTCTCTTCTCCCTCCTCAGCAAGCTTTACTTTGCTGCTCCTACAGTGCCCGCACGAGCTAGCTCTCGAGCCCCCGAAGGCGATGATCAGTTCCGAACTAGCATTCGCAGTGCTACAAATGTCGAAATCGATCCTGAAAACACTGCCCTTGCGACTGAGGTCAAGGAGCTATTGGATCAAACCATTGAAGAGGGTCTTGCTGCTGAAGCCTCCAGCCGAAATGCTCTCGTTAAGGCCAAGAACGCTATCCTCAAGATCCTTGCCGTTGCACAGGATAGTCGGGCTGCTAGCGCTCGTCCTCGCGAAGGTACTGAAGACCCTGACAACGATGGAGCTAGTGTACGCTCTGGTAGTGTTCGTCGCTCTGTGGACCCTACTGGTGGTTACGGCCGTCGCCATGTCTCGGTTGAGCCGAGTATCATGGAGGAAGATGAGGGTGAGGGTGATAGCCGTCTCACCTCTGTTGCAGCCAATCGTCCCATTGTCTCTATTGAACCTAGTATTATGGAAGAAGATGAAGATGACCATGATACTAGTCGGGGGACAATAATCAAGGAAGAAACGGGTGATGAGTGATGATTCCGAGGTTTGGCGTTGTGGAGATATGATTTTGGGGTTGGGTTAGGGTTCTGTACATATTTCAGTTTCTAATTTTTCCAAATACCTTTTGCTTGAATGGCATTGAGTTCTCTATACATCCATAGAACAACTTGGATATAGAGAATGATAGGAAGAAAAGCCTCGGAGTAGGGAGACATCGTAATCGTTATCTCTAAACCTCAGAGATGAAAAGCTCGATGGAGCCAAAAGACATGGATGGGTGAGAAGAGGAAAGAATGCTATCTAGCTCGAGCGCTGATAATGCGGTGGCTTTAGGCGCCAATATATCAGTCCTACTATTATGCTGCACCTAAATAAATGCCCTATGCAGTTGCCTATACGGTGTACATCCCCAAATTGCCGAGTACCCTCTCATCCTCCTAAGATATCTAGGCGGGCAGGCATCTACCTAGGTATAGGTAGCGACGTTCAGGTTGCTAGCTAAATATCTCGATTCTCATATACTCAATACTTTCAAAACACGAACCTGCATATTGTGCTCAAAACAACCCAACTTATTTAACCTATATACTATACGATCCTAAGTATTATAGGCTTTCCTAAAACCTTATGTAAACTTATTTAAGCTTATATCTAGCGGTATAATATTGATTTCTAAGGCTCTCGAAAAAAAGCTACATAGTATCCTTCTAGTAATAAAAGAAGAGATATAAATAGTGATATGTATGTTGTACAACATAGGGTCCCGTTATCGATTTTCCGTGGGACCTCCGAAATATTGGGCCAAATCAAAGTACCCAAATATACCGCCCTTTATACCGCCTTCCCTTTAATTATTCTGCCACAGGTACGGTGTACGTACCGCCTGTCATTTTAAGTATACTGCCACAAGAATACAGGGCCGCATAAGCGGCCAAGTGATGTCTTTTCAGTGATCTTTTCAGTGGATTTTTCAGTGGTATATTGAGTAGTCTTCTCAGATATTATTCTGTTTAGATATCAAAAAAGGCGAAAAGGCTTAATTTGTACAAGTGACTTTTTTATAACTTATCTACCAGCATCACAGCCTTATATCACGTGTACAGAAGCTAACTATATTCGGAGTTTTAGACTAGTAGAACTGGCAGAATATAAATAGCAGTACACAGGGCGGTATATCTAGGTACTTTGGTTTGGCCCAATATTCGGGAGGTCCCACTGTCACTATATCTATTCTCCCCTAACCGTGTATTTGCTAGCCGTGTTAACAGAGTTATTTCTAGGGGGCTTCTTCCTAGTTTCCTATTTTCATTAAATAATCTCCCCCTTTAATCGAAAAACAGCCTAGTTATATCGATGTTCATCACAATAGACATCTAACCCGCGAGTCTTCCCAGTCTTCGATCTCGGGCTACTGGATTCATCGCTCATAATCGAGGAAGAACTTGCGATGGGGCATGAGCCCAACGAGACATATATATACTCCGCCAAGGAGGAAGAAACCCTAAACGACAGGAACCAAACTCTACACAAAATCGGCTATAGGCCAATCTATTCGCGTCGTCAGCAGAGTCATTGCAGCAAAGCCAGAACTGGGATCGTGTGATAGTGGGCTTTCTCCGGCAGTCTGTTTTCAAGGCCTTCTTTGGCTGCCTTTGCAATAACAACGGGCAAATACCCAGTCGTCCCCCGCCTGACGACAACATCGAGGTTCACGATCGCGACGAAGGGCCGACTAGAGCAGATCTTGGTCGGGCCATGATAGCGACAGATAGCATGGAGGTGGATCTTGGTAGTCTCAGGCCGAGCCCTCTAGGCTCTAGCCACCTCGGCAGCCCAGTCCCATAATGCTGCGGTTACTGCTTCACCGGCTGACATACTGCCGCCGTTCGGTGTCATGGCTGTCACAGTAGGAGCAACTACACGGAGATTGGTCCTTCCAATCCACGACTCCTTCATGATAAACTTTAATACCCAAAATCAGGCCAAGAACATTATTCCATATTTTGGACTCATTGCTTTCGCCGCCGGATAGCTGCTAGCGGAGTTAACACAAAGGCAGCCACGGCTCCAACGACAGGACCGGCAACTTATTCTTTCGAAGATTTTCCATCAGTCTTGGTGTTGCCTAAAGATCTTGCTGTGGGCGATAACATGGACGGTGGCGCGGGAGATGGCATCAAGCTGACTCCAGTACTAGTCGCAGTTGGTGTCGCAATATCAGATGGTTACTGACGAATGAAGATCTTTTCTCACAGGCAGTGAAACTCCTAATACAGTTATGTTGTATACCCAGAAAGAGGCGTAGGCATATCTTGAAGAGTCATCGCATGGTCATGACCTCGGGACTCCTTTGGTTTCTGGACGTCTGGTTTTCTTCTTTGCCTGTGTTTCTTCCATGTGTGTCTCCGTATTATTTTCTCTCGTGTGTCCTTAGCTCCATGTATTCGCAATTAGCTCCCTCATCGTTTCGCTTGCTCTCGTAGGCATTGCCCTCTCATATCTAATTCCCAGATCTTTCAAGACGTATATGCTGGTGCCGTGGGCTATATTCGTGTACTCCTAGCAGTCCCCACGTGACGAGCCTTATGTCCAATGCTCACTGTTACATCATTTATGTTATTTTATAGACTTACGTGTGAATACCTTTCCTAGTAAAAGATCAACTTGCAATAAATACTATTTCGTCGGCATCTTTGAACTCTCAGCTGTAATGGATTCGAAGGCGTTGGGATACTGCTGCGACCCAAATATTACTTGGAACTTCGGTAGAAATAGGCCGACCACTATACCAATATGCCTACTCTGCGCTCGTCCTATACTTGAGTTCCGGGCTAATGGGTCTAGACCGACACGGCGCGAAATGGATGATGAGCAAGAGCGGTGGAAGACATATGATGATAGAGCGAAGAAATATGTGCTCGTCCCGTCGACTGAGGTCGAAAAGACAATTTTCCATAAGAATCCCCGGATATGGAGCGCCCTCTATCGCGGAAGTGGGTATCTCCCAGAGAAACCCGACATGTCCATTTGGCTGAATCGGCCTAGTTGTGGTGGAACCGAATCAACGGCATTGCCTCACCGGTATCACAGTATTCGATGGAGAGTGGGGAGCTCAAAAGTTCCCGCGCAGCCGGCACCAAGCACGAATAGGGAGTCGATTGGATAGTATCTTCATGCCCAAGTATGCTGCGGATTTGCTAGAAGAGCTTGGTTCGGCACAAGTTATCAGTCCAGAAGGACCTGACCTCTACTGGCCACCAACAGAACGGCCTGGATATCTGGTCCATGCCCACTGTTGGGCGCTACTCGGCCATGTGATCGAAGGGGGCATTGTGCGTATTGAGTTAAACCTCGACACCTTTGTCCAGGCAGCGTGCCACTTTTGGAAAAAGGATAGCTCACGAGTCAGTGACTATGAAGACCGTATCATCAATGAAATTTCACCAGATTCAGATGAACTTTCATTCGATTCAGTTGAATCACCAGAATCAGATGGAATTCCCCCAGTTTTAGATGAAATTCCACCAGATTCAGATGAAATTCCACCAGATTCAGATTCTCCCAGCACACCTTATTCGGACGGAATTTCACCAGATTCATATTCTACCAGCCCATCTTCGCGTAAGAAGGAAGAGAGATTCTTTCGTACTATGCGCGCAAGGGACCTGAATCCACTGTTTGTGCCGAAGCTCGAAGAGGCTATGCAGCGAAATCGGATAAGGGGAAAAGTACATCCACACGTCGGATTCGGTAATTTTCCACTGCATCTGGCGATCCTGATAATCGACGCAGTGATCCCAGCTAAGTACACCGCGATCGATGTCCAAAATGCTCGCAATTTACTCGAGGCCTTTCGGTGGACTTTACCGGATGGCTACTGGCAAAAGCGATGCGATTCCAGCCTGCTTTTCGAGCTCACGAATTTGAAGAAAACAAAGTCACAGATGGATTGGCAGGCCCTTGGGCTGGATGTCCTGAGCCGCCTTCTTATCGAAGACAAATCTACTAATGGCCTGATGAATCGCGAGCGCGTCCTTCTGGTCATGAACCATATTAAGAAGAGATTCATCAAATTACTGTAACTGTTTTAGATGATTGTCTGGATCTCACTCCTTGCTAGTTAGTTAGATAGTTGTTTAGTAGCTTGCTTCCACCTTTCCTAATGCAACTCTCCCTATATGATTACTAACACCTGTGGACTAAACTCTTTGTTAACATTCAGGAGATAAATACTATGTAGCGAGCGCTTCTCGCTCTTTTATAATACATATATACTCATTTTACCTTTTGCTCCAAGTCATCTTCAGTACTTGTTCGACAACTTGTCTCCATTTGTCCGTGCTAGTCTATACTAGTTATTTATCTTAATTCTGGATGTGTTTCACTTGTATACATATGTCCTACATAGTAACTACTTCCTTTTTTTTTGTATACTTATATGCCTATCTGTCAGTAGAAGTCTCCAACATTGAATCCAATTAGCTATTACAAAGTCATTTATATCCTACTTGACTAAAATTATAGAGGGCGTAGTAAGACAGGGATCTGGGCCCGGGTTGGGGTTGCACGGTCAAGGCCAGTCCGAACACATAAAATTCCAGGGGAATTGAATTAAAAAGAGAGAGAATAAAGAGACATTAATCTCTTAATATCTTCAGTTTTTTTTAAAAAAAACCCATCTATATAATCTATTATTCTGTGTATAATCTCGCCCCCGTGTGAGCCCCGAAACTTTTCATTTTCTCTCAAAACTCCACCGAGTTGGCTCTTTTCTCTTCTTCTCTCCCCCCCCCCCCCTTTCCCTTCTCTCCTCCCCCGGGCTTTCTCTTATATTCTTACCACTCTTTTCTCCGGTCTTGTCTTTGTCTTCTGCTTTTCCCGCAGAGACATTTTTCCCCCTTCTTCCCCCCGGGATTCCCTTGCCGCTCCGTTGGGGACAAGTCAGCGATGGCGGCCGTTTCAGCACCAACCCCCAAGCTGGATCGATACATCGTCATCCACGTTGCAACCACCTGTGACGAGCATGGCGTATATGTCACTAAGGACTCGGCTGAGGTCATTGAGTTAGGATGGATCTTGTTGGACACCAAGACCTGCGAGGAAGTCCGTTCCCCCCATCTTCTCTACCCAACATTTACTCCCGAGGCCAACCCAAAAGCTGACACCTTTTTCTTCCCAATTGTTTAGCTGCACCGTGAAAGTGTTCTAGTCAAACCGGTCAATACTCCAATCACCCCGCTTTGCAGTAAGCTCGCCTTGAAAACAGCCTTATATCCGGGTTTGCTCAGAAATTTGTGGCTGACAATTATCTGAAGCGAGCTTAACCACTTTGACATGGGAACACGTTCGCTCCGCAGGTACTTTCCGGGATGCCATCTCTCGATTCGACGCCTTCGCCCAGGAACACCTCACCAGCAAACATCTCGAGTTTGCTTTTGTGACGTTGGACTCATGGGATCTGCGGGTGCAGCTGCCCCGCGAGGCCCGCGACAAGGCCGTCGTGCTGCCCGCATACCTCCAGCATTCCCGCACTTTCGACCTGCGAACCGAATATCAACGCTGGCAGACCCATCACCCCGAGTCGCTGCCTTTCGGTCCCAGCTCGCTCTCCAACATCTGCGCTGCCCTTGAGGTTGAGCCCGTCCAGTCGTCCGCCCCGATTAAGCACAACCTTCCCTTCCACTTGCAAGCTTTGGCCCCCGCTTCACCCCGCCGTGCCATGGAGGAATCTGTTACTCTTGCTCGTGTGCTCCGTGGTTTGATCCGCAAGTCGCAGCCGCCCCAGGACCACCCTGAGATCCTCACTCGTCCTATGGATGCTCATGCCGACGTTCGGGCCTTTTTGGCGGAACGGAGCAAGGTCCTGCACCTCAGTGGCCTGCCCCACGATACCACTCAGTCTGAGTTGGAGAGCTGGTTCACCCAGTTCGGTGGTCGTCCCATCGCCTTCTGGACTCTGCGGACCCCAGACCAACACAAGCCCACTGGCACTGGCTTTGCCGTCTTCTCTTCCCACGAAGAGGTGAGTTTTCGTGATTTTATTTTGGATGTTCTATGATACCAAACTCCCCATATTTTATCCTTTATGCTTTACCTGCTAACTGTCTACTAGGCTGCTGAAAGCTTGTGCATGAACGGCCGTGCGCTCAACGAAAAGGCGATTGAGGTCTCTCCCTCTTCCAGCCGGGTTCTGGACCGGGCCGCCGAGATCCTCACTCCTTTCCCGCCCTCCAAGAACCGCCCCCGTCCTGGTGACTGGACTTGCCCGTCTTGCGGCTTCTCTAACTTCCAGCGCCGCACAGCATGCTTCCGCTGCTCGTTCCCCGCTATGGCCGCCGCTCCTGACCCAATGAACTACGGAAACTACGGTTACGGCCCGCCATCCATGATGCCTCCTCACATGGGCCACGGTGGTCACGGTATGGGTGGCGGTCACTCGCGTGGTATGGGTGGCAATGGTGGTGTTGTCCCCTTCCGTGCTGGTGACTGGAAGTGTGGTTCTGAGGGTTGTGGTTACCACAACTTTGCGAAGAACATCAACTGTCTACGCTGTGGTGCCCCTCGCTCGGGTGCTGCCGTCGTGGCAGATTCGGCATTCCCGTCCCCGATGGATCCGCCGTCGCAATTCAATATGGGACCCAACTCTATGGCTAGCACCCCTGCCCCAGCTCCGTTCGCTTCCACCGCCGGCGGTTTCGCCGGTTTCGGCCAGCAGTTCGGTGGCCCACCCAACAACTACGCTCTGCCCTCTGGTGGTCTGGGTAACAACACCCCCGGTGCGTACCCTCCCATGGGACAGATGAACTCGGGCTACGGCTCTTCTAGCACCTCGCACTCGGCCACTTCCTTCGCCAACCCTGCCACCCAGGCTGCTTTCACCGGTGCGGACCACGGTGTGCCCTCGACCAGTGCTTCTAACGGTGCCTTCTACGGTACCGATGGTGCCAGTGACCCCTTCGCCTTCTTGTCGAGTGGCCTCGGTGGTCTGACGGTGTCTGATGACCCCCACTCTCGTCGCAATGGCTCCGGTGCCAACAAGTCGCCCGCTTAAATATGGGTATAGTTGTACCTACTTCACGCCCCACTCACGAACTGGGCGCTTACACTTATGTTGTCCATATTGCAACCCTGCATTGTGGCGGGTTTCATGCGTTGGTTGATATTCGTTGATACGCATTTGTATAAGGGATTCTGCGGTTTTGGTGCATCGGGTTGGAAGGAGCAGGCGGGTTAGCGTTGTCGAAGATTTCGGATTTCTTTTTCTCGCCTTCGCCGCCCTGTGCTTTTGTGATGCTTTATTTTTCTTTTGGTATTTGGTTTTGTTTTTCTGGTGGGAGCTGTTTTCCCCCTGTGATTTCCATCTTGCGCTATATGGTTGTTTTTATTTGAGGGAATAAGCCCCTAGGGGTGGTGCATGTATTTTTTTTTGAATGTTTCGGCCCTCTATGGTTTCTCAGGCACACACACACACGTTGGGTTTGCCCTTTGGCATTGCATTTTAGATATTTTGTGCTCCCTTTCTGCACTCTTTGGTCATGGGAAGCGTCGGAGAATTCACGGTCTTGATCTGGAGGATATACTGGGACTCCATTTGGGGTGTTGGGGGATTTACTTTGAAGCTTGGGCATCGAATCGAGGATCTCTTCGGGGTCGAAGCACTGTGAATGCAACAAAAAAAACAATATTGTGTCTATATTCTTCATATGTATTCTCGTTAGGTGCTTTGGCTAAAATTCTTTCTGTTTTTATATATATATCTCCATGTTTACATAGTATCAGCTTAGAGGTCTCAATATTTGACTTGTTTTGAATGAATTTAAGACTGATCTGAGTCTTTCTCTTTCAAGGAAATACCATTCAAAATAATGATTCACTTTCATCAGAAGCGCTCTTGGGAAAATAGGTCAACTACTAGGTACATGAAATTACTATGGTACATCCATATTTAACGGAAGTACCGAGAGGGTTGCGCTGGAGGCAGCCATAGGCTTTCGCGTCCACCGCCCGGAACCCGTCATTGCTCCAACCCAATTGACCTGAGCTACTTGACAACTCGTCTACACCCTTCTACCTCATTGCTTCCTTCGAACTTGTTATCTAAAGAAATCTTTAATCATCACTTATTCAGTTGTCCTTGATTCACAATGTCCGGATACGACCGAGCTCTTTCAGGTAAGCTAGCTCCCCACGTCCAGCTCCCTTTGCTCCTGATCAGGACGAAGCTGTATCATGCTAACTTATCGCAGTATTCAGGTATGAGGTCTTCAAGCTACACTTCAGCTCTATAGTTCGTTTTCTAACCCTCCCCCAAGTCCCGATGGACATGTCTTCCAGGTTGAATATGCCATGGAGGCTGTGAAGCGAGGTAAGACCGCCGTTATTTGCTTCTCTAGCAGCTTTTTCTGCTTCTGCTGTCGCTCCTATTTTATTTATCCAAAGACACAATTCTCTGATGACAGGTGATTCTAGGAACTTGCGCTGTTGGTGTCAAAGGCAAGGACATCGTCGTCCTTGGTTGCGAAAAGCGTTCCGCCCTCAAGCTCCAAGATACCCGCATTACTCCCTCCAAGATCGCCCTGGTCGATGACCATATCTGTCTCGCCTTTGCTGGACTGAACGCCGATGCCCGCATCCTTATCGACAAGGCCCGCCTAGAGGCTCAATCCCACCGCCTGACCGTCGAGGACCCCTCTAGCATCGAGTATATCACGAAATATATTGCTGGTGTTCAGCAGAGATACACACAGAGTGGTGGTGTGCGCCCATTTGGTATCAGTACGCTGGTAGTTGGATTTGACAAGAATGACTCCACCCCGCGACTGTACCAGACCGAGCCGTCTGGAATCTACTCTGCCTGGTAGGTGTTTTTCGAGCTTATGTTTTCATATTGAGTCCATACTAATCTCTTTTCTCTCGTTCTAGGAAAGCCAACGCTATCGGTCGTTCCAGCAAGACCGTCCGCGAATTCCTTGAGCGCAACCACCAGGACGACATGGACCGCGAGCAGACAATTCAGCTGACGATCAAGTCTCTGCTTGAGGTTGTGCAGACGGGTGCTAAGAACATCGAGGTCGCCATCATGGCGCCCGGTAAGACTCTGGAGATGCTGCCAGATGACCAGATTGAGGCGTACGTGAAGAACATCGAGACTGAGAAGCAGGAGGAAGCGGCCAAGAAGAAGACCCGGGCAGGGACCACCACGGCGGCTATCCTCACCCGGCCGGGTGGCGGTGAGTCGACCGATTAAGAGCTAGACCTCGAAGGATTCAGAGCCTGAGATGGGACTGAATCTTTGATTTGTTTCAATTTACAGTAGCGTTGGGTCTTTTCCTTGACGAGAATCCAAAATCATGAAGTTCAAAACATATCTCCCAGTTTCTTTCGTATTTTATATTGTACACCAATGCAGAAAGGGGTATTGATGCCAAGGGAATTTCCATCTGCCTTGAACTATTGCAAGAAACAGTAACCATCAAATCGTCAACATCATGAAATTGCGCCGTCCCCAATTGTATTTTCCCTCCCAAACTGCACAGCTTAGCCCATGCGGTCTGACACATCCCTAATGTTGAAGAGGGAGCGCTCCTTATCGCGCGCAACACGCTCGTCCTTGAGCATACTTGATATGGTCAGCATCCTGCCAATTAGAAGATCTTGCTCGACATACCGGTTGTCCATACGAGCATCCTCACCCTCCACGTGTAGTCGTGCCTCGGGCTCGCGTGCCTCAATGACAAAGTGATTATCACAGTGAGGGCAGTACTCGTCACTGAAAGTAAAATTAGCCCGCTGCCCCTTGACATTTGAACAGTGTCTTGCATACGTCTCATCGAACTCAGCAGCGTCTTTGCGGAAACACTTCTTGCATTTCTTGCATGCAAAGATCTACCCCATGGAATGTCAGTCTGCTAGACTTGTGCTAACCGACAAATAGGGGCGTACCATCTCGGCGCTCTTCTGGAGAGCGTGCGACTCGCTCTCTTGGTGGCATTCGGCGCAGTCAAACCATTTTCGGCCTAGATCTCTTCGGTCAATCCCCTGTGATCAAATGCGAGGTCGATTCGAGCGTACAGCAGTGCGAGCGAATGGCCACTTGGGCGTTCAAAATGTGTTTACTGCGAAGCGGGGAGATTGTTTAGCTATCAGAATTTTGGACCAAGGGGATTGAGGGAATCCCATGCACATCCAGAATATCAGAAGCAGACTTACCACATGGCTATGGAATGCGAAAGGAAGGTGACGACCAAGTGCGAGATGTTGATGCTCGAGTCCGAAGAAATGCAGACACAAAGTGATCGCCAACTCTCCCGTGATTCCCTCCACTTTCCTCCCCGCCACTCCATTTCATCGACTTTCGCCTTTCAACCCCCTTTTAACCCCTGGATATCCCTCGGAATTCCTCAAACTCTTGACGGCCAAGCTTCGTCTTCTGTTACTGGGCCTTTGCGCCGCTTACGTCGTCTCCTCCATCCCAAACGCCGAGCCCCACGATATCCCTGTACCCTCAACTCCGTACCCACGAACACCTACTCTGCCGCCGCGCTACTATTCGACCTTCAGGAGATATCTCCAAGTCTATGATTCATTCCTTCAGCTGGTCTCGGCGACGGATCTGTGATAATGGCCATGGCGGGCACAGGGAAACAGCCGGACAACAATGACGACGCTCCTCCCACTGTATGCATACATAAATTGTTTTGTGGTACACAAAAAACTAACATGAACGCAGCCACAAAGACCGGTGTCCTCTTTGCTGTCTCACTTTGAGAATCTTTCTCACCGCAGAGCTCCCTCTGCTGTAGCTGCTAGCCCGCGCACTTCCACAACCCATTTACTGGCAACTCCGGAGCCTAACGATGACCCCCGATCTTCCACTCGTGCTTCGCTCGATTTACCTCGGCCACATTCCCCATGGACCCCGGCCGAGGAGAGACCAAACCCGCTTCAGCAGTTGAACGGGGATAACTCCCGGGATCGAGGGTTCTCCGGCAGACGATATGGCCGGCCCATCTCAATGAACTTCCACCGCTCATCGCCACAGTTACCTCCAACTTTGACAGTACAGTCACCCCAATCACCGCCGCGAACACAAAGTCGAGATGAAGTTTGGACTCCACAAGGCGACAGCCGCAAGACTCGGAGTCCAGGCCATCGCTCGAGAGAATCGACGTCTGTCTCGCCGGCACCACCCCGCCCGCTCTCCCCAATACCGAAGTTCGGACCGTCCGTTAATTCAGGGGATACAATCCCTCGGCTCTCGCCTGGACCCCTCCGCGTTAACCTCACTGGGAGCCCGACGGACCGGAAGTTAAAAAGTGCTTCGTTGCCACCCCCAGCTAACCGCGCATCAAAGCCCAAGATCCCAGCGAAACCGGCTATATTTTCTCACCCTGATACAGCCTCGTTGACTCCTCGACAAGAGCGACCATTACCGGATCGAAGCACTTCACCTTTCAGCACCCCTCCTGGTAGCCCAGAGAAGGCTATGCCTAAGCCGCAGTCTACTGGGAAGAGCAATGCTAGGCCAGCACCGGCTCGGCCAGTGACGGAGCCACCGACTCGGCGTTCATTTGATGAGCGATCACCTGTTCCGTCCGAGATCGCCAGACACGACACTAGAGAGATGGGATTTTCAAGGAATCCCCGTCCTGGTCCAGAGCCTTCACGGGCCACCAAGCCTTTGATGGTGCAGATTCCATCTGCCCCTGTAGACGGTCAGATGTCTGCCGCTACTGCTACCCCTCTTTCGGCGCAGAGATTCCGAGCTAGTGATGTTCCCTACGACCGCCCAGGGCTTCCTCCTCGACCTTCTGGGGCTCCTCGCCGAACTGGAATCTCCCCCGCACGAGAGTCTTCCAGACATATAAACAACTCTGTGCAGCAGACCCCAATTGCCAGATCAGCACCTTCTTTCCCGCGTGCCAACGAATCGTCAGCCCCGAAACCAATCCAGCGGCAACCCTCTCTACCCCAAGAAGCCCACCTGTCTTCTTCTCTTCCTGAGCGACGTGTGGTGCGTACAGACACGGAGGAAGACGAACAAGCCGAAGAGCCCGCTATTTCACGGACCGACTATCCTGATGCCTCAAAAGCTAACCGTCGACCTCCACGCTTTAGAACTGGACCGAGTGATATCTTGACAAAATATGACACCCGGTTGCTGGCTGTGTGCGGCAAGTATGTGTGTACCACTGGATATCTGACTCGGGTGTGGGATCTTACGACTGGTGACCAAGTGATGAGTCTCAGCCATGGCGAGACCGTAAAAAGTTTATCTCTTGCTTTCAAGCCAGGGAAAGGTCTTGAGGACGAGGGTCAGCGTATTTGGCTTGGTACTAGCGCTGGAGATCTGCACGAAGTCGATATCCCGAGCCAATCTATCGTGGCCACCCGCGCATACCCCTCTCGTCGAGAAGTCATTCAAATCTTGCGACATAAGAAGGAAATGTGGACGTTTGATGACGAAGGTCGACTGCTTGTTTGGTTGCCAGACGAGACCGGCACACCCAACTTGCAATATAGCTACCACAGCCCCTCTGAGCGTGTAGCCCGAGGCCACACATTCTCCATGGTAGTTGATGACAAGCTATGGCTGGCAGCAGGGAAAGACGTCCATGTATATCGCCCTAACGCGCGGGATGATCTCCCATTCAAGGTCTTCAAACGACCTCTCGGTCTTCAGCACTCAGGCGATGTGACTTCCGGATCCTATACCACGCGAGAGGGAGGCCGGGTATATCTAGGACACGCAGATGGCAAGGTTACTGTGTATTCCTCAACCGACTTTTCTTGCTTGGCGGTGGTCAATGTCAGTGTGTATAAAATCAACTGCCTTGCATTTGTCGGAGACTATCTTTGGGCTGCGTATAAGACCGGTATGATCTACGTCTACGATGTGTCTACCAACCCTTGGACCGTGAAGAAAGACTGGCGTGCCCACGATAGTCCCGTATCTAGCTTTGTCTTGGACATGAGCAGCGTATGGACAATGAACCGTCTTCAAGTGACCTCACTCGGCACTGATAATTGCATTCGCCTCTGGGATGGAATGCTCGAGGACGATTGGTTGGGTAAGTGAAACGTTGTTTTCATCCCATGATGGCTTTCACTAATATAAATAATAGATGCGCGGATGCACACCAGGGACGTGGAGTTCTGCAATTTCCGAGAAATCAAGGCTGCTGTCGTGACTTGGAATGCGGGAGCTTCTACCCCCGGTAGTGTGCGAACGTCGGATTTCATCCGAAACGCAGTCACCCCCGAAGACCCGCCCGAGATCGTGATCTTTGGGTTCCAGGAATTAGTTGATCTTGAGAATAAGAAGATCACAGCTAGTAAGTCATGTCGTTTCTTTCTATGTGAATGTTCGCTGACATCCCCACAGAGAGCTTGCTGCTTGGTAGTAAAAAGAAAGAGAACGGTGAGAAGGAACACATGAGTCGTCAGTATCGAGTGTGGATCGATCATCTTACTCGCACTCTTCACGAATGTATGCCTCTCGAAGAATCCTATGTTCTTTTGCATACTGCGAACATGGTGGGATTGTTTACTTGTGTTTTCGTCAAACACAAGGAACGCCATAATATCAAAAACGTCAGTGCTTCGGAGATTAAGCGCGGAATGGGCGGTTTACATGGAAACAAGGTTTGTGATATCATTGTTCTTTACTGTGGCTGTCATCTAATTGTATTAGGGTGCCCTTGTACTCCGCTTCGTCTTGGACGACACCTCGATGTGCTTTGTGAACTGCCATTTGGCTGCGGGCCAAACCCAAACCGCACACCGAAACAACGATATTGCTGCCATCTTAGAAGCTGAGTCCCTGCCAACGGAAAATAGCATGACCTTGCGATCCGATCAGTTCGCCAGTGGTGGTGATGGCTCAATGATCATGGACCATGAGGTGTGCATTCTGAACGGAGATCTGAACTACCGAATTGACGCAATTCCTCGCAATGTGATCATCGACGCAGTTCGCCAGAATAACCTACCGAAACTTCTGGATCGAGACCAGCTACTTGCTTCCCGGCGAAAGAACCCCGGTTTCCGCCTGCGCTCCTTTACTGAGTCACCCATTACCTTCGCCCCGACCTACAAGTACGACGTCGGCACGGACGAGTATGACTCGAGTGACAAGAAACGCTCCCCTGCCTGGTGCGACCGCATCCTTTATCGTGGCCTGGGCCGCGTCAAGCAGCTCGATTATCGACGACACGAGGTCCGGGCCTCCGACCATCGGCCTGTCAGTGCGGCGTTTAAAATCCGCGTCAAGACAGTTCTAAATCCAGAACGAAACTCGACGTGGGAGTCGTGTAACAAGGAATTCCAGGATGAGAAGCGCCGCTTGGCTTCTGAGACTAGCATTGAGTATCTCATTACTGTCCTGGGCACCGATCCTCGCCAGGCCCGTGCCTTGATCTTGGGAAAGCAATAGCTTCCTCTCTTCTAGAAGTGAATACTTCTTTTTAATATGCATTTGGGTGGAAGCATGGTGTATATTGTACGACTAATGATTTTACGATAGATATGTATCATGATGGTTAGAGCTAAAAAAGTGTCCTTGAGTATTCTTTTGCCAGATTTGAATTAGTATCTGGCATTCAAACATCCTCAATTCCATAATCCTTCAAATCCCCCATTCCCGGCAAGGCATAGACAGCACTATGTGCCCCTCCAAAGTATTTGAGATGTCGTTCCCCCCGAAACTCCATCCCGATCTTCTCCAAGACTCTTCGACTGCGCATGTTATTATGATCACAGAACCCAAATACCTCATTCACACCGAGTTCTCTCTTCGCATAGGCAATCAGCCCGATCGCTGCTTCAGTGGCATATCCCTTCCCATTCTCTTCTGGTAGAGTAGTGTATCCTACATCAGGCGCTGTGTATGCGTTCTCACCAGTGCCTTTCATCAGGGTGACTATTCCAATCGGTTTGCTCTCGGCCAATGTGGCCCCCGGGTATGGTTTCAAAGACACAAGCATTTGTCCATATCCATTTTTCTTGTAGTTGGGTTGGACTTTGATAGTGATGAACTCGCCGGCCTTCTCTGGTGTATCAATGCCGAGGTTTCCCTCTGTCGCGATGAATTCATCTGTATTCCAGAGGTGGTGAAGAAATGTGCTGTGCGAATGGTTTCCTGGCTCAAAGTAGGAAATGTGGAGTCGTTCAGTTGGGATGCTAAAATTGGTTGAAATGGAGGTTGGCATAGTGGAGGTAGTGGAGGTAGTGGAGGTAGTGGAGGTAGTGGACATAGTGGACATAGTGAAGGAGAATGTACATATGGTGAGATAAGAAGTAAAAGTCTGAAATTTAATCTATGGAGGGGTATTTATACCCCTGCAACGACCTGCTCCACTAGCAAATGATGAGATAGGGCAAAGTACAGAGAATATAGACAGCACACTGATAAGGGAAATAAGAAAATAGACGAATATTAGTAAGTAAATTAGTCTGAAGCCTGAGCGTTTTAGGTCCTTTGGTGATAGCTGAAATGCTAGATCATATTTGTACATGAGCGACCTGTTTTATTCCCTAGCTAAACACATCCCAAATAGTATCTCCAGGTCTTGTCTGAGGCATTACATTGATTGCCTCTTGTTCTGTCTGGCGCACTAATTCCCACAACAAGCTCTGATCCCTGCAACGGTGCTCAACCCCTTCACCATTGATATCATCACGAAGTATGTCACCATTCTTATCGAGAATACTTTTCGGTCTTTCGAGTGTTCCGTCCGCTGAACAAAGGAGGGATTGTGCAATATATGATAGACAATGGCCTGCATGTGCCGCATCTGCATGTGAACTGTGTTCACTGTGTTCACTGTGGCTATTGTTGTGATTGGACTTGGTCTTCACAATCTCTCGTAGTAAACCAAGGCAATGTAATGAGTGAAACATGCTAACGCCCCATCCTGTTCGGTATGTGTCGTTATGACGGACCCAAAGGAACCCGCCATCGGTTGTTGTTGTCAGTTGTTGCCAGGCAGCATCTCCCGTGGTAGAAAGATCTTCCAACTCTTTGGATTTGTGGAATTGGTTTAGGTTGAGACTTGGGGCAGTGCTTGATTGGAAAGACGGTATGATAGAGGTAAGAGGAAGGTAAGGCCAGGAGAAAAGTAAGCCGAGGGAGACTATTGCTAGCACTGCAATAATGCTTAATGTTGTTGAAAGAAATGTTGAAGTCTTCACCATGATGCTAGATAGTGCTAGATAGGATACTAACTTTGTTTTTGAAAGTTCCATGTAAGAAATATACTCCGCTCAAGTCTTGGGATAAATACCGGAAAGTCCAATGTCAGATTATTCTCTGTACTAGGCTAGAAATTTGCAAAACTGTGTATAGTACTGAAACAAAAAGCCGTTTATGTTCGTATACTCCAGTTTTTGTCGATTGAGCCCCCCTCCCTCCCATGAATGCGGGGGCATGATTATCATTACTCAGAATAGGTTATGCACATAAGATAACCACGTATACAACAAGTACGTAGCAAAATATTGAGGAGCTGAACATGTGGAATTGACCAATCCACGTGATGCCCAGGCCCGAGGCTGAGAGGCTAACGGCGCCCGGACCCGAACCTTGGAAAGTGGGGAAAGTGGAGATGAGGTTGCCTTAACCATGGATCGACCTAGAGCCTATGTTATAGGTGAGCATCTATATCTTCCTTCTATACGTATTTTTTTAACTACATCTTCTTATTGGCAGAGATTATAGATTACTTACTTCAATGCCCCTCATTCAGTTTTAGCATGCTTTTTAGCCGGACAAGAGTCACACGACACATGGCAATTCAGCTTTTTGGATCTCAAAAATATCTGCTCCTTGCGCCCAAATGCCTTCCGAGTTGCGGTCTTACGAAAGCCCTACAGAATACTCCGCACTTGATTTCAATTCAGCATTGTGCGGGCATCCAAGCATTAGGCAAATGCATCTACCCGCATTGGGTTTCGATTTCCAAGTTCCCACCGCTCTTTCTCTTGAAGGAGGAACCGGTCGAAACCCTCCTTTCAGCTGCTCAGCTTTGGACCCTACTACCCTCTCTATGTACTCGGAGTATCTGATTACCACGAAGTAATTCCTACGAATTGCAAGACTATCAGCTCATGCATGGAATGTTGGCACTAGTAATAATGTATTGACTATCTACCCTAATGATCTGTTCCAACCAGAAATGCAGTCTATGTCAGATACAAGGCATTATGGAGGGGAATCCATCTCAAAAACTCCAGACGGCTTCATAGGCATCAGCGGGGTATTCTCGGGAAGCTGATGCTGCTCTGTCCATTCCAACACTTGCTCATAGTCTTTGCAAACATGTTCAGTATTGAAATTGGGCCATGGCTTCTTATGACCTTTGATCCACTACCCAGTCGAGTTAGTCTCGCAATTCACGAAATAACCATAACTCAAACTTACGTGAGAGGTGACAACGCCAACATCCACATGACACATGATGAATTGACGAAGGATTTCCACGCAGTGATCTAAATAGCTTAACATAGGTAGATTGGAGGTTTTGCATGAGTACTCACCTAAATGCATTTCAAACATTTCACGGTTCTTCGTAAAATCCGGATCAAAGGCGTCATAATAGTCAAACTTGAAACGTGTTGACTTGCGAAGAAGGTTCTAACGCTAGTTAGCACGCTCAACACATTTAGAGGATTCAACGGCCATACCAAACAATGGAAATGATGCGTTGATTGCGGGACTAAGAAGTACTGCCCGCCATGCTCTGGTGCATTTTGAACTGCTGTCTCGGCATCGCCGTCGAGGCGTAGGAATTCATCTCGTGTTAGTGGTATATCAAGTGGCCGTACTGTTCGCTGTTGTTAATTGTGATACTCCATCATCTGAGTGTTTACTGCATACTTATCGATATCCGATTCCATGCTGCATCAACTTCGGGACTTGGAGGTCCGCGGTAAGGCGACGGCCAGTCAAGAGAGCCATTGACACGGATTACTTGAGTGTCCATGTTGAATCCCTCCATAAGTGGGGCTATAATTTTAGTCAACAGATTGAACAGAAAGAATGGGAAAGAAGATTGTCTAACAGTAAGATGATAGTTGTCTCTGACAATCCAGGTTGCTGTGCTTCTCGAACCGTTGGTTAGCCACAAGGGCGACAGCGAAAAGGACGGCCAGCGCCCATCCTAGGTAGGGCGAAACAACACCCAGAACGGATCCCGAGGTAGAGTTATAATGGCGACCAAGCATTCGTGGAGGGTGTAAGTCTTGTTCTTCATCTTCCTCTATATCAACCTTATGGTATCCCCAAAGCTTTTGGTGAACTGTTGAATAAAGGGAAGACATGTTGAATATTTTGGTGAGAAGAGAGGGACGTAGAAGGGAAAAGTATAAAGGCTAGAAAGGACCCTGCAGCCAAGTATTGTAAGCTACATAATAGTTATACTGGGCTATAAGTACCTCTTAACTATAAGCAGGATAATATTGTTCTATACACTTCCCCCGCTGCATGTCGATCCCAAAATATTATAATTCTCAAATTACACACCGTCTTATTAAATTCGTAAGATTCTAGCATCGGGAATGTTGATCTTAAATTCCTGCTCTGCTACTAGATGCAAGTTGCCCCTTTAATTAATGTTGTTCTATTCTCAATTCAATATTTCAGGAAGTACGGCTGTCTTGGATAAAAATGAGTGTATTCAGTGAAAATAAATAGCCTAAAGTACCCAAAATAAAAAGCAAAAAATCTTTGTGTCTCTCCACCCAATAGACACCGTTCTTAGCTGCATCCCTCCCTCAAACTGGCACAGCCAGCTCCACTCGGAAGTTGAGATAATTCCTATAAGTAGTATACTATCTACTCGTCGAATCCGTAGCTGCCATGGACGTAAGCAGAGTTGGCGCTGGTCTCGTCACGCTTCTTTTCGTCAAAACCATAGCTACCGTGCACGTAGGCAGAGTTGGCGCTGGCGTCTTCACGCTTCTTCTTCTCATCAAAGCCGTAGCTGCCGTGCACGTAAGCAGAGTTGGCACTAGTCTCATCCCGCTTCTTCTCATCGAAGCCGTAGCTGCCGTGCACGTAAGCAGAGTTTGCACTAGACTCGTCCCGCTTCTTTTCATCAAAGCCGTAGCTACCGTGCACGTAGGCAGAGTTGGCACTGGCCTCGTCACGCTTCTTTTCATCAAAGCCGTAGCTGCCGTGCACGTAAGCAGAGTTTGCACTAGACTCGTCCCGCTTCTTTTCATCAAAGCCGTAGCTGCCATGAACGTAGGCAGAGTTGGCGCTGGCGTCTTCACGCTTCTTCTTCTCATCAAAGCCGTAGCTGCCGTGCACGTAGGCGGAGTTGGTGCCGGCATGGGCATCGCCATTCGCAGTCACTTCAACATTGTCAGCTCAATATACTATAGCCGAATTCGAGACTAAGGGAATATTACCTTCTTCGGAAGCAATAGGAGCTCCAGCCACAAGAGCGGGAACAGCAAATGCTGCGACAAAGAAGGTAGAGATTTTGAACAGCATTGTGTTGTTTGGATGTAGGTTCTGAAGGATATGGGATATCTCGAATAAGATAGAAGGGGAAATTTGAAGGTCAGACTGAAAAAGAACAGAATAAAGATAAATAGTTTGCCCTTTACGATTATATATGTCCAACCGATTTGATCCGCGCACCCGATCCTCTATTCGGAAGCTCCGACGACTATCAGAATCTGATATTTTGCCCAAGAATTTGGCGGGTTCGTATCCTAACGTCCTATCAAGGCTATGATAACTTCCTGTATGCAAAATACGCAAAACCGGGATATGAACTTGGGTACGAAAGTATTACAGCCGTTGTACCACCTATTGTTGTAGGAAGACGATGATGGGAGACTAAAGCCATGCGGGTGGTCGTAAAACACGGAGCCTTTCTCAGCCAGAAAGAGGGGAATGAGAATGCGATGTATTCGTGTCTCTCGGGCATGCATCGTTAACTGGCAATTCCTTCGTTTGACGTAAGCCTTCCGACGCCCCTACCCCCTACATGTTGATGTTGCAACATGCATATGGCGGTGGCGTAATTTTCAAGCTTTTAGGCTAGCTAGGAGCTCTTTACTCCGTATTCTGACCTCAGATCCTCGTCGCTTGCTTACCTTGCAGGTAGCGGTGGGATATCAGATCTTCGGGAATGCTAATCCTCTCCTTCGACCTAGAAATCTACACTGAATGGGTTATGATTCAGGTTATGTTATAAGTTTACCATATCTCGTCTCAGTAAATTGAAGATTTCAGGGTTCCTGGTGGTCCCTGGCGAGGTTCTATCCTGAGTTGTTGTCGTGTGGCTGAGAGAAATTAGGGTTTCCGGGGTGGTATTGCATATGCCAAGCAATTCCAACGCAAGTCTATATCTCACTTGATTTGCTTGAATCTATACGAAGGACCCTGCAGCTTATTACAGATAAGGTATAGTAGAATCTGTTTGCATTTGTAATGTCAAAATCAACGATTTTAAGGGTATCAGACTACTTCCCGCCTTGTTCACTGGGGCTATTGATTCAAACCTTTCGTGCCTTCAAACCAATTTCGGTCAATTATTCAATGGTAATCCATTAAGGGCAACTCGAAAAAAAAATGAAGTATGAAGCAGTTCCGGCCACCGATGAGGGTGAAGAGGGTAGGCCGTCTGACTATACCCCCCCAGAGGCTTGCCCCCGACACAGGTACTCAACAAAGCTATTGGCAACGATATCACTCTCTATCGTGTTACTTGTTCTGAGCAACATAGGATGGATCTGGGTCGCGCTTTCATGGCGCTCTAGCTCTAGCTCTAGCTCTACCCATACTGTGTCTACTTGTATGTTATTCTTCTCTCAACTTATTACTTCGACACACGCTTATGGATACCTAGTTCCGCACATTGACATGACCCATACCGCCTTTTATCAAGACACGCCTTTCAATGGTGAGGACGCGGAAAAATCTCACGCGGATGAGCTATGGAAGGGCCTCTTCCCGTGTAAGTCATATCACGCTACGTTGAAGAAGAGCTTATTAATGTATCCCACAACAGCGGGAAACGGGCAAGTGTCCATTTCTAAAACAGAGGCAAGCGCCAAAATGCTTCCGGACTCGATTCAAGATCCAGATGCTGGGGACAAAGTAATGTATGTCCTCGCGGGATATCATAATTTGCATTGTTTGGTAAGTCAATCCACCTAGGCTAAGAGCAATTCATAAATAATACTTGATAGACAATTCTGCGATCTGCATTCTTCCATTACCACGTTCATGGTAAGGAAATGTCACCGTGGCCTCATGTTGTTCACTGCTTGGATCAAATACGGCAAACACTTATGTGCAACTTTGACATGACCTTCGTCCCAATGACTGGACCAAAAGAGTTTAAAGATGGACAGGAGCATGTGTGCAAGGATTACTGGCAGGTTCATAACTGGACGTCGAGTTATCGGTCTGCATACGCACCAGGAGATGATGATCTTCATATTTGAGAAGTGAGATGCCTGGATATTTAGATCAATCGTGAAGTGTGATTAACCTTTGGGAATCTATACAAGCAATCAATTTTCTAGTCAAGGATTTACACGCACTTCGTATTTCAAATTGAATGGCTAGGTATGATGTACGGATTTCCACCCATCCACGCGCAATATATTAGGATATATTAAGATATGTTAAGATCGATGATATAAACCTCAATTCTTAGCTAATTTAGGATGAAGAAGCAAATTTGGATCATCGGGATTGAAAGACCGCTTTGAAGCCCATTCCTGAATATTCTCCCAATTCGCACATTCGTGAGTTCTCCGAAACAAAGGCTTGGGAGCCATATCATCATCGACCCAATGGAATGTCATCAAAGACAAATCTGCGTTGCACATCAGGTTTTGTCGGATACTATCGATGCAGTGGTCAACGTGCGTAGGAGTCCATGGCATAGTATCATTATAGTAGTCTTGGAAGATGAAGTGACGGACGTATTTCTTTTCGTTTCAGTCAGTGCTGATCAATTATCAAGACACTATCCTTATGCTTACCAGACAATGTAATTGATGAAAGACATCGAGAATGCCATAGTATCCGGAGCCATCTCCAAGGGGAACAGAATTCCCGCCTGATTTGGCCAACTCTTCGCCCGAGACACGAATATTCGCGTGGAACAGGAGTTCTTGCCATGCTTTATCAAGTTCCGACCGCGGAGGACCTTTATAAACATTGCCATGAAGGACAGAAGCATCGATTACTTTTTCCTCCTTGGTGAGAATGCCATTCGCGGGCGCTTTAGCCTTTTAGTAACATGCAGGAACAATAGAAGGGTTTGGTAAACTCACAATATACTTTTGGATGGCTTCGAGTACAGGAACTTGAGCATTCACGTTTGATAAAAGATGCTAGAGCTATTGAATACAAGGCGAAAAACAAGAGAAGTGCAGAGATAGTAGCCACTGGAATGTAGTCGAACTGAACCCTTCTTGGACGCACTTCAGGCTTTTCGGAGTGATGGTCATCGTCCATCAGAAGTTTCCTCTCGTCTCCGATCGAAATTCTAGCCTCGCTGTCCATGGTGTGTAGAAAGAAAAACCAGGGATTGCAATGAGTAGTAGAGACAATCCTCTACTACTCCGTACTAGTATCAATTATTTAAATTACGCAGATAGAATACCGAGAGCTGCAACGTCTGGCGGTCAGGGCGCATAAGCTGAGAATACGAAATGCAGTTACTGTTCGTATTTCAGTAATGTAGCAGATACACCCTGGTAATCTCAAATTCCTGTTCCTATGTTCTCATATGGAATGGATTGTATTTTTCAAATGTCCCAATGGTGAGTTCTGCTTCAACTCGCCTCCATATTCTCTTAAGATGCATCTCATCTTGAGCCTGGGGTTTCTCTACGTCTGTCTAGTACACTGCGAACTTCCATTCCGCTACAATGTACATATTGACTATAAAAGTGTCACCATATGTGAGGAGACACCTGGCGTGGAATCCTTTTCGGGCTATATTCATTTGCCTCCAGCCACGTTGAAGGAAGTCGGGCTAGACCAGTCCTACTCGATGAATATCCATTTCTGGTACTTCCAGAATCGCAAAAGAAAAGAAGATGCACCATTAACAGTTGTTTTAGGAGGTGGCCCAGGAGCCTCAACCTTGATGCAACTGTTTAGGGAGAACGGTCCGTGCAAGGTCAATGCGGATAGCAATACTACGCGTCTGAACAAGTGGTCGTGGAATTCAGAGTCTGATATGCTCTACCTCGATCAGTCTGTCCAGACTGGGTTTAGTTATGATCGTGTCGAGGAAGGGACGCAAAGCGCCTTTGGAAAAGTGTTTCTGGATGTGAATTCAGAGAGTGCTGAGAGCGAGCCAACCCCAGGCTCCCGCCGTGGCTTCTTCAGTAGCAACGACCCAAACCAAACTGTCAATAGCACACAAAGTGTGGCACAGAGCACATGGCTCTACCTGCAGATCTGGTTAAGAATGTTTGATCGACGACAATCTTCCAACCCGACGATCAATATCTGGTCGGCCTCATACGGGGGTCATTATACACCAACTCTGGTGAAATATGCGCTAGAGCAGAATGCACGACTCGAATCTGGAGCGCTGAGTTCAGATCAGTATCTGAAGATGCACATAGGGTCGGTGGGATTGACCAATGCCTGCGTCGATGTCCCTGTCCAATTACCACATTATGCGGAGATGGCACGAGCGAACACATACAACTTATCTCTTATTACCCAGGCGGATTATGACTCCGTGCAGCAGCACTTGACGAAACCACACGGTTGTCTGGAAAAGATTGCTACATGCAGAGCTGCAGCACCTGCCCAAGCAGACGACTTTGGACAGAATGAGACTGCGAATGCGATATGTCACGAAGCCAACTTCTACTGTGGAAAGCATATTGCGAATATGATATCCGCCAGTGGTAAAAGCGCGTTCGACATTGGGTACCCGGATAATGTTCTTCACACCCCCTTGATGGATACCTATTTTGGTTATCTGAATCAACGTCATATCCAGGAAGCTTTGCACGTCCCACTCAATTTCAGCGCAAACTCGCCAGTGGTTGCTCACGCCTTCTCGATGAGTGGCGACAACGTAAAAGGCGGAAGTCTGGAAGCGATAGGAAGTATCCTTGACAGCGGGATCAGTGTGACGTTAATGTATGGCGATCGCGACTTTGCTTGCAATTGTGAGTAGGATTTTACCGAAAGCACAAGACCACAATAATCGCAAGGCGTTTTCTAACCAAGGAAAATAGGGCTCGGCGGTAAAGCTCTTTCGCAGGCGATACACTGGTCCAAGGCACAAACATTTCGATCGGCAGGTATTCAAGACCTTACCGTTCCATTATATCCCAAAGCAGCGCAGTTGCAACAGGGTGGAGGTTTATCCTTCATTCGTGTTTATAGTGCTGGCCACAGTGTCGGCATGCAGCAGCCACAAATCGCACAAACGATTTACAATCGTGCGATTGCGGGTCTTGATATTGCCACTGGAAGCATTGCTACCGATGAAAGATATGCCACATTCCATGAATACCCGTCATGGGAGTGGGAGGATGAGCCTCCACCAGTCGCCGAAAGTAATCCATGTTATACTCTGAACTTGGGACTCTGCAGTGAAAGACAACAACATATGTTCCTTAATGGATCAGGCACGGTTCAAGATTTCTTTCTCATTGCTGATGAGCGAGGGGAGTGTATTACCAATCCTGTGCGGCCGTGTGTTGGAAACAAGGAGCTGTCGGCTTGGGATTTGATGGTCCAAATGGGGTCCAAAGGACAATCCAGTGGCTCCATTCTCTTAGTATCGGCAACGGCCTTAGGATATGTTGCTTGTGTGGGAATTGTGGGTGTTTTGTGTGTGAAGGGTCGTAAGCATAGGTATTCACGCGTCTAAAGGATAACTAGAAAGCTCGACACGCTAGTTATGGGTCATATGGCTGAAACATTTCCCTGGTGATCTGTAATACCCCGTGAGGTGGGAATCCGTCTGTATTGTCTTAAATTGGAAGGAAGAATTGATCAAGGGTACACATCACGTGGCTCTTTCTATCCTTCCTAAAGAAGCAGGTCGTTATATTGAACTTTGAAGATCACATTTCGCCCTTCGGGGCATATTGTGACACTGAAAATATACAGAGAAAATTAGCCTTGCCCCTGCACTTAAGGATGACGTGCTTAATCAAAGAGAAGTTACCCATTTTCTTTTTTCCTTATAGATCTATTTTTTGAGGGTATACAGAAGTGGGTCCATTTATAACGGTTTAATTGGCTATTGCGCTTTTGGGACTCCACGTGATAATATCCACTCGTGGAGGTCACTGATTCGAAATTGACCAATAGGAAAACATTATTATTTTCCGCACCATGCGATATTGAACACTCTTAGTAATTCGACTATCTTTATTTTTTTCAGATATTCAGGAAATAATCAGGAATCCTATCAGTCAAAAAAACATACAGTCAGAGCTAACAATTTTCCTTTCATGTATGCGCCCTTTCCTAGTGCCTTGCATAGCTCCACGATCCGAGCGGTCGGGCTATCAGGGAGTGGATGTGACAGTATGCAAGAATCGGAGGATTGTCCACTGGATAAACCCCGGTTAAATTAACCTGGCTCTATGTATGTACAATATAATCCATGCTACTATAGATTCAGTGCGAATGAAACCCTATCATGATCGACATTGTATGGTGACATTGACTATTCCCCGCACGAAGGGGTATAAAGATCGACAGATTCATTGCATTTTGTTGTTAATTAGTAGAGAGAAGCAAAACATAGTTTGAAACAATGCTGGTACCATTGACTCTCGCTGTCGCATTGCCTTTGCTACCAGCAGCAAATGCCCTGGTTAGGAAAAATGATGTCGTATGTTCTCCTCTTGATTTCTATGGCCGAATAAATCACAGAGATACTGATTCAAAACAGGGAAGATTGCCTGCCTTAGGATGGAATTCCTGGAATGCATTCGGATGTGATATCGATTCTAAGAAGGTCGTTACCGCGGCCAATGAGGTTGTCAATCTTGGATTGAAGGATCTGGGTTATGAATATGTAAACAGTATGAACTGATTCTTCACGAGAAAATTAGTCAGGCCACTGACCTTTTCTAGTCGATGACTGCTGGAGCATCAAGAACAAACGTGACGAGAGCACAAATCGCATGATTCCAGATCCATCTAAGTTCCCAGATGGTATTTCTGGTATTGCAAAACAAGTTCATGACTTGGGACTGAAAATTGGAATTTACAGCAGTCAGTATACCCTGCTCTTGTTTATTCTGATTGAAATATCTAATATATGCTAGGTGCTGGCGAGACTACCTGTGCTGGTTATCCTGCCAGTCTGGGATACGAGAAAGTCGATGCGCAGTCTTTTGCTGAATGGGGTATCGACTGTAAGTGTTTGCCAATATATGACTATCAAATACTAATACTCACAGACCTCAAATATGACAACTGCGGGATTCCCAGTGACTGGGAAGATACATATAATCACTGCGTCCCTGATAAGGGCAATTTCCCTAATGGCACCTGTCCTGATCTCACCAAACCCGCCCCAGAGGGATATGACTGGAAAACATCCAAGACATACAAGCGGTATACTGCAATGCGCGATGCCCTTCTCAACGTTGACCGGACGATTTTATATTCACTTTGTGACTGGGGCTATGCCGACGTCAATACCTGGGGCAATCAAACTGGAAACTCCTGGCGCATGTCGCTTGATATTACCCGTAAGCTTGACTGATATTGGGACGGAAGAATTAGTGACTGACTGTGTACTTAGCGGACTGGGCTCGTATTGCGGAGATTGCTAATGAGAACAGCTTCTTGATGAACTACGCCAATTTTTGGGGCTACCCTGACCCGGATATGTTAGAGGTGGGAAATGGAGATCTTACTATTGAGGAGAATAGGGCGCACTTTGCGCTTTGGGCTGTCATGAAGTCCCCTCTGATCATTGGTACCCCGGTATGTGATCACTTTGAATGTCCCATTCTTATGTCAACATATACTGACAAATGCATAGCTCGATTCTATCAACGATGACCACTTGGCTATTCTAAAGAACAAGTATCTTCTTGACTTCAATCAAGATCCTGTTATTGGCAGTCCTGCCCATCCGTACAAGTGGGGATACAACTCCGACTGGACGTTCGACCCAGTTCATCCAGCAGAATACTGGTCTGGTGCATCGTCCACCCTAGATGGCACTTTGGTGCTTATGCTGAACTCGGAGGATGACACTTCTACTCGCATTGCAAAATGGAGCGAGATCCCGGAGCTCAAGAGTCATGATGCATACAAGGTTGTTGACGCTTGGACTGGTAAGGATCTGGGGTGTGTGAAGACTCAGTATAGCGCTTCATTAAAGAGCCATGATGCGGCTGTGTTGGTGGTCAAGGAACAATGTTAGATAGAAATCAGTTATGACACAAATTGTGAAACCCACTACCCGTGAAACATCACTCCACGCTTAAAATAGTGAGTATAAAGAGTATTGTTCATGGTTATGGTTCAGGCGAGGACTCAAAGAGCCGAAGGCGACATTCAACAATGAATTCACATGGAAATACAATGGCCATGTTTAGACAATCTATAACTAGAACAGGGATATTATCCTATCGACTGAAACTCATTGTTTGATCCGAGTCCAAGGGCCTTGCGTCGCAGGATAGCCGAGGAACAAAGAATGTTCGTTTGAGATTCAGCCAAGTATTTATAGACTCTTTATTGACTTTGATGACTTTATTTCCATTGTGCAGATTTTAAGCAGTCAATACCTTTGTGAAGAAATAACTCACTCGAGTATTAAAGAGCCTCGATGTCCCGGCACCATCCTTATTCTTCATCACACTTCGCATCGACAATCACATTCTCAGTATTTACTACCATCAAACTCATTCAGACTAACACATTTTATTCAATTATTTACTGCAAATATGCCTGCCCATCACCATTGCAACGCTCATGCCGGTCTACCCCGGGTCTGGCTAGGTTGGGGTGAACTGGGTAACCGGAAGGCTCAACTCCAAGCTCGACAAGAAGAGTAAGTCACAAAGAACATCCCAATAAAGGACATATACTAACATTGTATTAGATACTTCGAGACCCATACCCCCGATTTCAAGCTGCGACACCCAGACAACCGCCAACGCGGTTGGGATGTGCACTTGGATGTTATTCGCAAGTCGACCCGTTGGATCGACTGGCGGATTCACAAGACTGGAGACAAGCAGAGACTTGTTCTTCCTGATTTGGTACGTCTTGAGCAGGTTGACAGCCTTCTTAATTTCTTTTATACTGGTGACTATTCCGTTGATGAAGCCGACTTGGATTGTTATTCTATCAGGCCCTGCCCTGGTGGCTGCGTGACTTGTCCTCAGATCTGTCAGCTCTTGCGCATTCACTTGTCGATGTTTCAAACTGCTCTCCTTCTTAGAATTACTGACCTCCAGGCTATTGCATTCCGCAGATTCCGTGATCTCATGGATACTGCTCCTGCTTTCGTTTTGCAGTATGCTGTTCATGCTGTGTATAGTAGAAAGCCTATCCCTGACGGGAGTAACAGTTATGAAATCACTGGGCTGAAATCCGTCACTGACTATCGCCCCGAACTGGTGCTTCCTGCAGTCCTTAGGTATTGTGGGTATTACCGTATGAATCCTCAGCAGATTACAAGACACGGGAAGAAGGTGAGAGTTTTTGGTGAGGCCGAGTTCGCTGAGCTATGCCAGAAGAGCCCCAAGTTTGGTTGTGACCTAGCCCTGGGAATTTGGCTGGATACTATTGATATCACAGTCCCGACTATTAAGTTCCCGGGCAACTCAGAGCCCATCAGGTCGATTCATCCCTATATGCAAATGTCACTACCGCCACAGGTGGCAGACCGCAAACGGTCAAACTACCAATATGTTACTTACTTGCAGCCTTTGCCCTTTAAGGATTTCAATGACCAGCGACCGTCTAACACACCTACATGGACCCCGTCCCCCTTCACTGGGTCTTTTGCTACCCCCCAGACCTCATCGCAACGAACACAGACACGCACCTCATTTACTCGGGGCAGCGAGGCTGCAGTTCAGCATACCCCAGACTTTCCCCAGTTTGCGCTTGAACAGACAGATGACTTTAGCTTCCTTGAGGATGGTCTAATTGATACTACTATGGATCATATTGCCGCGCAACTACCACAGGAATATTCCACAGGCCCAGATGACTTGAATAATATTGACTGGGCACACACGATGGATTGGAGTGGAGTGGATATTCCCGATATTGACTTCAGCGAGTTGATGAATGATGATTCTCTTGCCGAGCCAAGTGCGAATGCATTGGACGCATCGGACTTGACACAGGAAATAACAGTGGCCCAAGAGGACTTGGCTAATGAGGACTTCACTCGGCTTTTGAACGACGATACTTTAGATCTGCAGTTTATCGAGTCGTCCTGCCTAGACCCGCCCATGGATATCGACATGGAATTGGATCCACCAGAACTGAACTCTTTCGATATGACATGTCTACCTGATATCGACTTTTCTGCACTCACTTCACAGGAGTTTATTGATCCTGCAGTCTTGACTCAACCCCAGTACATGGACTCGGTCTTCCCTGGAATGGATACATGTTTCAATGTGCCCCAGGAGATTAATTTTCTTCCAGAGCAATTTAACTCACAGTTGAATACATACTCTACCGCTTCCAAGCTCCGGAACCATCAGCCAGTCCAGATAGCGGCCCCTTCTACACAATCCCTAGTTGAGCGACAGGCAATCCGGTCTGCAGCTGTTTCTGCACAAACTAAATCTCGTGCATCGATCCCGTGTCCTCGTCGAGAATCTACTCAAACCCGATACAATTTGAGGACTCGCCCGAGTGTGATTGATTTGAATGAGGAGCTCTAAATGTATCAACTCAGGTGAGTCTACTAACACTGCTATTGAGCAGTATTCATTCTTTTGTTTTTTTTTTTCTTTTGTTTGTATTATATTTAGAATGCGTGCTTTACAATGAAATTATCCCAAAATCAAGAGCATTTAATATAGTAGATGACAGATATAAAAATGAATACCACATTTCATGTTGACCCTTCGGGGGGATTTTGGCAGGACCCACCTAGATCTGTGCTATGATCTATATTACCTATTCCAGACTAGTCCTATTGTAATACCAATACTCAAATAGACTGATGGAAGAAGATAAGCTAATTTAGGGCTAAAAGTGGTATGTATTTAATTTTATTGAGTTGTATGGATTTGATAAAATACATTAATTACGTAGATCTGTCATAAAAAGTGGATCCAACGGAGGATATAAGCCGTTGGATTCATCGTGTTAGGTACATATTAATGATGATATGTATACAACATGGTAATTCAAGTTGTTTTCAGTCTTTGAAGAGATAATTCAATGATAGTATCAAGTGATATATACTACCATCCATGTAGCATGAATTATATGGAGTACATGGAGTACAGGAACTATCGGCGGGATGTCCGTTTTCAGTGTCTCAGCCCTGGAGATATTCTTTAAATAGCTGTGGATACAATGGATACCGTGGAAGAAACCGGATTTACTGTACCTATGGAGTAGTTCTTTCCATTCGTACCTTTGTAAGATTCAACTTTCCAGGGCTTATGTTGATATTTCTATGTAACCACGGAAATACGCTAAGTCCTCTACGTCAGAGTGCCTACCTTATGATATCCATCTTAAACATCTACATTCTTGTCAATTGTCTCCATTACTTGTACTTTTTTTTCTTGTCTATAAATACAAAAATGCAATGAGGTGGTTCTACTCCCCACTTCGGGATTGCGCGTCCCCCCGCGATGCTGTCTCACCACGGTCGCGGGTCTTCGTCTACCTCGGTCTAGCAGTCACATTACTACTTCTATCATATCAGCTGATTCTCGATCGAGCCCCGAGTTTAGGTACAAGCTGGACAGCAATTCAGGGTATCGTTGTGGGCGATGATCGCTTCGTTCCGGATCTTGTCCCCGCCGACAAGGAACTGGTTCTGGCAGCTATGATGGCTAGCAATATGTCCTGGGTCGAAGAACATTTGCCAGAATGGCGGGCGAATATCTATCGTGCTGATGCGAAACACGGAGACATTGGTTTGACGGTACCCGTAAATAAGGGCAATGAGGCTATGGTATATCTGACGTACGTATTGGTTGGACTCTTTCGATCCAATGTTATACTAATTGCTCTCTTCACTAGCTACATTATTGATCGCTACTGGTCCCTTCCGGAAGTATCCGTCTTCCTCCACAGTGGTCGCTACCAATGGCATGTCGATAACCCGCTTTATGACTCCGTCATCTCTGTCTCCCATCTCAATCTCGACTTTGTCCAAGAGGCCGGTTACGTGAATATGCGTTGCGCCTGGAGCGTCGGATGTCCCACCGAACTCGAGCCCGCTCGGTATCTCCGTGAGAGACCCGAAGATCTTGGACATCCTACCGCGGTCGAGTATCCCGATCGGTTCATGGAGATCTTCCCGCGCACGGAGGTTCCGGAGGTTGTCGGTACACCGTGTTGTAGCCAGTTTGCATTATCCAAGACAAAAATTCATGAGCAGAGTCTTGAACATTATGTTCGTTTGCAGCGGTGGTTGATGGATACTGATTTGGAGGCCGGCATCAGTGGCCGGATTCTGGAGTATTCATGGCATAGTGGGTCTCTCGTCACTGATCTCTAGATCTCTTGCTAACATTGACAGTGATCTTCGGAAAACCGGCTCAGTATTGTATTGACCAACGCGAGTGTTATTGCCGGACATACGGTTATTGTAATATGACCGATAGTGATATTCAGAAACAGTGGGTATGGCGCGGTTTACAGCTGCCAAAAGGATGGCCAGAACAGAGCGAAACGAATTAGCCAATGTATATCGTCCGATTGAATGAACTGAACATTCTTTAACCTATGTACTCATCATTTCATGAGGCGCATTCCTCTTAGACGCCTTTTTTTACCTCGAGCAAATTGTCCCTGTCTCAAGATCATTCCAGTGGAATTCATAAGACCCTCATCGCCATAAATCCTGTTTACTCAACCGATTGTGGTGTCCCTGACTACTCCTGGGTCGCTCTTCATCGGCCGGAACAGCTAGGAACCCACCAAAGCCGTTCCCGACGAGAACACTCTTGCGTGCATCACCGCCCCAGGACCGGTTCAGCTGAGCCTCGTGGAAACTTACGGGGCGCGTACTGGAGTCGCGGCGTCCGGGCACCGGGCTAGGGTCGTATGGTGTGAAATTCCACTCAAACTCATCCAAACCCTTGCTGTACACATTCAAAGGCTGCGAAAGACCCCCTCGCATCTGCGGGCCATTTTCACCACCGCCAAAGAGTCGTGGTGGGGGCATAAGTAACAATGTGTCGGGGAATGAAGAATCGCGGACATATAAATCTCGGAGGGCAGGTAAGGTTCGGGACATCAAGGACGAGATAAGATAGGTATAGTATGAGGATACCACTGGTGGCATTCCATGATTATCAATTTGTGATGTGAGTTCATAGTGCAGGAGATGTAGCGACTTCGATGCCATAGGAGGAATCTGCTCCATGGGAAATGAGCGAGAGACCTCCTGGATGATAGAGAGGCTCTGAAGCCGCCGGGCGGCGGAAAGAATATAATGTAGTTCCGATGGAGCAATGCCAGTAGAAGATAAGATCAAAGACTCCAAATTGGCTCGGTTCGCTGGGACGGACAGGAATGTGGCAAGCCCGCTTGCCGTAACATTGGGGGTATCGCGAAGTGTAAGAGACTGAACTGACGGGAAGGGCGGAAGAGGGACGTTCACTGCAAATGCAGAATCGTCAAGCCAATCGAGATCTTCAAGCGTGAGCTCACGAAGATGGGGGAATGAACCTAGTCCGCCGCGCAGTGTAGTAGCCTCCATTTGGACTCCCGATAGCTCGAGCACCTCCAAATTCATCCATAATTGAGATCCGGGCAGACGCGAAAAACTGCCCTCGGCACCGCGACGATAAGCCATCCGACGCAACTCGGGGCATCGGGCCATCAACTCCTGTTTCAGTGCTAGACATGATGCCTCGTCGCTGTACAAACCCACCGGCAAATCAACAAAGCGAAGATTAGGAAGGACGGAGATAGTCCGGGCCACGTTGGCTTTGTTGGCCTCGCGGGTCATATATGGCATTCGGAGCGACAATACCAGATTTCCTAACCCCTGTGACTCTCGCACTGTTCGCATAAACATTTCCAGACGCACTTGCGGGGCATCGATGGGGTCGCCATTGCGATCAAAGAACGAGCGACGTTTTCGCTTTGCGGCTAATTCGATCTCGAGTTCGCAGTAATGGACGGGGTCAATTCGGACGTTTGTATAGCTATTAATAGATTGTCAGTCTCACAGCCGTCAAAAAGGTCGGGGGATCTTACAGAAGCGCCCGCGCATCCAAAAACCACCGCTTACTCACGAGTGAGCAGTGCGCCAGGTCGCGCATGTCACATAACATACAGCCATCGCTTGCAGATTCTTCTGAGGTACCATATGTATTATCGACGGTGTGAGGACAAACAAAGGAGAAAATGCGCGCCAATACTGGCCGAGGTAGGTGTTTGGTATAATCTCGGGCGGGCACGTAAACGTTCCGGGGGGATGGCGGGTCAACCGTTCCACTTCGCCTTGAGCTTCGCCTCAACTTGGTAAAAAGGCCCATTCTGTTCGATGTGGAATGAAAATGGTAAAGAGGGGGGAGAGAGAGAGAGATAGGGACAAAGCGCGTTAATGCAGGGTTCCCATAGCCCCCCCGCCTTCAGCTCTCAGCCCCTAACATGAAACACCGGCGTTTCAGGCTAAGGGGGTTCATCTTTGTACGGAGTATATCCTGAACATCTTCAAATATTTGAAACGTGAAATGATTTTTCAGTCAAATATTATGGAGAAAGACGATTCCCAAGGTGACGTTCAAATAGAGAACGCACATGACATCACTTCATTTTTGAGAAAGAAAAATCTTGGACTTCGTGAATTTCTTAACTTGGAATTTTAGTGGAATTCATTGTTGACATCATTGTGGTTATATATAAAAGAAAAGAAAAAGCAAAGCATTCTCTTATATCCCCAACACATCATGGCTGAAATAGATCGCAACTTCATCGAACCTCTTCCCTGTCCAGCACACACCAACAGACCCACAGAGTCAACCCCCGAAGAACAATGGAAGCATCTTCCACCATATGAGGCACAATCTGAGGAAGAATTTGGTCCAATCAAGTGGCGTGGAAAGTGCTTCTGTGGAAGGATCACCTATGTCTTGAAGCGAGAGAAACCCCTTGATGCCAAATACTGCCATTGTCGTGTGTGCCAAGTTACTCACGCAGCTCCCTTTCAGTGGGCGGCTATCTTTCATAAACACGACATGGCATTCACTAGTGGCACGAAAGATTTGGTATTCTATTCTTCTACACATCAAAATCAGAAACATATGTTGCCTACCAAGGTTTCTTGTGGGAATTGCCGGACACCTATCATGGACGAAGGCCGGAATATGTGTTTGATCTTCCCTCAATTGATTGAAATCGAGGGATCCAATGAGGAGCAAAGAAAAAAGAGGGATATTTTCAAGCCAACGTATGTATATTTGCTATTATACCATGATTGAAAGCTAATGATCCTAGGTGTCACATCTTCTATAAGTCACGCACTCTAGAATTCAACGACGGTCTTCCCAAGTGGAGTGAAATGGACAATTCCAGTGATCAGATGGACAATGACGGTAATCAGATTGGAGGACAATGATTACAAAATACTTCAATGGAGCAGGAGGTATGAATCGTCATGGGACCAGAGAGGGAGCCAAATGGGTGTATAGAGGATCGATGTCGGGTGAATAGTATCACTAAGCCTTGCAAGACAATATTCTGTACATGTCTTTGAAAAAAAAAAATATGTACTCTAGCTTGGTGTTGAAAAAGATAACCTAAGGCTCCTAGGCACAGGGTAGCCCATTCGATTAAGTACACATTGTAGGCCCCCAAAAGACTTAAACTCGGTAGGGAGGGACTTGCCCTCGAATTAATGGAATTTGGTAAGTCAGAAGTTTTGGGGGTGCCTTATTAACAACTTTGCCCACAATTATCTTCCCATAGAAAGCAATCCAGAAGAGTCCCGGGGATAACTGCATCTTGGAGGTTCATTTCGCCTTTCAGCTTCTGACGGAATTCCGTTAACATTCCATCGAATAGCTCATGGCAAAAGCCCCTTTCTGTATCTTCAAATTCATCTAGGATACAAAATTGCCCTGTATTCACCAACGTATGTGTGAATTTGACCAAAACGAACCCCGAAAGGAAGAGCATAGATAGCTCCCAGTCAATTAAGCCGGTAACATTGCAGTCCTCATCGATGAGGACGTTCACTTCGTTAAGACCAGGCAGTATCAGAACCTCCTATTGTCACTATGGAAAAGTAAGCTAATAAGAATATTCGCAAATTCATCCTTAAGGCAACGTCCCCATTATTCATTTAAATAGCGCACCTGCACGTACTTGGTCCCTCCTCAACTTCTGGACATAGTAGGTTACTGTATAGCACAATTGATCTTAAGTTCCCATAACTATCCGTGACTATATTGCCATCGTCTAGGAGATATACACGGAAGGAGCGTAGGCGTAGAATCTCCATACAATTAGTTTCTCCCTTCCAAAGATCGGAACAAATTTTCTTTAATGCAACATCAACAGTCTCGCATCTCAAGGTACTTCCCAGCTCCAGGCATGTCCGCGGATTTCAGAAACAGCCACTCTCCAAAAATCCAGAACCGAACCCTCAACTTAGGCGAGGGATGCTCTAGTCGCTACCAATTAGGCCTGGCACATACCAGAGTGCACCGACACCGGGTCACTACTTGCACTGCCCCAGTCAGCAGCTCCAATCACCTTACCAGCTTCGGTACCGTCATCGGCTCGGATCTAACAAGGTATGAGTATTTCCTCCGCTTGCAAACGAATGAACTTACATAGTGCTGTGGTTCGACAAAGTGCCACCAATCATTACTCCGGAATGCATTATCTAGCGACTGACTCGCCGGGTCATTCCAGCCGGTATTGCGAGTATCGAAATGAGCATGCTTCGACCACGCTACATACACCTTGGGATGATCATTATTCCGCACACCGTTCGGCTCGTTAGCATTTCCAGCGTTGACCTCCTCGGTCGTTAAGGTGTTTTGGATATCGCCCCAGGCCAGTTTGTGGTATCCGCTATGCGCAGAGAGCAGGGCTCGCGATGGCGCCCACATGTTGCTTCCATCCCGAGAATGGATTATTATCACTCTCTCCCAGTCGCTGGAACAGATGTTAGTGGGATGGAGAAGCGTCATTTCACCGAGGAAAAGAAATAGTCACTTACTAGTCATGTCCAGTCTTGATCGCACCAAAATCTGCCCCGTCTTTCTCATAAAAGAGATTATATGCAACGCGCACCTCGGTCTCGCTACATCGCTTGTATGTATAATAAACAGGAAATTGAGGCCCCGGATTTCCGGCAGGAACGCCAGGCTGGCGGCAATTGCACCCAACATCAGGATACTCACACTGCGGTACACCCGGTGTCTTGTGGGCATCATCGTAGATGTCCGCCGTGTCCGGTGAGCCGCCATATGCCCATGTTGGATAACAAGGTGGCTGATTCAGGGCTTGCCCAAAGAACCACATGGGCGCGTAGCGGTCTGCTAACTCTAGGCCGCCTACCTCGAGGAGTGAACCCATCTCATCATCTGTTATTTGCGAGACAGCTATCACATGTCTAGCAGCCAAAACAGCCAAGGTAGCTCCTATCTTGAAGTGCATAGTTGGACTTGATCAAATGCTATGGGGTTGCGACTGTAATGTTCGAACTATTGCCGATATATCTTATATACAAATTTGGGGATAGTATAGCCGGGAATATCACAAGACCATTGAGGGGACATGATTCCTAATGGGGTGATGAGCTGCTGAGAGTCACATCGTGGCATGCGGGTCTGCATTAGCCCCGGAGATGTCCCGTGTGCTGTACATAACATTAGTCGCCAAGCTGCGTAGAAACCATGTTAGTTACTTTATCTGGGGACCAGTGGTGAGATTATATGGCACGTTGTAACAATGTATGCATTAGATCAGTATCTACCACATTACTAGCTTTGGCGAAATCTGTGTTAGAAAGACCATGGATTTCATTGCTGACAGGGTTAGCATGTACGTACGCATCAGAAAGCAGAGAGAAAAGCTGGAAATCCCATCTGACTCCTTAGCTCGAATGTGCCTTCGCCATGAACCTCACTTCATGGCTTTCTCATTCTTCGGTGCTTTCAGTCCTTGCCGCTTTTTGCTCAGCAGCATTTATGCCCAGGTGAACCCGTGGACCTGTGGACACCCCGAGAGTATTACATAATCACACTTGCTGCCCAGGTGACCTCGGGACGACCTCGAATCACCTGATCATTATATAAGCTAAAGTCTCCCTGAGGTCCAGGCGCCACCTGCACGTAAGCCCTATCTAAATGCAGTTGTTTACCACAACTCTTGACCCTTGTCCCCTCAAAGGCTGGCATTATCTATTTAGCGGTCGATTCTAGTTATTTCGTCTCTGGAAGGAAAATTGATAGTCTTTTACTATACCACTATTCAACACGAGTCTCGCATCCACGATACCGTCTGGAAATAGTTGTGTGTAATACCCAACCCTTAACTTTCGGTTCTACAATGTCTAGGAATATCTCAGAAACCCACAATCGGATCATTTGTAAATTCGCTTCATTATCTTATTCTGATTTAATTTTGTTTGAATAAGAATGGATTATCGCTCTTAGTACCTTGCTCCTAGGAATACGACTTCAAATCTAGCCATCTAGACATCTGTAAAAATATTCTAGACATATCAATCATGTCTACTAGGTGATTTAGCTGGCTATATTAGACATCTCATTTACCTAACATATTTAGCAATTATAAAATACCCCATCCTAGCTATTGTCTGATAGGACTACCCAGGAGCCCTCAGACCCCTCGTGCCACTATAATGAGTTTAGTGAGATCAAAGTAGATACCAGGAACTCACGTGCTGGTACTCATTCGCGAGAATTGTGACTGCTAATGCTATGAGTCAAACCCAGGATTGAACGTCCAAATTTGTCCACGATGTCTAAACTACAACATTTGAACACACCACAGTTGCACCATCATGATAAACCCGGAAATGGTGTTCGCCGAGGGTGCGGACCACTGCGGCCCGAAGAAGATGAAGAATGTCTTGAGGTCCGAGATTACTACCGAGTTTCAGCGACTTAACTCCGGATGTGCCGATTATTTAGTACTTACATACGGAGTAGTTCTCACAAGAATGTGGGGTGAGAGTTTGTATTTCCCCGAAGTATTGCAGAGTGGAAACCCCATGGGGGGATTGCCAAGATATATGAAATGTGGGATGGAGGGGTTCCCCAGATATAAATTTGGAATGGCTGGACTTGAATAAGTCTTTGCAAGAGCTTCGCAGTTTCAATTCCAAGATGAAAATTTCCCTCACGGCTCTGGGTCTTCTGGGGACGGCATCCGGCCTGAACTATGCCGAACCATACCGTCCTCAATACCATTTCTCCCCTGCCGAACACTGGATGAACGATCCTAGCGGACTGTTATATCATAATGGCATCTACCACCTCTTCTTTCAATATAACCCGGGTGGCATTGAATGGGGAAATATGTCGTGGGGTCATGCAACAAGCAAAGATCTGACCCATTGGGATGAACGCCCTGTTGCTTTACTTGCTCGCGGATATCCCGATACTATCACCGAGATGTATTTCACGGGAAGCGCCGTAGCAGATGTGAACAACACGAGTGGCTTTGGAGTTGACGGAAAGATTCCTTTAGTCGCCATGTATACTTCTATGGTACATATGACCATTCCACTTGATCACCTATAAAGACTGACAACATTATTTTATAAAGTATCCCGTCTCACAAGAACTGCCAAGCGGAAAACATGTTCGCGCAGAGCAGCAGTCTCAGTCAATCGCCTACAGCCTCGACGATGGCGAGACCTGGATAACATACGACGCCGAGAACCCCGTCATTCAAGACCCGCCCTCTCCTTATGAAGCAGAATTCCAAAACTTCAGGGATCCCTTCGTGTTCTGGCATGATGAAACACAGAAATGGATCTCCGTCACAGTTTTGGCATCAGTCCACAAAGTAGCCATATGGAGTTCTGACAACCTTAAAGAGTGGTCTTTCGTCAGCGAATTCGGACCCTACAATGCCGTCGGTGGCGTGTGGGAGTGCCCTAATATGTTCCAAATGCCCGTTAAAGGACACCCATCAGCCAAGAAATGGGTAATGGTTTTGGGACTCAATCCTGGTGGCCCACCTGGCACAGTCGGATCAGGCACGCAATACTTCATTGGCGACTTCAACGGAACAACTTTCACGGCTGATCCCAGTAATGTCTATCCCGAAAATGAATCTGCCAACTGGATGGACTGGGGTCCAGACTTCTATGCTGCCGCTAGTTATAACGGACTTCCTGATGGAGATGTGGTCCAGATCGGGTGGATGAGTAATTGGCAGTATGGTGCGGTTGTCCCGACAAGCCCTTGGCGAAGCGCCATGTCTGTTCCCCGTCAGTTGTCGTTGAAGATGGTGGATGAAAAAGTGACCCTCCTTCAACAACCGCACCAGAGCTGGAGGAGTGTTGTCAATAACCAGACCTTGAAACATTCCTGGAAATCTGTACCGAAAGGATCAACCAAGCTTGACTCCCCAGGCAAAGCATTCAAGATCGACTTGAGCTTTTCTGATCATGACTCCGACCAGACTCTGGCATCTACATTTGCGATATCTGTCCATGCTAGCTCTGACTTCAAGCAAGAGACACTCATTGGGTACAACTTTACCAGCAAAGAGATCTTCGTGGATCGGCGGAATTCAGGAGATGTATCTTTTGATAAGACTTTTGCAAGCTTGTATCACGCACCACTGTCAGCGAGTGCGGATAAACATATCAACCTGCAGATCTTCGTGGATTGGTCTAGCGTTGAGGTCTTGGGGGGTCAGGGAGAGGTCTCGTTGACGGCTCAGGTATTCCCCGAGGGAAGTGCAGCTGAAGCACGACTTCTCTCGGATGGAGTGACTCAGGATGTTAGACTTGGGATAATTGGGATGGGTTCAGCGCACTAGAATAGCAAGGGAGTCTGATCCTGTATAAACCCAATGAATGACTTATATTTCCGCTTTTGTAACGGCCCGGTCAAACTAAGGTTATAAGCTGGCACTCAACAAGAACTGCTCGGAAAGGGAAGTTGTCTTCATTTGATTAAGTGACAGATGCTTAAAGTGTAGACCTTCACTCATAGTACGACTTCGCGTTCATCAGCTTGTAGGCAACCTCTCTGTCATGACCGAAAATCAACGTCGCATTGTACAGTCTTTGGAGTCTGCGAATCATGTTGAGACTGCGATACCATGCATTGTGATCTCTCGCTAATCCTCCGTGAGGATGGCCCAGGTTATAATTCTCTGCAACGTGGAACTGGTCCGAGGTCCAAATAAATGGTCCATCATTTGCAAGATTGACTTGCATAATGCAGAGTCCAGGTGTATGGCCAGGTGAGTGGTGGAGTGTTATGCCTTGGAACAGGTCAAGTTGGGACTCATTGAAGGTGTTCCATTTCAACTCTTCGAGCAGCATATAGTGTCCCAGGTAGACGCCCAAGTCTGCTCCGGTTGCCACTGCCCAGCAAGCGTGTTTGAATTCTTCTTCGTGGACATAGATTGGGACATCTGTGTTCGCAAAGTGCTCAAGGCCTCCGGCATGATCAAGGTGCAGGTGACCAATAATGACCGCTTTCACATCTTTGATATCATTCCCAGTGGCTTTGATAGCATTTGGGAGCTTATGGTTTTCGGAGTATTCTGTTCGCGGAAAGAGATCCGTGACTGGCGCTGGCCATTTCTGTATTATGGTTAGTTATATGTCAGACTAAACATTGTCATAGGATCTAACAAACCACGTCTAGATCCTCGGCACAGCCTGTCTCGTAAAGAATGAGACCAACTCCCGGATACTCAATCAAAGCTGACAGGAGCACTAAATCTCGACGTTTGTTCTCTGGATTGAGATTGCTCAGGGAGCTTGCATTGCCACCTCGGAAGATCCTATGCAAGGTTAATAACAAGCTGAGGAATTAAGCGAATAACGGACCATGATTCATCTGCTTGGAGAGTGCCCAAGTTTAAAATGTGCATCTTTGTCCCAGCAGGACATTTGAATGCTGGGACTGCTGCAGATACCAGCAGGGAGGCAGGATCTGAGGAACTCATATCTGAAGAATATGCAAAGAGGTAAAAGTTGAAAAAGCAATGAGATAAACCCCGGAGTAGAATCCCGGCTTCCCCGCATTGACGGGAAACAAGGCCGATGGGTTATACCTACATATGTACTCCGTAGGTATGTAGATATGACAGAAGTACTTAAAGAGGGGGATTTTCCCTGGACTTTTGGTCTTTTTCACACGTTTTAAGAATATGGAGGATAGCTCTTTCAAGCCACTGGCTTATATGTTTGAAAATATCATTGGTATACCTATAAAAATGATTATATACCCCATGTCTCTAATATCCTAACATCTATAACTTTTTATATTTTGAAGTATAAGGTTATACCCGAACACCCGCGACAGGGGTATATGTACTCTTTGGACATAAAGTGCGTGGAAAGAAAAGAATGTACTTTCATTTGTTTATACTTGGGGGGGTTGAAAATGCTACCTAGCTTGAGACCTTGATCCTGTGCCGGTGCCTGCAGAATTTAAGCTGTTAATTTGAGGTTTTGATATTTTCTTTTACTCTTTGTCTCTTTCTTTTCTTTTCCTTTCTTTCATATTTAAAGAATTGCTGTCATTTGCGCAGATCTACTATTGACAAGTTCCCCCTATAGTGCACGAAGGAGCTAAATATTGGACCATCTTATTTACTTAGGTCTAAGTAGTCCTGCCCAATATATACACCCAATGTATACATTTAATACATTTAGTATGTTGTACATTTAATAGATTAATGTACTATGTAGAGAGCCCTAGAGTAATCCCGCAATGACATCAGAGAACCCCAACATTTCTTCCCCTCCAGATTTCCTTAGACATATTCTCACCACCCCCCCACAAACACCCACCCTAACACCCCCCACCAACAACCCCCCCACCCCCCCCCCCCCCCATTCAAATACACCATACCATGTCTTGGTCCCAGAAAACCTTTACTCTCCCCTCTCGTAGCCGTGGCTCATACCTTATCACCGACCATGTCCTCCAAGAGGTCCCCGAGATCCGCGACTACAAAGTTGGCATGTTGAATCTGTTCGTGCAACACACCAGCTGTGCACTTTCGCTGAACGAGAACTGGGATGACGATGTTCGCGCGGATATGAGCGATGCGCTAGACCGTATTGCGCCTATGGATAAGAAGGGAAATCTGTATCGTCATTCAGCTGAGGGTGAGGATGATATGCCGGTATGTCTTTGAAGTGGGGGTTTTATGATTTTATGATTTGGAATTTGAGAGAGATCGCTATGCTTGCTTCAAGAGTCTAGAGTATAGCTCTAACTAGCTTGCGCGGTTCTTTTTAAATCTCTGTTCGAGACTAGACACTAATGTCCCAATAGGCTCACATTAAATCTGCGCTCATTGGCGCTTCGGTTAATATTCCTATCACGAACGGTCGCTTGGCAACAGGAACATGGCAAGGCATTTGGTACTTGGAGTTCCGGACGAGTCGTCACAGTCGCAAGGTTGTCGCGACCATCCAGGGACAGAAGGCTTGACTGGATAGGACTGCGTGCGGGCAATTGTGATGTATCTACGGAGTAGAATGCCCCGGCTACGAATGATGCAAGATACCAAAATTGGGATTGGGTTGGCGAGAGAGTCGACATATGACCCAATTTATATGATCTCATCATATGCAGGTAGTCGAAGTAGTACACATATTTTGAGGACAATACCATCACATACGATAACACGATCGAAGGGCAGTCCATTCATCGATATTCTGTACACGGCCTCTGGCCCAAAACCAATTGAAAAACGCAAATTGTGCAACGCCGATAAAGGAAATCTCATGCTAGCCGTCTATCGCTGCTCCAGGCTACCCTCTGTCACACGCTGGGACTCGTTAACCTCGGCGGCATCACCGGTGGGCTCGAGGGGGTAGCTACTGGCAGGCAGGGACTTCAAGTAAGCGCGGTGCTGTTCATGGGCCTAGGGAGATGTTAGTAAAGATCGAATCGAAGCCAGGAAGATAGCATATAGGAATGGACGTACAAAGGGAACACCGCAGTATCCGCAGGGAACGATTTCGGGCTTGTCGGTGTTGATGAAGACCTTGGGGTGGCCAAGGGGACCACCGCCACCATCACAGCTGACAACCCGGGACTTTGTCCAACGGACGGGCTGTCTGTGAATGAGCTCGATAGCGGCATATGGTTGGGGCTACAGGCTAAGTTAGTTTTGGAACTTGATATATGCATTGCCAACAGCAATTGCAAAAGCATTGCTATTTTCAATTGATTCGTACCTGGGTCTCCATAATTGTCTGCTCAAAGCGAGGTCCAACCATGGCTTTCTCGCGTGGCTGCTGGCTGGCGGCCCAGGTGGTAGCGCGGTTCGGGGCCTGCATGCTCCGGATGCGCTCGCCAACCTCGGGAGTCTCCTGGAGAGTGCTGTCGTGACGTTGACGTCCAAACTCTTCGGTGGGCTGGGCATTGGTTGCAGAGACATTCGCCGTGGGCTTCCGCGGGGTCGGGTCGTTGACCGGGATAGGGTTCTCGCTCAGACGGGGCACGGTCGAGGAGTATGCGCGGACAACAAAGCGCGGGCGGACCGACGCAGAGGTCACAAGTCTGCGGCCACAGGACATCATACTGGGCAAATTTCCCCGGGGTGGTTGGTTATAATGGAGGACACAAAGAGCGTTGGCAAGGGACCAGGTGCAAGTCGGCACTGAATAATCCGTGAGGTGTGGTTTGGTGGATGCTGACCGCTTGCCGTTTCTAGGTAGCTCCACCCTACACTTGGGATTTTCTGCCACATCATTTTATTTTGCGCCTCGCAAGTAAAGTAGTTTGACATCTTTCTCTTGTTTTTGAATTGGATTTTCTATCCGTTGAATTTTTACCTTTCAACCCATCATGGCTGGCTCTTCCTCCCCGGCTGGAAAGCCTGAGAAGACCATGTCGTCAAATCTATTGACCATGAAGGTATGACTGACAGTTGACTGATTGACAGCCATGCAATTAACAATATATCCTAGTTTATGCGACGTGCTGCGGCTGCGAAAGAAACTCAAAGCCCATCTTCTGATTCCGGCCCCAACAATTCCAAGCGCCCCCGTCTCTCTACCGAGGCTGAGAGCCCTCGCACCTCAGATATGGATGCGATCGCGGCTGCGCTTGCTGCTGAGGAAGAAAAGCGACAGCAAGCTGTCGCACGAGCAGCTGCAGAGGCAGGTGAGACACAATGGGTCTTGGATGTCCCTTCTACACCCCAGGTCGCTCAGCAGCCTATGGTCTTGGCGGCGGACTCGTTGGATGCAGATGACGATACCTACTCCGGTGGACGGCGGGCGTATGGCAATTTCAAGCGCAAAGAGCGCAAGGTCGGCATTTTCTTCTATCAGTCTTGGCGTTTTATACTCATATCTCTCTTAGCCACAAACTACACCAAGCAAGGATGGTGAGGATGGTGAAGATGAGGATGATTACGATGAGATAATCAACCCATCGAATCCACAAGAGGTCGAGAAAATGATGGAAAAGGCCAGACTCAAGGCAGAAGCCAAAGCCAGAGGAACCTCTCGACAAAAGCTCTCTGAACTCACTAGTATCTCTGGGTCCGGCCGGGGGTCTTTGTTGGGAGCCCCGTCCTCTGACAAGAAGAAGAAGAAGAAGCGCAAGAGCTACTAAACGGATGATCTTCGATGCATCCTCAAAAATGTTTTGATTGGCGTTTTAGCATAACATGTATGGCGTCTTGGGGTTCAATCAATTCTTTCTCGATATGTTCCAAGGTTAAATACTTGGATTACTATGGTTCTTGACCAAGTTACTTCTTTGTTCATCTGTCACTGTGGAAGGTACAAGGGTGTATTAAGAAGGTGCGTAGGATACTGTTGGACAATCTCTATCTCCCATGGCCTCTTCCCCTAACAGAGTCTTGCAACTCGACTATCCTGAAACAAGATTCTATTGCCTTGAGGGCTTGCGATGGTGCAACTCTTAGGAAATCCCATACAACAATAATCTGTACATTGTATATACTAAGTCTAAGCAGACTCTGCCCTAATAAAAGCGTAAAGCCGCGGCAAACGGCTCTACATAGAAGATACATAAGGAGCGACGAGCTCTTCTCTCAAAAAAGCAAATATGAAAAACCTCAAAGCTTCGCCTTCTCCTCTTGCTTCTTCTTTTCCCATCCCTTCTGCGTCGCGAAATTTACCATCAAATTCCAAGCAGCAACCCCAACCCCAACCGGTGGCGCAATCAACAATGTCCACGCCCACCACCTCGGACTCGACGCCGCAATACTAGTCATAGCCTCCTTAACAGCAACCTCTAGCTGCGCTTTATCAGCATCATTCCAAACCACCACCCCGCGTCCAGTCTTCGTCCCCCTGAACTCCGCCTGCGTCGCTTTCATTCGTACATCCCCCTGACTCCGGACCCGGTTCTCCGCATCCTCGGCTGTAAGATGCGCATCGCGGGCTCGCAATCGCGCCATTTGGATTTCAGGATCGTGAACCCCAACCACAATCACCGTTCCACAGATGAGATCCATGCCACTCTCAAACAGGAGTGGTACATCTAGTACAACTGCCCATTGACCTCGCAGGTAGTGGTAGATTAGGGCTTTGTAGACTTCCCACCGGACGGCGGGGTGGACGATACCGTTGAGGACTTGTCGGTCGCGTTTGCGCTCTTCCGTGCTGCCAAAGACACGTCGCCCTAGCGCGGGTCGGTTCAGTGGCTTTCCATTTGAATTTGTGGGCGCATCTTCCAGTAGTAAGTCTGGTGTGGTGGGGCCGAAGTAGTTGACGATTGCTTTGTAGCCTGCGGTGCCGGGTTCAACTACTTTACGGGCGAGGAGATCGGCATCGATTATCGGGAGGGAGTAGGGTGGTGTAGATAGGATGGATGAGACAGTTGACTTGCCTGTCGCTATTGACCCGGTAAGACCGATGATCAACATTTTGGCTTAGAGAAGAGTTGTAAAAAGGTCGAAGTTATGAATGCGGGGAGATTACCCTCGGCTCCGCATCGGGAATGCTTCAATGTACGTCACTTATGTTATACATCAAGCATCAAGCAGGTACAGATATTTTTTTTTCAAATTTGGATTCGTAGATTTGCTGAATTAATTTGTTATATACTCGAATTATATCAAATTTTTGACTTTTACAGTCTCAGTTACGGATATCCTCGGCACTTATACCAAGGTACATCCTAAAGCACTGAAATCCCACGCAGAGTGCGTAAGCTAGAAAAAGGAGTTCAGCTTATGCTGATTTCTTCCAAATTCAAGTTTCCGGTAATCCGTGTGTAGTGTCTTGTGGTTGGCCCTTCCATCCAATATTCGGCCACCCCTTTGGCAGCGAGGAGAATGGTGGCAGAGAATAGCGATCATCACAGCCACCTTCCCATGGGCAGGTCAGATCACACAGTCCAAATACTTTACAGTAACATTCCTTTGCATTGGGGCAATGCACAGGGTCTTTTCCAAATATCACTAGAGAAAATGTCAGCTTTTGACCGGAATTGAAGGGTGATTGCGGGGAAACCACATACTGTGCCATGAATATTCCATAATTCGTCCACTCAAATCATCCCCTAGCGGCGTGTCCATCAGCCATGTGCGGAATCGCTCGTAGTCACTACGCGGCCGTTCCAGCACCTTGGCACGGGACACACCGAATTGTGCGCAGCATGATACGCCTACCTCCTCTGGGATTGGGACCCCAGGGAATAGCTCCATGAACCCATTCTTGAAGTATTCTCCTGCATGTACATCGCTGCGGTGCGTATCGGTGAGAGGACGGATTTCTGCCGGACATCCAAGGGTCCAAACACATCGTAGGTTGACATATCCTTGCTCTTGTAGGTATGGGATCTGGAAGTTCTGGAGTGGTGGGATACCATCGTAGTATGGGTCGTCATTGTGCCATTGGTAGCGTTTGGAGTGAATGAAGAGCATCGTGTCCGGTAGGTTATTGTAATTGTCGATGATGTATCTAGTTCAACGATCCGAGTCAGTATAAGGACCAAAACACAGATTTACTGTCGGACTCACGTCAAGTATACCATCGACTCCCGGCCTTTGTTGCGTGTAACCGTCAATGGCGCGTGCTTGTCATCCACCACGTAGATACTTTTCGTCCAGTCGGGGAAGTATTCTGATAGCCATGAGGTGTCATCATTTTTCATGCTAGCCACGATCATATCCTTTTGTTTCCGTACAGGACGAGCCAGCTCGCCTGTTTGTTTCGCCGATCCATGTTTCTGCGCATAGCTGCCTGCTTCAGTCTTCACCTTCACGGGAGATTTTGCGGTTGTCGAAAAGAATAAAAAGTACAGAGCAAAGACGATGAATATGGTAAGGAAGATGGCCTTCATCCGACTGCGACGTCGGGGGCCCTGAGGCCCACTAGGAGCGAACAACATGGTCAGGTTGGAGGGCAGTCTGCCCAGGTGGTCAAGTCATCGAGGGGAGGAGAAGTTGACGGTTAACGGGGGGGAATCAAGACCCCGATGGAGTTCGAGAAATCCTTAGAAATATACAATAGTAATCAAATACTATTCATGTAGATGAATTGTGGTGGGAGACATCTGGAGGTCAACGTGTCGCAAGTTGAAGTTCTCCACAAAAGCCAAGCAACAATTTAACGGCGAATTTACTTTTATTACAACGTAGCTATTATTGAAATATATATATAAAAACTAACTGTTTTACAGTGATTAGTGAATATTTTAGATTAATATGTAGTATGTGTTATATAGTTAGAACTTAGTTTAAAATATATACATCTGACCAGAATATATACTGTCATAGTCCGACCTGTACATACATATTCACTATATTCATCTTACTGGCATGCATCAATATGTCCCAAGTACCAATTATGTGCCTCAGTATCCGCTTTCGATGTTCCAGCATTTCCAGCCTTCGAACCAACACCTTCAATGACATCAATATCAGACGTGGTCACTGTTGCCTGGTCGTCACTAGTAATCCAGTACTCGGGACTTGAGTGGCTAAACCCAGCGAACGCAGGTGGCAGCTTAGGCACCAGATCAGCTGTATGTGTGACTCGCCAGAGACTACCCTGATCTGTCATATATTGAGCAAAAGCTTTATTGCCCAGTCGTGGGGAGGCGTAGGAGTACTATAGTATCATAAGTATACTTTATCAAGAATTTCAAAAACATGATACTTACCACCTGGGGATCAAATCCTGCATTTCGAAGAACAGTACCTCCCACAGAGGCAATAGCTGCGCCAAAGCTGTGGCCTGTCACGATGAGAGTGTGGCCCGGGTATGTTGTCTGGGCGGCTTTGATCTTGGCTGTCAGATCGTCCGCAACAGTCTTCCAAGAATCCCAGAATCCGCCGTGGACTTCGCAGCCGCTGCATATGCCAGTGGAATCGTCCAAGCCAAAGTCAATGTTCGCAAGCCAGGTGCTTAGTGAGCGACTACCTCGGAAGGAGACGACAAGTAGCTTGTTCGTTTTGTCCACTGCGAGGAAGCCGGCAACATCTCCATAGCTGCATTTCCTAATAGATGTCACCGTATTAGCGAACAGTCAATGACTTGGGAAGTTGGTCTCATACTTATCAAACTCATATAGAGTGAGGGTGTCAGCGGCCTCTACTAATGGGCAGTTGCCTTCCGCACAAGATAGCGCATTGCCGGTTGAGTTGTTGTTGTTCGTGCAGTATGAAGCCCCGGCCCATTGAGAGTATAGAGTCAATTGACCAAGCAAGTCAGCCGACACATCTGTTACTTGGATCAGTCACCGGATGGCATGAACAAAAAAAAGCATATCTCATACCTCGACGAATAGGTTGAGAAGGAGCAGCAACTGCCAACGCCGCAAGAGCAGCGGTACCCCAAAGCTGACCAAGACGAAGCATCATGAAGATATTGAACTAAGGCTTTCTCACCAAGTATGCACGCACCTAGAGATAACCATGCTGACAGGGCTTTCTTATATATCGGTGAATCTGTATTCGTATCCCAAGCCCCTTCACACATTGGCACATATTCAAGAGCGGGGTATAGACCCCATTTCTCTCGTAGAATAAATTGTTTTCCGAAATCAGCTTTTATCTCCGTTCATGGCGCATATTTCACGCGTGACCGGTGGGACTCCGGTGGGATCTACATGGAATGTAGGCAGCTATCGTATGCACGGGAATGTAACCCTGGAAAAAAGTCGGACGAACGGCTTGAATATTATAGAATACGGAGTACTCCGTCGAGGAGATTGTGACTGTAATGCGGCGCTTGATGTGCTTTGTATGTTGTAGTGCATGAGTCCACCGGTTCATCCGATTATTTCTCCATTGCGTGAAGATGAACATTTTGGGACTTTTGTATATTGAACGTTGAAGAAACTTGCAGGGTTGTGGATTGGTTTTCTGATTAGCGCCAAGTGTCCTGTTAAAGTGGCCTATATTAATTGTCCGAAGATAAAAAAATCCCAGCCACTCACTTTAGCCCATGTATGTTGTAGAATATCGAACTACGGAATTATCAAGGTACTCCGTACTCCATATGGTCATTAGAAGCGTAAAATTGATTTGACTGGCTGTGTTTCAATGGGGTTTTTGTTTTTTTGTTTTTGTTTTTGTTTTTTTTTTTTTGCAGCCTTTTCTCTTTCTCGAAAAACATCCCATTGGCGAATTCCTTCCTCAATGCCAGTCAGAGCCGTATCTTGTTCATCATCGCTAGCAATGAACCTTAGCCCCCGCCCCAACACCTTCCGGGACACACGGTGGTCAGGCCCAAAGTAGGATTGGTTAGTGCTTGTGGAATATCCACTACTGGTGAGATTCGATCTTCATACCCTCCTCAACACCAGTCATACCAGTGTCCTGTCCATCGTTTGCCCCATCGTCGTCAACAAGAACTCTGGGGGCAAGAGTAACACCAGGAGGCAACGGGGTGCCAGGTGTCACTGCCACAATATTATCATTCTCGTCAACCATCTCGAAGTTGTATCGCGAAAGAAGATGCGGGATTGCTGAGAGTTGAGGGCCATACCGAGCAGTATTATCATACAGCTCGAATAGCGGCACAGCGAGAAGTTTCATGTTTTTTGGGACCGAGAGAACCTCTAGAGGAAGTGGTTAGTATATAATCAATGTTCGTTGGAGGGACTGATGGGTTAGAACTCACTCTTCTTCGGGAGTCGGATGAAGTACAGCTTCTTGCACTCCTTTGGGCGTGTGACATGTGCAGGAAGGAAAGGGTACATGAAAGTCTCGAAGTTGGGTCGCCACCATTGCGCAAGTGTGTCGCTAATTTCCCAGTCATCATTAACACCTTCGCCGGAGAACTGAGATCCCACGGGTGCGAGGCGCTCATTCAGTCGCTTCTTAAAACCTTCAATTTCGTCGTCTTCATGGTGCAGATAATCGCCCGGCCTAAATATTATTAGCAGTGAATTTTGAATATACACAACCAAAGAGAACATACAGCTTAAAGAACGCATTGGCAATCTGCAGCATCAGCACGTGTGGATGGTTGTGCTCGTGGCACACCAGGATTCCCTCACAAGTCCGTCGCATTCCATGGAGGCCGTAGTGCTCTTCTAGACGCTTCAGTCGTGCCAGGACCGAAGGATCCTCTTCTGGCTGTGTTTCCTTGGTGCCGAAGGTATAGTTTGACAGGGGATACAGCCGAACGGTCTCCGGCTGCTGCGCGGTGAAGTCCTTGGGGACAATCGGCCTAGAAGTCATCATGTCAGATTATACCATTCAAAAGCCGCAATATGAAATGAAATGTTAACAAAGGATACTTACGGAACTCCGCTGACAGGGGCATCTTTCGTAGTAGCCATTTTGATAGGGGTTGTGTTATTGTGATCGGAAAGGGTAGAAGCTCCCCAGAGCTTCAATGACACCTGTGGACCCGTTATCGCTTATCAGTGTTGACCGCCTTCCCAAATTCGATATCTACATGTAAACAACATGGGATACAAATGGTCCAACACTATAGAAATAGAAAAAAAAAAAAAAAAAACTTCATCTGAATGTATTGTATTCCATTATTGCCCATCTCTGGAAGTTAATAATATTGATAAACACCTCGACTCTCGCATTGATGCAACCAACCCAACACCAAACCTACTCCACATGTATACCATTCAAAGCTTAGCATCAAAATCCTCATACTCGCTCAAATCCGTCACAGGAACAGGGCCAGCGCTAACAGGCAAACTGGCCTTAAAGGTCGGCACATCGGTGATAACGACAGCTTTTTGAACCACGCCGTTGCCATTGGCCGCACCCTGAATGTCACTGCTAGAACCAAGGCCCAGCTCCTTTAACTGGGAACCAAGTTTCTCATCCAACTTCTCAAGGACTGGCTCGATCTTCTGCTGTGACAGGCCCTCCTCGGTCGCCAGGAAGTTCTTCACAACAAATATAATCTGGGACTTGTCCACCACAGTCGTTTCAACCTCATCGAATGCCGTTGCGAAGCGAGCAGAATCCACGATCAAACCAGCGGCTTCGAGGTGCTTGGCAACTACTTCGATAAGACGTGTTCTCTGTTCGGCTGATTTGGGTGCCTCAACCTGCGCGCCCGACTTAGCGTTCATGTGGATGGCGAGCTTGGCGCGCGTTGGCGAAGACGGGTCGATGTATTGTTGGTAAAATGCAATGAGATCCGCCTTCGTCAAGTTGCGCACATTTGCTGCGTCAGTTTCGTGCTGCAGGAAATCAAAGTACTCAGATCCGACATGTGACCAGTACCGGCCGGTCTCAGATCCTAGGTTCTTGAGTTTCTCCAGACGCTTGTTCACCACACTACGCTTGTGACCCTCAAATTCGTCCTCGGGCATCTTCTCGAGGGTGGGACCGAACTCGCGGAGGAAAGTCTCAATGCGCGACTCGAGATACTGAGCCGTGCGCTCACTTTGAATAATGACCCGGTAGCCCAGGGTGGTGGCGTTGTAGCGTGCGCCACTCCACACCACATATCCGAGCTGTTCCTTGCTGCGCAGCTGGTCGAATGCGGGTTCGTCAGTCAGCTGTGCGAACAGCTGGAGCTTCGACCGCAGGACATCGTCGGAGAAGAGTCCGATATAGAGGTAGTACTCAATGCAATGATTGACGTTGGCCGGATCTTTAAGCGACCGGGGGTAGACATAGTTGGCGCCAGGTGGCAAGGTCATGTTGCGGCGCAAGTACCACTGCGATGGAGGCAGAGGACGGCCGCCCAAGACCTTCTCAATGGAGTCTGTCATACGTAGGGCATCCTCCTTGTACAGGTTTCCGTGGGCCAGTACTTCGATGTGGGTCTGCTCAAGCAACTGGGGGAAGAAGTTGACTACATCAGCGGACTCAACATGCGCCAGCTCCTCAAGATACTGCTCGTTGACCCAGCTGCGTTCAGCAAGGAGATAGCGAGTATAATCTCCGACCTGGTAGTAAGGCTGTTGGTACTCGGCGTTGCGGAATGCCCGGGTCAGGCGCTCTTTGATTATGTCGAACCGATCCTGGTTGACCACTAGCCCACGCATGGTATTGAGTACTTTGTCCAATAGAGCAGACATCTTATCGTTGTATCCGCTCACGGAGATATCCAAGCCCAAAATGTTCGCTGAGAGATGGTAATCCAAGCCAGCAAGCTCGGCGTCGTAGGAGTATTCATCTAGGGAATCTCGCACCAACTCACTGTACAGCTTTGTTTTGATAAGATTGGCGGGTGTAGCCCACACCAAAGGATTGCGGAGCGTTACCTCGACAGTGGCCTTGGGCACCCAGAAACGGTCATCCTTCTTGAACCACAGGCGCACCCGGTCGTCATGGCGAATTAGTTTAGGGGTGTTGGCGGGCTCGGCAACCTCCTTCTTTTCCACTGAAAGTCTGGTCGGCACAAATTCGTTCTTGTGAGGCATGTGCACGTTAGAAGTGCGGGTAGCCTCAGTCGAATCCAAGGCCTTCTGAAGGCCGCTCAAGAACTCCTGCGGAATCTTCTCGACCTTGTATTCGGTACCATACCACTTCTCCTTCTGGTCCCATGTGCCCGGGAACTCCTGGGACACAACGACTAGGCGGAAGTTGTCTGCCCGCAGATAGCTCAGCGCCTTCTTGATCAAGTCAGAGTCAAATCGTCGCAACAAAGACCCGCTCAGTAGCCATTCACTAGGCAGTGACTTTTGCATAACGCTGCTTAAACGGCTGGTGAACCGACTGGCCGGAGTCTTCTGTTTGAATCGGAAATCGACCTCGGCAAGGTTCTTCATCTCGTCGAAGATCCATTGCTCGGGCTCTCGTTGTTTGATCATAGCTATATATTCGAAGACGACGTTTGCGACCTCCTGGTATTGCTTCAGACCCTCGGGGGTCAGGCGCACCGAAATGGTGAAAAATGCGGACCCAGCGCAGATAGGCATAGCACCTGCAGACAGGCCATTGGCCCACCCCTTGGCCTTGAGGTAAGAAAGAACACTACCTGGACCCTCGTGGCCAATCAGATGGCTGATATACCGGCTAGGCTGGGTGTCATGCAAATCCTCCTCATCGAGGAAGGGGAAATACATATCCATGGATCGAGTATCCATGACCGGCTTCACGAACACCTGGGTGCACATGTCCTTCTCAGTGAAGGGCTGAACATCGTCCCAGCGGTTCTGAGCAAGGTTCTTGTTCTCGACATCAGAGAAGAGCTCGGAGACCCACTGCTCCAGCGTGTCCAGAGACTCCCGTCCTAGAACAACCAACTTGGCCCGGTTGGCTGAGTAGTGCTTCTCGTAGAACCGGATGAACTCACTGCGGACTTCCAGACCACGTTTCTGTGGATCTTCTTTCAAAGTCTGCAGATTACCAGTCGAGAAGTGGCTGTAGGGATGTTTAGGGTTTGAAAGCGACTTGTTCAGTTGCATCAAACGCCACAGGTCACTTTGAAGGTTCTTTTTATTTTCCGAATCCACCGCCTGCAACTCCCGTTCTAGGGTTGACTCTAGGAAAAGCGGAGCGACAAAGAACTGGGCAAACCGGTCCAATGCGCCATAGAGGGGCGACTTTCCATCTAAGCCATTCCCATTCGCCACGACGCCATTGGTATCACTTGTCTCGGCAGGGGTGCTATCTCCACTAGTTTTCGGGGCACTAGAGTCACCTGTGGCGGATACTTCGAAGAAGTAGTTCGTTTCCGTGGCGGCTGTGTAGGCATTGGACGAACCGGAGTGGGATGCTAAGTACTGGTTGTATGCATTTTCCTTCGGGTACTAAACAATAATTCCAGTTAGCATTGACTTCACGCAAGACGGTAGTAGGTTGTTCCATTTTACCTTTTTGGTACCCATAAACAGCAAATGCTCTACTGCATGAGCCATTCCTGGCATATCATCTTCATCGGAGAAATTGCCAACATTGACATTCACGGCGGCACTGGCCTTATCAGTGTCGGGGTCATGAACTAGGAGGGCCTCAAGCTTGTTAGGCAAACGGATGACCCGATAAGAACGATCGTCAAGTTCCGGTTTCTCCAAATTCTCTGTAATACGCTCAATTTGAGCCATGATTGGGGGTGTGGCGGTGAAGTTAGAGGAATGGGATGAGCGGGTCCAATGCACGGAGGAGAGAACCGGTAAAGTTACTGGCAGGGAACGAGAACTAGTCACGGTGATGCGTGACAACAAATCGGGATAAGGTCGGGTTGAGCTGCGAATAAGACCTTTGTGACACAGGTTTGCTGCGGAGGACCTTGGAAGCATTCAGTTGCCAAGGGGAGAGGGCAAACGTGATAAGGTCAATGCACTTAGGAATTCCAGAGCGAATAATGGGATGCAGGTTATATATGTTTGAATATATATGTGGAATTATGGACCAGATGAGGGGAGGATGTTGTAATGTCAACTGAGGGATTGATGTTGATCCCGGTCCTGGTGAGAATACTGCCCAGATGCTCTGCTGAGGCGGTGATAGGCCCTCGCAGCCCTAATAAGCGCCTTATCAACCACTGGTGGCGTATTACTATACAAGGCTCTGTACAAGGCAGACTCATATCTACCAGGATTGGAGTTTAAAAATATAACACCTTTCCCATTATCATATTAGCTACATACAATGCCAGGGGTCCTAACTGGTCCCACGTTGAAGCTCTTCCCCGCAGCTCGGCTGGTTAAACCACATGTGTAAGTGGACACTGCCCCGCCATCATATCAAACTATCACATACGGAGTTTAGAGCCGGGCGCTTAGCACTTGGCTGCACAGAGGTTCAGGTTGATGTTGGTGTTGGAGTTGCAATTCTTAGTCTGACTGCCACCAGGGTTGACACCCTCTGCCCAGCAGATGCTCGAGCAAGTCGTATCTGTGGGCCGAACAACAATAGTCTTGCCGGAGAATGGGTCGCCGAAGACATCGGACAGGTCATACCAAACTGTGCCAGGGTCGAGGGTATAGGCAAAGTTGGTTTGGGGGCTGCCGTTGTATAGACCGTTGTCGACGGTGGTGATCTTCAGCGAGATGCCACCGGATGCACTGTCGTGGCGCAGTACTTCACTATAGCTGCCACCTGCGGGGATGGTTTGTTTGGGGCCAATACTGCCACCAACAGACCATAGGTAGACTGGGAAGTTGCAGTGGTTGGTCACGATAGCGTTTCCAACGGCACTGGCAAGAGGTGCCAGGGCGGCAACGGAGGCAATAACTGCAGTAGAGAAGTGCATCTTGGTAGGAAGATTGTGTTGGTTTGAAATTCGAATTCAAGTAATCGAAACTGTTGGGAGTAATATGAAATCTCTCTCGGGTAGGATTCGAGGCTCCTTATATAGTCTCCATGGCCGGATTGAGCAAGGAATTTCCAGTCTATACCTGGTTTCCTCTGACCCAAGTATAGACTCGTCTCAAAGCAGGGCTGTCAGTGGGAAGCATGATAGTTTGCTCACCAGATCCAAGACATTTCATCCCAAATCAACCTATTGAAGCCCTAACCGCTCGGGCAGCGGTCAGGCCATCCGTCACAGGACCGAGAACAGGAATGGAGTAAGAATGGTTTGTAGGATATTACAAAATCCCCGCATCAGACAGCCAAATAGTTTTCTAGGATGTATGCTAGTGGAGACACGAGAAAGAAAGAGTCCATGAGTGCAGCGAAAAGAATACGATGTCTCAGAGCGCTCTCGATCATTGGATGTATTCTTAAGCGAGAGCCTTGGGTTAAGTAGAAGAGAAAGAGAAGAAACAAGGTTTGTTCTGGCATAAGTTATGGAAGAGAGCCGTGTTGTGCCACACCAGGGTTTTCTGGGGTAAAAGTGAGACATTTGTTAAATCCCAGGGACGGTATGCAGATCAGCGCCACACTGGGAAAGACATTATACGATGTATTTTTTATCTGCTTAGAAACTCGCTTCTCTTTGTCAATTAATACCTCGAGTTCCGGTTGGTGGTGTGTCGCACTGAAGTACCAAATGTCTCAAATGCCAAATTCAAAAACGGTGATATGACGCTTTGAGAGTGTCTGGGCTCGTGACATCTGGACATTTTTCTTCTCTGGTGGCTGCGGATAAAAAGATATTAGAGCCGACAAAAGATTGAAAAGATCTTACTATAATTTATCGACCTATTTTTATCTGCGGGGGAATTCTCACGGGCATAGTTTCATGGCATTACTAGGGTATGAAATGATAATTCTTCGACCGCATAACTCCATGCACTGGGAAATCCTATGGATTCAATCAGGAAAAAAATCAAGAACTCTCATCGGATTCCTCCCGGTCTGCACGCTCGGATATCCACTTGAACACTTCCTCCTTGTGCTCATCAAGCATCTCATTTAGATCGGATTTTGGGGAATGAACCAGCTGTCCGTAGCGTTTGGAAGGCCGTCGGTCTGGGCTAGCCCAAACACCGTGAGAATTTGAAACAAAAACAAGAGAGTTCTAAAAAAAAAATAATCATGTGAGTAAAAGGTATCACTAAGAATTTTGTAGGCTTACCTCGCGGTACCACTTCGATAGCCATGTCTGCGTGCTAGATGCGATCGCGCGGACTGGGTTCTCAGACACAAAGGAGATCACACCGTTGACACGCTTGTAAAGGTTTTCTACTCGGTCATTAGCAAAGTCACATGGCCTAATATCAATTAGCACTACCTCTGTTGATCAACAAGTTCGCCACGCCGAAGAAAGCGTTGCCAACGCCGAGCAGGAAAACTTCGGTTGCCTCATTCGCACTGTGATAACTTGTCAGCTCAATAACAACCAATTTTCTTGGGTATAGCTCACTCAATGTAGTTGTCCCACAAGTATCCGGCAAGCTCTTCAGTGGCAGACGGGCGGTCATCGTCCTCTCCCTTGTATTGACCGGCGGCCTAACCCCACCCAAATTAGCCGATGGTCTGTACAATAGTACAAATATACTTACTGCTTCCCGAGATACGTGCTTAGGGATATTGACATCAATCACTGCGTAGCCCTTACCCACGATCCATTTAACATACTCCGTGAGCGCATCAGCCTTTTGTTATGTTAGCAGAAAATCTCAGCCGATCATGTTGGATCACATACCATCCATACATTGTGTGCTTCCAATTTATTGGTCACAGGATGAGGCTGTCCCACAATCTCCGGTCTAGAGAATATCAGTTATACGTTTTGTGGCTTATTATCGGAACACTTACGGATCGTGGAAGATGACAATAAGCGGCACATGTTGATTATAGTTTGGGCTGTTAGATGGTGAGCCTTATGTCAGAATATCGAGATTCAGTGGTGCAATTTACCTTGCCAGAACTTGTCTGTCAAACGATTTGGAAATAGCGGTGCGATAAATGTGCAGTGGGGTGAGCCTGCAGCTTTCATACAGTTGATTTGACTGGTAAACGCGGAGGACATCTAGAGGATTTATCAGTTCTGTTGACGGGAAAATAATCTATAATTCTTACCGTGAAGACGATCCGCGAAGACCGGGTGAGTAGATGTCTTAGGGTACAGACGACTCCAATACTGGGATTGGATACTCCTCACCCGGCGGACTGCTGCAACCGCAGAATCAGTGGGAGAGCTGCTCAACAAACGGTCCGGGGGTTCCCCCATAAGGGTCTTGGTAACAGCCAAAGCCGACTTCGAGATAGACTTGAAGTTGTATCCACCCTGTTTCGAGGTCAGATCAAGCAAGCATGAATTTGGAGACGCAATCCACCTACCTCCAAGCAAACAGCCACTTTTCCATTGGCTAAAGTCATCAGCATGTGGGTCATTTGGGCATAGCAAGCTGGCGATACAAAGCAGCCACCTAGAACATCACCAGCGGCAGCATCGAACCCAGCGGCAACTGTTATGGTCAATGACTATGCACCAAAAAAGCAGAGGGGGTACTCTCACCAATCACCAAGTCAGGATCGAATTCTTGGGCGATGGGCATCACCACTTCCTGGAAGGCGAACATGTAGTCACCATCGCCCATACCCTGGTCGGGCCATGGAATATTGACATTTCTAAGAAGCGTGAGAATTTAGTCATTTCATGTACTTAAAGACAAACTCACTTCCCGACTCCGGCGCCTGAGCCACATTGATCCCAGTCTCCCGCAGGGCCTCCAGGGTAGAAGCGACCATCCTGATAGACATGCATAGAAATGTAAAGAACGTTAGGGTCATCGTAGAATGCTTTCTGGATGCCGTTGCCTATGATATGTGAGTCTGAATGTTTTAAAATGCTATGTTAGAGGTCAAGCGTACCATGGTGAACATCCCTAGTTCAAGTCAGTATGTAGTGGCCAAATGGTGATGTGGGGGGTACTAACCAGTCAAGAATCATGATCTTCCGACACGCATCTCCTAGTCTATTTTGACAAACGCGTGCTGCGACACACACGTTGTTAAAGAGACAGAATCCCATCGCAGCGTCATCCTCGGCATGGTGGCCAGGCGGGCGAATAACGGCTATGGCATTTCTCACCTGACGCTGGGCGACGGCCAAGCATGTCTCGATTGCACCTCCAGTAGACAAAATGGCCGAATCGAAGGTCAGGTTGTTGAAATAGATGGAATCGCGATCTTTCTCCAGCTGAATAAGCACCTCGTTAGGCATATCTATTCATCAAATCAGTGACTCCATCGAGGCCAGCTTTTCCGGTGATTGCAAAAGACATACCTGTCGTGCTTTGAACAAATGCATAGTGGGCATCACTATGGATGAGGGTTACTTCCTCCTCGGTTGCGTTGCGGGCATGGATCCGTTGCAAGGTTTTGGGTGCCAAGGGTCGAGACGATTCTGGGTCGTCAACAAGACCGGCGCGACATAGCTCCTTGTAGATGTAGTAGATACGTCTTGGATCCTCTGGATGGACGTCACTCTGTGGACGAACCTCACAGTGGTAACGCATGCGATGATCATAACAAAGCCCTGTGGCAAGCGACGCCAGTGGAAGACCCGCCTTAGCCATGACCTCGTCGTCAGACCAATCAGAGTCAGGTTCAACTAAGCTATCACGCTTTGACAACTGTTCAGCAGCGGAGCTATTGCCATCACTGGTCTTGGTCAAACGTTCAGGGGGGGCCATTCCAGTGGAGATAATGGTTTCCCGAGGTTGAGATTGCTCAGAGCCGGGTGATAGGGATGTAGAGCCAGGTTGGTGGATGGAAGGAGCAAGATTGGGGGTGTGGTGATTGCTCAGATGTGTGGGAAGGGGAACTTGTGTGAAAGATGGATTTGCAGTCAAAGCAGAGAGGCTATGGGAACCACCCATAACTGTATCCTCGTCCTCGTCCATCATGAAATGGGAAGCCACGGGAAACCCTTTGATTGATTTCAAGCTTGGCTCTTATTAGCTCATTACCGAGCACTACCACAAAAGAGGTGTTGAGCTCGTATGGCAATCTTGAGGCTTGATATCGAACTAACAGTGATTCGATTAGTGCTTCTGGTTCACGCCGTTGAATGTACCTTGCACAGTAGAGTGTGAAATAGATCAATCGGCCAAATGTTCCAGCTATTAGACAGTGCTTTGGTATTCACCAAAGATTGCAGGAATGTCTCAAGGTGTGATCTGTGCAAGCATATGAGGTGGTATACAATCGTCTCCTGCCGTAGATTGGACCGGCACTGCAATTCGCCCACAATGTTATGAAGCAAGAGTGATCTTCAAATAAATAATTTTCAAAAAGAAGTGCAATTGCAGCCCTTAATGCAGTGGGTAGAAATGAAAAATAGAATAGTCAAGTCCACCGAGTGACAAAGGGAATGGATCAATGTGCATGTTGGATCCCTTTTGGGCCAGTCTTTCTTATTGCCAGACATACTTATACTCACCGCTAAACTGACCGCTGCTAGGAATGGAATGGCGTGGTGCATTATAATTGGCGGTGTGAATTTAGTATATGCTGACGTTATCAACTTTCACGGTTTAGAGGGCTGATCATTATGTCAATGGTTTCTAAGTCCAAAGTAAGATGAACTGCTCGATTCTCTTTGTTCAAATTGCTACTCGTCATTAGGAAAGAGGTCGTTTGCTTATGTGGGTTAGCTCTGCTATTTAATCTCTCACTTGCTTTCTCTCTCTTTCCACTTCATCTCTACATAAACGTAGTTTGAATGCACTCTTTCTTTGTTGATTGACTAGCACGCAAGTGACGTAAAATCTAAGTATAAACATGTAAGATAAACTGCTCGATCGTCTCTGAAATAACTTGAAAATTTTATCCAATTGTAGTCTCAGGTGGTTATTAACAATATCCGAGAATGGATAGTTGACCGCTTATATGGCCTCTGCCTTTGACGATCTAGATGCTTCGTTAGCTCGAAATAATATTACAGGCATCGGGATGTTGGATTTAAGATACTACAATGCTTCTTAGATATACTTTAGATGTCTTTTCTATGAGTGTATATATATATATATATACATCCCTGGATTTCTTGCTTCTCAATATATAGCCAGAAAAGTATGACAGCAGACTGTAGCATGCAAATCACAATCCCCACCGACTTCTCCATGTGTAACATGTGACGTACCTACATATGCAGGTCCGCCGCCCTCGGATATGTAGTTCTGTGTTTGGCTAGACATACAGGACACAACATCAATGAGCCTTCCACTCATGTGCAAAAGTTTTATATTTATGTGAGAATGCCTTGGGATGAATAGATTGGTACTATAAATCATTCTAACCAGGAGTACATAGTACAGCTTACAGCAAAATGGAATGAATTGGAAATGTTTCGTTTCATTAAATGACATTATCATCTTGTTTTTTTCTACAAGGCGGAGCCCTCATGCACCCATATTGGTAAGCTATGCAACAAGGAACCCATCACCTTAAAGAACACTTCTGACCCCAGGACGCTGTCCTGATTCCTACTGGGAATCCACACCGGCAATGTAGGAGATGAGGTCAACAACACGGCGGGAGTAACCCCACTCGTTGTCGTACCAGGAGACAAGCTTGATGAAGTTGGCGTTAAGGGCGATACCGGCGGCGGCATCGAAGATGGAAGAGCGGTCATCACCGTTAAGATCGGTGGAGACAATCTGGTCCTCAGTGTAGCCAAGGATTCCTAGAAAAAGGTTGTTAGTATGTATAGTAAAGGCGATTCTGGGTTTAAATAGATAACTCACCCTTGAGCTCGCCGTTCTCGGAGGCAGCCTTGATGACAGCCTTAATCTCATCGTAGGAGGCACCCTTCTCGATGCGGCAGGTAAGGTCGACAACGGAGACGTTGGCGGTGGGAACACGCATGGCCATGCCGGTGAGCTTGCCGTTGAGCTCGGGGATAACCTTACCGACAGCCTTGGCGGCACCGGTGGAGGAGGGGATAATGTTCTGGGCCGCAGTACGGCCACCACGCCAGTCCTTGTTTGAAGGAGCATCGACGGTCTTCTGGGTGGCGGTGTATGAGTGGACGGTAGTCATGAGACCCTCAACGATGCCGAAGTTATCGTTGATGACCTTGGCGAGAGGAGCCAAGCAGTTGGTGGTGCAAGAGGCGTTGGAGAGGACGTTGACATCCTTGGTGTAAGACTTGTTGTTGACACCCATGACGAACATGGGGGCATCGGCGGAGGGAGCGGAGATGATGACCTTCTTGGCACCACCCTTCAAGTGGGCGGAGGCCTTCTCCTGAGTGGTGAAGACACCGGTGGACTCGACAATGTAGGCGGCACCGACCTTACCCCAGGGGATGGCAGAGGGGTCACGCTCAGCGAAGAAGGTGACCTTCTTGCCGTTGACAATGAGGCCATCATCGACGTGCTCGATAGTACCCTTGAACTGACCGTGGGTGGAGTCATACTTGAGCATGTAGGCCTATCCGTGGATGGGAGGTTAATACCAGTCTCTATAGAGCCAGGATTAGGAGGAAACATACAGCGTAGTGAGTCTCAATGAAGGGGTCGTTGACAGCGACAACCTCAACATCGGGGTTGTTGATACTAAAAGTATGGGTTAGGATGAGTTTCTCAGGTCTCTTTTGTTGTGCAACTTACGCATTGCGGAAGACCTATAATGTCGTTAGTATAAAGAAACCAAAAGTGTGTGGAAGAGTATCACTTACAATGCGGCCAATACGACCGAAACCGTTGATACCGACTTGGACAACCATGATTGCGGTTTACTAGAAGATGTTTAGCTCATGTATATGATGGAAAAGAAATGATAAACTTACTGTAATAGTGAAGTAATTGAAAAAAAGGAAGATTGAGGATGGAGAAAGAAGAGAAGAAGAAAAAAAAGAGAGATCTGGGGGAGGGGAAGGATTAATGAATGGATGACTGACGCAATGGACAGGTCACCCCTCACCGAACAGACGGACGGGGACTTAATTCTCACAGCTTCCACCCCTCCAAAAATGATCGGATTGAACTAGATTTCCCGACTGTTGCCGCTTGTACATCTGCCTAGCAACGGATTTCCGGTTTCATACACCGGGCAAAGCAGGAAGAGTCACGATATTGGGGCCTTACTCTGCCCCTCGGTAGCTCCCGTCTACCAATAGGAATGCACCAATTCAACTGCTGTTCGGGTTCTTTACTACTCTTCGGAGCTTTCTCTTGAATCTTTTGCCTATTCGGAGCGTACTCGGCTACAAGGAAGATGATCACGATAATATTAGGTACAAAATTGAGAACATTCCCGAGGTGAAACTATGACGCCGGTTTTGGAGGGGCAATGGATGATGCTACGACTGAGGGGCAAATATGTACCTTTATGTTGTACTATATGTTGTACAAGGGAAATTCACTTAAAAACTATAAGTATATAATTATAATCAGAATTATTTCACTTTTAACTGCTTCTTCCTCCACTTATGCGGGCCATCAAACCCCTGCGGTGGACGGATCGAGTATGGCTATATAGCTTGGTGGCTCCTCCGCCCTCAAAGGAGTCACCGGTAATCTCAACTGGGACCACGGGATCTAACAGACTTTTTATTATTATTATTATTATTATTTTTGTTTTTGATATATGAGCTTGGACTTTTAACTACTGGGGTCCCCAATATGGATATGGAGATTATGAATCTCCTGCTATAATCTCTGGAATCCCCTGCCTTAACTATGAGACCTCATCAGGCCATATCGACATAAGAATGCACAGCCGACAGTGGCGCAATATCAAGCCATGAACGTCCTTTTGTACAGGATTTAGATCGTACAATACAAGGGAAATGGTATGACCAGAAGATTCAAGATTAACAATATAGTCTAAAGACCTACCCAGACCGGAGGGTCCGGACTTGATAGGATGAATTATGGTTTATGGTACAATGGGGAGAATTAAACAGGGTTATAATTCAAATTGGCCATCGAATAGGGGAAAAAGTCAATTGATGGCTTAGAGCAACCAAAAGTGTTTATTCCTCCTTGACACCACCGCGCCAGTTCTTCTCAGCGGCCTCAATGGAGGCCTTATCGGTCTTGGGTCCGCCCTGGGACATGAAGCCACCGGCGGCCTTGAAGGGACGGGCGAGATCACCAGTAGCGGGCTTGCCGAAGACGTGGATCTTGGCCAGGTTGGACTCGAAGGCACCCTTGAGGGGAATAATGGACTGGATGAGGAGGGGGTTGGTGTACTGGAAGTACAGGTGCATCACACCCATCATGCCGACACCCATGAGCTGGCTGCGGAGAAGCTGGCGCAGCTGAGCCTTGTCGTAGTCCATGTTGGTGGTGGTCACGGGCTTGGGCTCCTCGGTGCTACCCATCGCGGCGGGCTCAACGTACTTAAGGGTTGCCATATCTGAAGATATCGCAAGTTAGTTTTGGGGTTGTGGGGCGCGTGATCAGGGTTGACATACCCTTCTTCTTGTTGATCTGATACTGGGTGTACAAGTGAACAGCCAGGATAAGAACATTGGAGAGCAGATAGCATCCGCGGACCAGCATCAGGACCTGAGGATCCTCAAAGGGAACCTTCTTGGACAGCTGCATCATCACCAAGATGATGGCGAGGTTGGTACTGTGTGACCATTGTCAGTTTTCGCATAGATAATAATTGAGAAATTGTCGATCAGACATACATTTGAGCAGACACCATTTTGCCGGTTACTTTTTCGATATGGAGAAATCGTTGAGTATGGGGGAGTACACGCGAACAAAACTTGAAAGGCGCGGGCCACCTGGCATTTCTGGAATGTCAGGGAGCCGGAAAATTAATTCTCCCAGTGCTATCTATCCGCCATTGGTCGCCTGAGGCAGTGGGTTTGTCGCCTAATCTATGAGGCCGCACAGTATCATGTGACCTCCCCCACTGCTAGTGCTGGTAACTGTGATGG